TACGAGAGAGAGCAGTCTCGTGCCGGTGGTGCCGCCGCAAGCTTGATTACACCGTTCCTCGACAACCAAGTCAACTTCAAGAACCAGTATGTGCCGGGCAGTGGTGTAGGCCACGAACTGCAAGAGCGCCCCCGTGTTCCTTTGGAGCGCAAGGAGGCTGAGATCCTGGTCAAGGATGCATTTGATGGAGCGGTCGAGAGACACATTGAGGTCGGTGATCATTTGCAAATTATGGTCATCACCAACAACGGCATCGAGGAGATTCTCCTCCCCTTGAAGAAGGATTAAGATTATGATGGTTGGGAAGTCTTACTGTTAGGGGCGTTGTACACTACATGGCAGGTAGCAATGCCAAAGAGGCAGTTATTCAGCTAATCAATTATCGTCCGCGACCCAATCTTTGTCCTGTGTGTTCACAGCATACAGATGTCCTATTCGTAACCAAGACAGGCAAGGTCCCCTGTGAAGCTCGATGTGTGATGTCATCTGGAAGGTCTGGTAGGTTGCTCGCTTCGGCCCGGAAAAGCATGTGGAAATAGATGACTGCACGCAGTGATCTCGCCTCGCACCACACAACAACTCCCAAGAACGAATCACTGGGGATTGACCCCTTTTCTGCTGCATGTGATGCTACACAGCTCCGCGGTATGCGCCAGGTAGACGACGGGAAGTCAAGTAGGGGACGAGTACGAATACGGAATGCGGATCGGGTGCTTCGGTGTTCCCCCTTGGGAAACACTCTTCACGTCACTTGACATACAGGGATATCTGATATGCTCAGTGAGAACTGCGTCCATGGGCCAGCGAATCAGGTAGCGAGCAGTTCGTCTGCAGGTACACAAACGCTTCCAAACATCCCTCCCGCACTATCCTTCCGTACTGGGCAAGCTGGTCGTCTTGGAAAAGCGAGGTTCTGACGCTTTCATGGGGGCAAGGAATGGCGCTAAGCGCAGCAAGCGAAGGAGAGCAGAGGACATATCCGGGGCGAGTATTGGACGTTGGGCCGTTGTTTCTGTCAGACTACGGTACGGCTTGGACCGAGTTAGCGAGGTACGAGGCTCTTTGGATCGCAAACGAATAGGCGTGGCAAATCCCCGTGCTCGGCGCGCACCGTTGAGAGTTCCCTTCGATCACCGCCTGGTAGGCCCTCACGGCTTCTCTTCCTCTGCGTCCCTGTGTTCTTCTAGCGCAGCCACGCCAAGTAACTGCCCAGGCCTCCCCAATCTGGCCGCTTCCGGGATATCGGTAGCGAAACGGTCTTAGATGTTATTTGGCTGTCATGGGAAGCGGCAGGTCCGGGTCCACGTACCAAAGGGCATCTAGAAATTAGAGTCTTTGCCAAGGGGTCGATGAACCAGACCGTGAGCACCGCATAGCGTGGCGGTGATGCTGGGCAACGGCGGTGATACCTTTCATCGGAAAGCTGTTGGACGATGGTGTCATTGGTAGCTTGAATAGAGAAACCCGCGCCACAGTCCCCTGGCCGACGACCACCTGATGCGCCTAAGCTATCAGCGAGGTCATCCAAGGAGCCCTGTATTCTTGTCTGCTATTGCCACAATTGTACGATGCAAAGTTATTGATTCCCGAGCTGCTCAGGCCGCCCATATCTGGAAGGAGGACCTATTGACAGCTAACGTCGAATAAGTGATTCGTAATCTATCATAAGCTTGTCCTCTTCAGAACCAATGCCGCGACGAGCCCAGTGAGTTTCGAGATGGGATCGTCGTCGAAGCTTACTCCCCAAAGGTCTCCTCAACCCCCACAAAGACACAGGCACCGCCGAAAATCCCAGCTTCCAACGAAACGGGTGGTCTGTTTGCCACCGGAGGCCTATGCAGATCCTCCGGGCGAAAAGAAGGGACGGACCATGGGCCAGTACGTGGCAGGCCTGGAGAGCTGAACCCTTGATGCATTGCTGATGAGCATGCAGGGAATCATTCGTCTTGATACGACCTAAACGGACTTGAGCTTGGAGGAGGCGTGTCACCCCAAAATAAGAAGCATCTTATTTACGGTCCATGCCGAATGTGACTAGGATGCCGACACGACGGCTTTCGAGAGGGTATTTGGTTAATTCTCGGCAGGTCATGGGATTTGCCATCTTGAGAACCGCAATGGCAGGAATCCCAGTTAGTCATAGTGCCATTTCGAGCTGGGAAGAGTTTGTGTAGAAGCAGCAAATGGCTGATTGCATGGATAATCGTCGTCAAACGTGCATAGGATTTACAGCAAATCGCTGCGCATTCGGGCTAGACGTGGCTGATGTCGCATCTAGGTGGTGTATGGCTTGTGGCGGCAAGGGTAGCTTATGTGGTTGCACTACGATCTTGCACACAATTTTTGGAACCGACATGTAGTGAGTCGCCACCGTGGCGCACGGTCGAGACCAGGTCGGATGGTGATGCACGGAACTGTCAAGGTCGACACTCAAATTGAAGATCCAGTATAACAAAGTAAAAGTCAATGGCTTTGGACGACGGCCTCCGTAGCTCGGGCATTCTGAACCGACTAAGCACTGACGTTGAAAGCTGTCGGCCCGATTTGACTAAGCGGAATCTGGCTATAGTTGCGAACAAAAGAGGCCTCGACTTTTGAATATAACACCGCACTTGCGTGTTCTCCGTCCGAGGGTCGAATTATGTGTCAGGGCGATGTCACCTGTCTATCCTCTCCTCACGTGGCTGCTTCCACTTATGCGGACGCAGAGGACTGGCCAAGCGCTCAGGCGCCTCATTTGGATAGAAGGAGTGTTGAAGGCTGAGCCGCCTTATCACCAGTTTCCTTGACTGATCATCTTTCAAGGTTGTTGTGCGTTGGCAATGACATCGGATATACCGCTACCAAGGGACCTTGTAGCGAGGGAGTTCGAATCGATGAGTTGATGAGGTAATGCACCGCGAGGATGATGCGGTACGCAGGGACTTTAGTCTCTGGGTCGGTCGAGTGCCGTTCTCATTTTGCCTGCACCGGGGAATTGCAGACTGCGTTAGATCATTCGCCCGTATCCCTTAACTGCAGACTAGCCGCAAAGAAAGCTACCAGACCAGCTAGCGTCAAAATACAAGGTAGTGTGCTATCACGGCGGCGCCCATGTTGGCTGTTGGGATAGCGCCGGGTTGCAGGTAGGCGGCGGTGTTCATGGTGCACACGGCGCGGTACGTCAAAGGCAATGAAGCTGCGAGTCAGCCGAGCTTTCAGATGACTAATGCACTCGGTAATGTGGGCGACACTCTCTCTCATGGCATTACTGGCTTGCACAACCAAGGATGGCTATCGTTCGAACGCCGTATGATGTCCGGACTGTCGACCATGACAACTCGGGTGGCATCTTGCCGGGTTCGTTGTGCAAAAAAGGACCCCAAATGTCATTGCCTCGACGGGTTCTGGCCATGATCTCACCCCCGGATCATGATGTGGTAGCAGTGACGATTCTCGGAGGATGCGTGCCACATGCAACGAAGATCTCGGTGCGGATGGGGTAAAGGATCGGCGCCGGTCAAGCTGGAGCCCTGGTCAGTTGTGGCGAAACTCCAACCGGCAAGCCGCAATCCTCGGCCGCGCGGTTTTTCTGGCGTCAAACGGCAGTTCGGCGTCCTGCGACGGCTTGCCCTGTGGATGTTTTCTGCCTTTTGGGTTCATTTCCACTTCCGGCCGCCCCGCGCTCCTGGCAGGTCGAAGCCTACTGTGATGGACGTTGAATGATTGGATCTCGGCCAAATTGCCAGAGATGTAAGTGCAGGCGGTGTACTTGGCCCGGAGAGGAACATCCGGCCGTCGCAAGTCTGGATAGCGACAATAGAGTTGTCACGATTGATTGGACCCGGATGGTTGCGGTGGACGGGTAAGGGTCCTGTTCAGGCACAGGGTTCGGTCGGTGACTCGAGGCTGGCACGGAGAGGTATCTATGGGTGAAAGACACAACGAGATTGGACAATGGCTTGACTGACTGCGAGTAACGTAGGAAAGCTTCCGAAGCTTGAGACAGATATTTTCGCCACAAGCATTCGAGATGGTTGCGGGAGAAGGAAAAATACGCCATTGCCGGCCGCTGCAGGCCATTCATCAGCTTGCCAATCGATTCCGAGGAAGGGATCAGGCCTGTTGAAGAGAGAGGGAGAAAGAGAGGGAGGGTTCCAAGGGCAGCGGGGGCCGCAATGCAAGTGGAGTTCTTGGAAAAAATCGAAAAGTTTGGAGAATCCCATGTTGACAGTGCCGTAAAAATTTTGGCGCGGCGGCTTTGGATAGTCGTGGTAGCAAAATATTTCGGGTAAGGAGACCGGGGGCAAACAACCTTTCTAAGTCAGCCAAGGTAAGGTAGGTAGGTACTTTCGTCGGTACCTTCCCGAGTGCCTCAGGTAAGTTGCAGGTACCTTCCATCCCTCTACGCCCCAAGGTACGTATCTGGTCTCCGTCGACACAGTGAGGAGACTGGAGGAACAATTCAAGGAGGAAGGAGGGGAGTGATGTGAGGCGAGGCGAGGCGGGACAATCAACAACCTGGAAGGAAGGAGGAGCAAGGCCATACCAAAGGCAAACTTGGCAAGGCAAGCCAAGCCGCAAGACACTGGAAGGTGAGAGACCCCCGACGGCCCCCAAAGTCGAAGGGATCGATCACCTTATCCATACTCGCTGACCTTATTCTCTTACCTATCAGTGCCTGTGTACGGATATCAATAAGGTAGTACGCCCAACTGCTGGGACCCCGAAAGCCACCTGTGAAGCTGGCAAACCTACCTTAACATACCAATACCAGAGAGGAAACCTCGCTTACCTCGACTGACATGTTGGAGCGTGGCCGGAAACGTACAAAGTTCAGAGTGTGGACTTGCGCTTCGCCAGGTGGCACAACTCGGAGATTCTCCGAGTGAGAGGCCGAGTTCCCCCAAGGCAGAGTTTTCCAAGCTCCAAGTCTCCATCTCACTCATGGAGTCATGATACTTGGAGTGAAAGGGGGACGGACGAGGACCGGAATGAATGGATTTGCACACTTACGTCAAATGTCACAGTGCAGTTATTCCTTGGCCTTGGACCCTCAAGTTGGGGCATGGGGCAGGAAGGTGGGGCAGGTGGGATCACACCCAGACCGATTTCCCATTGTGGGCGACAGATGCGCATTGCGGTCGGGTCAGTCACCCTCTGTCGCGGACCCTGTCCTGCCTCCTCCACCACCCATCCACTTTGATTATCCGCAGTTCCATCCAAACCACCACGCCATCAAACCGCCCAGACAAAGGGCCGGCGGCGGCTCACCATGGCATCCGACCGCGACAAGGACGCTGACAAGTGACTGGACGTGGGGTGAACCGCGCGGGCTCCACGCTACACCACAAACACAATCGCGATTGTATCACGGCTACCGGTCAGCGGCGCACACACCATACCCGCCCCGTACCGCCGCAAACCTTTCCTCCAACGTCTCTTTACTTCCCGAGTCGACTCGTCGCACACTCTCCGACACTATGGAGCTGCTTTGGTCCTCCAACCCCATCGTCGTTGTCCCTCACGGACACTGTACGAACCCACTCGGCCACCTCGAATACTCCAACTACTATCCGTAACGTCGCCAATTGCGGGATACCCGACCTGGCCCTCAAAGGCCACCTTCAGCCTTCTGCCGGTCACTCTAGCTCCTGTGTGGGCCTAGCCTCCATGGGCTTTGGCTTCTCTCTTCGCTCACCAAGCTTGCATAGAGCAGCTTTCACTACCGAAATATCCAACAGCGGTTTCTTGATACCTGTGTCACCTTCGCCTCAACCTTGTGGATCCGGGCGCTTGGCCGGCCTGCCAGTGTTTACTACCGGCCGTTGGCGAGCGGGAGGGAGAACCGACTCTTGGGGGCTGCGGAATGATCAGACCACCAAAGGGCCGAGGCCTGCAACAATCTACAGGCCACTCGCGCCCAGAGATCATCCAGATGTGCCGGATGCGTGATGGGCTCTCTGGGTAAGGGGAGAATGGTCTAGACCACCGGCCTCCCCGCATAATGGCTCCCTCATGCGGCTAGCAGTCGACCCGGCTTTGCGCTGCAAATTGAGCCTCTCACATTCTTAGCGCGACGCTTCTCAGGCCCGCCATCGTTGGTAACTGCGTAGGCTGGGACATTCGGACGGATGATGCCGAATCGCTCGAGACAGCCCCCGATCCACAGCGGAGGAATCTGCGAGAAATCTTGAGCCCTTATCCTCAACCACTATGGCTCTACCGTGTCTCGCAGGTAGTATCGATTTGTCTGCGCACCCAACCGCCACCTGGTGCCTGGCAACTCCTGGTCGCGGCACGGCGAGACCTGCTGGAAAGGGATGATGCTCCAGGAACAACAAATGGCATGGACGGCTGCGCGATACATTCTTGCGAGCGCAGCACCGAAAATCTGTCAAGGATTAGAAACATTTGACTCTCTGGAACTGGTATAGTCACATACGTCATGACTCCCGAGTGTGTGCCAGCGAAGCTCGGTCAGCCGTTGACGGTGGAAAAGCGGCCGATGAGCCAGAAGGCCTGGCAGGCTTTATTTCAAATTGCCATGCCGCGCGATGGGCAGATATGAGACATGGGACCTCTCTCCACGCCTCATATGGTGTAGCTTGGTCAGACGGGGTAAGTCTCGCCAACACAGATGTCGTAGGCACGTTTAGCCTCACATTTCTTCGAGCCACTCCACCATCGAGGCTGGATGGACAATTGTCTGGATTTAACTTGCCATTGGCTTTCGAAGCGCATAGCCGCCCCCAGATCACCAATTGAGCACGTTGCCCGTTAGCCCAAACTCAACTCAGGCTGATGCGAGGTCGAGGGCACGGAGGGCTAGAGCTCAGGGCCAATTGGGGGTGAAGCTGAGCAGGTAGGGCGAAGACGTGGGAGATGCAGTCTTTTGGTTGTCAGCATCCACAGCCCAATGCTTTCTTTTTCCTTTGCGCCTTGGTGCTGTACTCTGTACGAATGCCGCATGGTCCCGCGTCGCAGCTGCGCAGCAGCAGTACCCAACATGCCCAACAGCGAAGAAAAGCAATGAAAAGCAGATGATGGACATGTCGAAGGGCCTACTCGATGTTTCCGGTGCTGTGCTGCGTTTACCAGGGGTTATGATGGTCTACACTATTGATAGTACAACTGCATTGCCTATCCGCCACCCACCTGGTACGCCTTGTTTAGAATTCGAGGCTAGCGATCCATCGAGGGACGGATAAAAGCCAACGTCAGTCAAGAAGACACTTGACACCAAAGCAAGAAGATCAAAGTTTGGATTGCAGGGAGCACATGGAGAAACAAAGAAAGCGAGGTACCTCTACTCTGGTGTACACTTGATGTACCTACCCTGCCGAGCACGTCGAGAGATACGTACCCGGAGGCGACTTTGATTGACTGGGGGAGGCCCAGGACCAATGTGGCTGGGCGTCCGGGCCGGACACGGGACTAACAAGACCAGAGCGAGATCGAACGAGTGGGCGAGCAAGCGCTGCCCCTGTCTCCTTCTTCTTCTTTTCTGGGCCTCTTCTCAAGTTCTCTTTTCCCCGCTTGCACTTTTGTGAGGTAAGCCTTCAGTCTTCAAGCCGTCGGCAGGCAGGTGAGGTCGGCACGTTGTACATTGGAGAGGAGGAGATACAACGACGAGGTAGCTTGCGCTTGCGCTACTCGGACACAGACTGCACCCTGACTCTGGGAAGTGGCTCGGCGGGTCGAGTGGCGAATTCAAGACTGGGTCGTTCTCCATCGGATCCCTCCACCCGCCCTACTGTTTTCCTGTGCTTGTCGCTCTGCTCTGCACTGCTCAGCTCTGCTCTGCACTGTTTTGCATCTCCCTCTGTCTGCCCTTCCGTTCCCTGCCTATCTGCTCACTTGAGGTTTCTCTCTCTTGCTGTATTGTCCATCTATCGATTTCATCTATCGATGTGCATGTTATCGTCTGCTCCAACGACCTAGAGTAAGGTACCTTAAGGGCTTAGTCTTTCTCTTCATCTCTACATCTCCAAGGGCCTCTATCTTTTACAGTTGTCTTCCACCAACTTAATTGTCTGCCCAATAGCTCACGTAGATACCCATCGTATTGATAAAAAATCCCCATCTATCAAACGCCCATTCCATCCCTGTTGACACAAGCTACTTTCGCCTAGTTTAGTTCGTGGCCCGGCCTAGTGGGAGGGCCACCCGACCACATCTGTGTCCCTTGCACATTTCACAGCGGCAGCCAAGAACCGAAGAAAAAAATCCCATCTTTCTTCATCCAATTTGATGCTACTGGTTCCAGAACGGGCACCTGGCCATGCACATCAGTTCGTTCCCACATCATGGATGCTCCCCTTACCCGCATCGCCTCTTCTACCGCCACCCCTCCTAATCCTCCCTCTTCCCCATTCCATCTAGGCTGAACTGGCCCGGCCTACGAACAAGCCCTCTGCCAATTCTCCCATGAAGTCGGGAAGCTGTGGCTCTGTCATTTCTGCTACACCAATTGCGCTGCTGTCCTGTCTGCCCCTCTGCTTCTTTGCTTCCCACGCTTATACACCTCTCGCCTTCTAACATCACCCCTGCTCGAACGCCACTTAACCCACTGTCAGGCCCGGTCGTTTCCTTCTCGCCTTACCAGTACTCACCCAGACTCGACTCGACTCGTCCTGCCTTCTCTCTCTCTCTGTCTCTCTCTCCCTCCCTCTCTCTCTGTCTCTCTCTCTCTCTCTCTCTCTCTCTCTCTCGCAACTGCTTCGGTGTGGTGCAGTACTCTCGCTCGGCACTGCCATCTCGGCCTCTTCCTTGCGGTAAAAGGGCGACATACACTACGGCAACAACGGACGCATAGCGGCGAAGTGGTTGCCGCCTACATCCCGGAGCTCTCCTCAAATCGTCCAACGGCCCAATCTTAGAACCCACCTCCAGCACCTCCTCGACAACTCCCCCGACCTTGAAACTGTGGGCATTGTACTGCGCCATCTACTCTACTTCAGTACGTGCGTTCTGGAATCCCACAACTCCTCCACCGTTCCTCTCAAACCCCTACGCCTCAGTCGCCGCTTGCCCATAGCTTTTATAGTACTCCGCAAGCAACCGACATTCTTGGAACCTCCACACTCTACTCTGTGCAGGATACCCAAACCCTGGGTTTTAGCCACCATCCTGTCGGTAACTCGTCACCTTCCTTGTGCCGCCGTTCCATGCCTCTCTCTCCGCTGCCCGGGTCTCATGATAGTCGTTGCCTTCTTTCTTCCATAAATATCATTGGACGCTGGGATACCAAGCACTCTTAGTGTCTTCATCACCACCCGGCTACGACAGCAACATCTAACAAGTACGCCAGGACTCTTTCTCTAAACCCTCGCTTCAGTTGACTGACTTGGTCTTCCAACTGGTCGAGTCTTGCCACTGAGCATTTCTCAGTCGTCAACTCAACTCTCTTTACTGCTCTTTCTCCTCGAACAGCGTTGGCTGGAGGTCCTTTGACGCGCAAAACAACGCCCCCTTTAACTTGGATATCTCCTATCGTTGAGTCCCGAGGTCGCACTCGTCCCTGTAGCATCGGATTCGCATACCGTAGAGTCTCGATCTATCAGTCCTCTTTGGCAGCCAGTGTAGAGCAGCAACCCCTGCGTCGGCGCCCCGAAGTTCAGGTAAGAGACAGCCCTCATTCGTTTAGTGCTAACCGCACCGCACTGAAGCCGCACCTCTCCACACGATATGCATGCCTGGAGTTCCCTAACCTAGCCCCTCGCGTCTCGTTTCTTCGTCCGTCCCGTCATCTTCGGCAGCTCCCCCTTCACCCCGGTACCAAAGGCTACGCCGTCCCCCCCTGCTTCGGGCTCTTCTCTGCATTTGTATTGGACGCCCAGACGAGCTGATCGCCTCCTAGAAATTTCACTGAGCCACACATTGCACACTCTCCTTCCAGAGCAGGGTTTACTGCCACATATACCCTGGGGCGCTCGGAAGCGTGAATTTCCAGAGGAAACCCCCCCTCCCCTTTCCTTCAAAGGCTGTGCAAACTAGCCACATTGGCCACAACGTGGGCTTTCACTCATCTACCGCAAATAGCTCAATCTCGTTGTGGCGCCTAGAAACGTACATACCTCCCGTCGTATCTTGACCGTCCTTCCTCTCGTCTGGGTTTTGCTCCGTCAGAGCTGTCAACCCAGAGCTCGGAGGCTTGGACTAGTGCTTCGCCGAAGGTATAAACTACAAGACGGACCTCTGTCTGGCTATCTGGCGCTGTTGGTGCCGGCCGCCGATGTATGGGCATTTCGCTAACTCAGTTACGACAGTTTGTGGGCGGCATACACTCCGATACAGCTCGCGCAGTCACCTTTCAAATGGGAGATGTTCAGTCCCCCGGCAACGTAACTGAGTATCCTACCGTGGACTCTCATCAAGGCTTGAATGCTGCAAGTGTTTCGCCGATTTACCTCGACGAGAAATCGAGAATGGAGGCTCAAGGTATCCCCCACCCGCAGCATCAGCAGTACGGACCCCCGCAACATGCTTTCTCCTCTCAACTCGACATGGCTCAGCAACCGGCAGCCGGCCGCCCCGGGGCCTTCAACATGAGCAACATAGCGAACACGTTGCCGCAGTCCAACATGAGGCCTGTGCATTACGGGCCTGGTGGCCAACCGCAACATCAACAGCAGCGATTCAGCCCCGCTACGTCCTCGCCTTCGATGATGCCGCAGATGCCGCAGATGCCGCACATGGCTCCTCAGTATCCTGGTCAAGCCGCGATGCCTATGGGAAACCCGCAGTACTATATGCCGCAACACCACCAGATGCAGCACTATTATACCAACCAGCTCTCTCCGACTCAGCAGCAGGCTCGCCCAAACATGGGATACTACCCGAACCAGATGGTTATGAATCACCCGCAGCATAACCACATACCCCAAGGATATTACTATCCTCCGGCTGGCCACTATGCCCAGAACCAGTCTTTGCAAAACCCAATGGTTTCGGCGCAGTATTTTGGTACGAACGCTGAGCACAGCGACCCCAGAGTTATTCCTCAGATGCCGAACGGAATCGACCACAGCGGTATAAACGCTCCTTCGAGTCACAGATCCAGTGGTAATGCGCCCACAGTGTCAACGCGTCGTAGAAGCATCGCTGATGGGGTTACAGAGATGGGTGATGGACGATCTGGGATCGTACGCGGTCCACCGCGGAAACCGCGCCAGAGTGGTTAGTTGTCCTGCAAGCCAGGGAAATCAAACGTCGCTGACAATGTCATCAGGTCATGCGATCTGGGTTGGAAATCTCCCGCCTCAAACCGACCTCATGAACCTCGTCCACCACGTGTGCAAAGAAGCGAACGGCCTCGAGTCCCTATTCTTGATTTCGAAGAGTAATTGTGCATTCGCCAACTTCAAGGACGAACAAACATGCGTAACAGCTCAACAAAAACTCCATGACTCCAAGTTCCAGTCCGTTCGATTGGTCAGTCGCTTGCGCAAGAGCACTGTTGAAGGTGCAACGGGTGTTACGGCACCTACCGGTCCGGCGGCCTCATCTGGATCGCAAACACCCCACGATGTTGCTGCACCATCCAGCGCTTCTGAAGGCCCGACTGAAGTTGCAGCAGCAGAGTCTGATGAAGCCAAGCCCGTCCTCGCAGTAGAACCAACGTCACAGAAGGATAAGTTTTTTATCCTCAAGAGTTTGACTGTGGAGGATCTCGAGCTCAGTGTCAGGACAGGCATCTGGGCAACTCAGTCTCACAACGAGGACACACTGAATGCTGCTTTCAACGTGAGCGGATCTTTCAAAGTACTGGGTTTGGATCTCTAACTAATTTCAACAGGCCGTTGACAACGTCTACCTGGTGTTTTCCGCGAACAAATCAGGCGAGTACTTCGGATACGCAAGAATGACATCTAAGATCAACGAAGACCCCGACGCCGCGATCGAGTTTGCCCCCAAAGCACAGTCCGCGAACGACGTCGATTTGCCAAAGGCGATCCCTACCGAACCCACCGAGTACGCGCCAAAGGGCAGGATCATTGACGACTCGGCCCGGGGCACCATTTTCTGGGAAGCAGAGCTTGAGGACGGAGAAAGTGCTGACGAGGAAGAAGAGAATGAGGTGGAGCAAAGCGACGCGAGTAGTCGAAAGAGCGGGAATCAAGAAGCTGATGGTAATACCAAGGCTTGGGGCAAGCCCTTCAAATTGGAATGGCTATCAACGGCACGACTGCCATTCTACCGCACCAGGGGTCTTCGCAACCCGTGGAACTCGAATCGAGAGGTCAAGATCGCAAGAGACGGCACCGAGCTGGAACCATCGGTCGGAAGGAGGCTGATTGGGCTCTTCAATAGGGTCCAGAGCCCTGGCCCAGGATCTGTGCCGGCTATGCGACCCGGAATGGCAATGATCGCAGGATATCCGCCCATGAGGCCACAGTATCAACAATAACTTACTTTCGACAATGCCGACGACATGGCCAGGACTCCTTGTCCGAGTCACTAGCTCGTATGAGTTCGGACTCTGCGGTTTACGATCGGTTGGACATGTTTTCACGACAACAGCCGCATATGCGGGCCATGGCGAACGCTGAGATGGTTGGTTATCTGGATACAGTTTCTCAATGTACCTAATCTGGCTGTCTAATTCTATGAAAGAATTCCGTGTATGTTTCATATGATTTGGAGTCGTAGGGACGGCGTCTGGGCAATTTGACAGCTACCGAGGCAGCTGGCACGGATGGAGTGGTCAACCGAGCATATTTCTTCATTTCTCAGATTCCTAAAAATACCTTAGCTCTCCTACTTGGTCCGGCGGAATGCAGGAAGAATTCAGGATCAAGCAGTTGGATCATGTGCTCTGCGGAACTGCAAATCCAAGACATGTCGTCGATCAACTGTGGCACCTTTCCGGTGGCGAAATCCACATTGTGGCTTGACCCTGGAAGGGATGAACCCGGATGAGCGTCGGGATCACGACTCGAACTGCGACCTCAAACCTTAATTGGCAAGGTAGACGTCGCATGGCTCACATGGCAGGTATCATTCGATTGCCGGTTGATTGCTTGGAGTTGATGTCAACATGCGCGAATTGCCATACGGCTTAATCGGGGAAATTTGCGGTGTCCACTGCAACATGTAAATGTCCATCAGCATCAATTTGACATTGGTGTTCGTCGAACGCGAAGCTAGCGTGGGTACAGTACCGTCGCGATTGGGTGGACAACTGACAGATTTGCTGTCAAGGGTACGCAGTATCCTTGATTGAATCTAAGGTACTCCGTAGACCTTGAAACTTCGCAACTTTTTTCTTGTCAGGTATCTGGACCAAGTTGCTAATGCGACCGGACGATGACTGAGGGTCTCCGTCTCTAGATTTGAGGCGAATGCTTTCCCTACATTCTTCTGAAAGAACCCCCGAGGCCGACGATGATACGCAGTGCCAGTTGGATATATCCGCACTTGACTCGGTAATGTCGTGAGCTCCATCGGCTCCTCCTTCTCAAACGCCCTGCTGCATAATTTGTCCTTCAAAGAGTGGAATAATGTGCAACAAGTTTCGCAGGAACTAAACCAGATATCTGCACCCCCCGGTTTTCGATTCGACGCGATGACGAGGGCGCACGAGGGGGCTGGTTCGAAGAGAGTCTGGACCTGGCCATGGGCGATTGAGAGCCTGGACTCTCGCCCCTGTCAGTCTGTGTGACCAGGTGCGCTAGGGGGCTTAAGACCCGGCACGGACCATCGGTTTGACGTCAAGGGACTGATTTCAATTGGCTGGGCGGTGAGTTGCGTCTTGCTGGACCCTTGTCGGAGGCCAGAACTCTAAAAAATTAGGCGAGGTTGACGTTTCGTGACGGCCTACCGTACGGATACGGATAGAGCGGTTTCGGGCAGCTCTTCGGGGGTCTGGCGATGCGATGTCTATGGTGTTTCGGAGAATGTCGAGACATTAATTGTATGGCTCAATGAGCTGGTTCTGAATGATGAGGATGATTGGAGACACTTACATCGATGTGAACAATGTTTTCCTCAAAATCAACTGGGTTTAATTGCGTGATGTGTCGCTGCGCATTGGCGAGCCAATAGAAGCAGCCAGAAGCTTCCAGCGGCTTCCACCCCCCGAAGCTACCAGAACCATCGTGAGGCCATCGCCAAAGGAAGCTTACAGATCACTACAGAACAGGCTACGCAGCATTCGCGTCCCATCTTCGACGTCCCAGGCCATTCTCGAAAGGTCTTGCAGCGGAGTCTTTGATTTTTCAGCGATGTTTCCAGAACGCTGGGGAGGGCACGATGGCGCTTGCTTCAATAGTATAAATCCATCGTCTTCATCGCTCTTGACAACAACTTCTGTTCGTCGCTAGCTCAAACAATCAAGAACAACAACAAGCAAACTCAAATACAACATTCTTACACAACAAACCCACCCACTTCCCACAATTACTCTATATTCTTGCTCAAAAAGCAACTCACCATACGGCCACTCCAACCACTCCACATTCCTACAACACGCAACAAAATCACCAAGATGGCTTTCTTCCCCCGCAACTTCTACAACTCCGACGCCTCCTTCACCCCTCTTTTCCGCCTCTTGGAGGACTTTGACAACTACTCCCGCCAGGGCAATGGCACCCCCGCTAATGGCGCCCGCGGCCCCCATCGCAACCACGTTCCGACCTTCCAGCCAAAGTTTGACGTCCGCGAGGTCGAGGACGCCTATGAGCTGCATGGCGAGCTCCCCGGTATGAGCAAAAAGGACGTCTCTATCGAGTTTACCGACCCCCACACCTTGCACATCCGCGGCCGCGTCGAGAGAGCCTACACTGCCGGCACCCCGCCCGCGGGCCTCCTCCAGCAGCCCTCCTCTGATGCTGAGATGAGCGGCGCCATTACGGACGGCAGCAGCCACAACGAGACCACCACGGAGCGCCCTCGCTCGCCTCACCAGGCTACCGTCGAGGATGAGGGTGACGACGAGACTAACTCCACCGCGCACCCTACTCCGGCTACGACCGTCGCTGAAGTCGACAAGTCTGCTGCTGCTGCTGCGGCCGCACACACCGCGAAGAAGGAGCTGATCGACAACGCCAAGTACTGGGTCTCGGAGCGCAGCATCGGCGAGTTCAGCCGGTCTTTCAATTTCCCCGGCCAGATCAAGCAGGATGCCGTCTCGGCGAGCTTCAAGGATGGTATCCTCTCGATCCGTGTGCCCAAGGCTCCCAAGCACGAGACCCGCCGCATCTTCATCAACTAAGACGAGCTGTCGATCACTACCTTAGACCATCATGGAGACGATGAGCTTTCCAATTGTACAACATCAATAACGAGAATGAATGGATCGGTATGGGTCTTTTTGGAGGACTTCGCATTAATGTTCTAGCAATTAGTTGGTGTTACGGGTTTCCTTTTCCTTCCTCGCTACCCTACATAATGGCAATGAGAAATAAAACTTTACCCAAAAAAAAAAAAAAAACCACCAGATGAACTCCTTGTGCAGTAGTGACAACGTGCAATGTGAGATTGGCGTGAATGCCAACAACAGAGTAAATCGGTTACTCAATATCCTGAAAACACAAGTACTACACTACTGATATAGGCAACAAATCAAGCTGAGTGCTGGATCCTATTTTGACCCCTTCGTGAATGAACAGGACTACGTTGGGATGTCGTCAATGGACTGGCAAATTGACAAATGCTCTTCCAGGGATGCGGAAGGACATGCTGAAGGGAGTGGTACTTCGTCACTAATAGACGGAGGCCGAGCGCCTTAGTGGTACGCTAACTCCAGACACACGGTGGAGACGACCGGCTTCTTAATTGCTGCACGTGATTTGGCGTATTTTCCCACAGGCCAGTCGCCACCACCAGTCATCCCCGACGCGTCTTAAGAGCCCGCACTCGCCCACCATCAACAGGCTCGTGATCACATGCACACACAATCCGAGTCCCGACGCGCGTAGTACTGCTACCTTTCCTCGCATATAAAACCAGCTCGACTACGTCTGCGAGCAAGATGGCCGACGCTGACGGCTATGACGAGAGCCACAATGGCGACGAGAGCGGCATGACCGGGCCTGGCGCGCCCACGCCACTCACTGCGCTCGAGGTAAGGTCTAAACAGGCTTCTTGCTTCACGTCTGGTATACTGATGAATTTTACGGAAAGGGAGTTGCCGGGTTGACGAAGCGCGATATTCAAATGGTCGTCGACGGTGGCTTCAACACCGTAGAATCCGTAGCGTATACCCCGCGTCGCATGCTGGAGCAGATCAAAGGCATCTCGGAACAGAAGGCAACCAAGATTCTCGCTGAAGGTATGAGCTGCTACCAAAAATCATGCGGAACATTCTGACTGACGGCGTAGCCTCGAAACTCGTGCCAATGGGCTTTACAACCGCCACCGAGATGCACCAACGCCGAAGCGAGCTCATCTCCATCACAACAGGCTCCAAGCAGCTAGATACACTTCTCGCCGGTGGTATCGAGACCGGATCGGTGACTGAGCTGTTTGGAGAGTTCCGTACTGGTAAAAGTCAGATTTGCCACACTCTTGCCGTGACATGTCAACTGCCCTTCGACATGGGCGGCGGAGAGGGCAAGTGTCTGTACATCGACACTGAGGGCACATTCCGACCCGTTCGACTACTGGCCGTCGCCAACAGATTTGGTCTCTCTGGAGAGGAGGTGCTCGATAATGTGGCCTATGCTCGCGCTTACAATTCAGACCATCAACTTCAGCTTCTCCAGCAGGCTGGCGCTATGATGTGCGAGACCCGATTTTCACTCCTCATTGTCGACAGTGCGACAGCACTCTACAGAACCGACTTCTTGGGCAGAGGTGAACTCTCTTCGAGACAAACTCATCTTGCCAAGTTTATGCGCACACTTCAACGTCTTGCTGACGAGTTTGGCATAGCCGTTGTCATCACCAATCAGGTCGTCGCACAGGTTGATGGTGGACCGAGTGCCATGTTCAACCCCGACCCGAAGAAGCCAATCGGTGGTAACATCATTGCTCACGCAAGTACGACTAGAATCAGTTTGAGGAAGGGTCGAGGCGAGACTCGTGTCGCCAAAATCTACGACAGCCCCTGTTTGCCGGAGAGTGACTGTCTGTTCGCGATCAACGAGGACGGAATTGGCGACCCAAGCCCCAAGGACCTGGAGAAGGACTAGACAGGGTACAAGATGACTGGAACAAAGTAGCTGTGATGGTGTTATGCGCATATGAGTGAGCCTTGATACACCCTGGTTGGGAAAGACGGCATGCATTGGTGCTGGCGTTTGGCGGCAATCCTTACTAGGTACACTGGAGTTGTGGTATTTCTGCAGATAAAATGCAGAGCATTTGATAGAAAACGTAATGAACTGCCCTGTGAAGCAGAATTAACATGCTACGAATAGAAGACGCGCCGTCCTCTGTTGCCTGCGACTGACCACCTGACTTGGGATCACGTCTTAAGCCCGCATTCAACCATTGTGCGTACAGTGTGCACTTCGTCACATTACTTTTGAGCACTGTACAAAGCTGGTTGCTGTTTTGGGATAAGCCCCACCAGGCGCGTTGGAGCCTTCAAACAGCCTGGAAATTCCATCAACGCAATCGCGACCAATTTTTGGCTGCCACAGATTGCTTAATGCGCCAAGCCAGATTCGCGACTCTCGCGGCCTCTTCCTCTTCTTTCTTTACGGCGTTAGAGGTCTCGACAGGCTAGGGGCAAAACGAAATGGATTCATTAGACACCCAATACCTATACCGAGAGACTCGTCTCAATCTCGAACCGGCCTACGCCTCGTCCATCGTCAACATCCGCGTCCCCTCGCTGACGTCGAACGGGAGGGGCGCGACCCGCAAGCTCACAAGCGGCGACAAAAACATTAGCGAAGACGAAGTTTCTTTTCGGCTGAAAAACCTAGCACCTGCCTCATCGGTCTACCATCGGAAATGGCACGATGCACCACGTAGCTTCCTTTGGAGGCTGTTGGACGATGGCCTCGTCCTGAGTTTGCGAGCGGTCGACACCTGCCGACAGGAGAAGACGATCGATGCGCCGCTGATCCTAAACTTCCGATTCACAGTGCCTATCCAATCGTCCTGTATTGCTTTCGCCGATCCCCGAGAGCACGATGCGCTATCCGTGTTCGTGCTCGACGAAGCCAACTGCCTGTACTCCTTTACTCTCCGCCCCGACTTCTTCAGAAAGCGCTCCGCCATCGAGGCTGGCCCGGGAGATGCTTGCAAGGTGTACCAGCCAAAGGTCTTTGGCTTTAAACATCCGCATCGTATGGTTGCGGCGAGCACCGACCAGATTATTATTTCCTTGCATGACGGCGGGCTGGTGAGATTAGATCGGAATAAGACACAGGACTGTAGGTCGAACATACCGCAGTAAAGCTCCAAACTAACTGTGCATAGCGACCAGCAACCCCTGGAAGGAGACGATCTACAACTCACAAGGATGGGCGCAGGGCATTCGCAGCTACCTTCCGTTCCAACAGAATCAGTCTATCCGATACCGCAACATCCACATGGACGCGAGCGCAGCGACGTCGATACAGGTCACAAACCTGGGCCTTGATGATGCCGCATTCCTCTTCACAGTCTGTCTCGACCACCGTATGCGCATCTGGAACCTCCGGACCGGCCAGATCTTGTTCACCGGCGACATACTAAACTCTGACCGCAACCCCCAAGAAGTCGGCAAGTGGCAGATTGAGCCGACACAGACAAATTTGCTGCAGTTGGTTGGCGATGGTACAGGCAACAGGATGTGCGCCACGTATTCGCCCATTGGGGCAGGAGAGTTCAAGTTCTGGCACATCAAGGCCCGCGATAGCGACACCGTCTACGTGGAAGATGCCTTCCCGGATACTCACCTTACCCCATCATCACCATCGCTTTCGGATGTGTGGACCCTGGCGGACTTCGTACTTTCAAACCTTGCCGATGGCGGTATCCAGCTGTGGACACTGTGGAAAAACAATATGACTTACAGAGTTCAGGAGCTGGATCTCAATAGAGACAATATAGCCGAGTCATGGGAGAGCGAGTGGGCGTCAGTCCACATTGACACAAGTTATCCAACCGCACCGACGTCCGGATCCTCTGATCCTACAGACCCGACAGAGAAGTGGTTAGATCTTATCCTCACCCCTGGCCGCTTCACCAAAGCAACACTCGAAACGGCTCTGTCTATATACGAAAAGGGACTTTACTCCCAAAAAGAGGGCAGCTCAAAGAGTCAGCAAAAGGGCCTGGCAGAGTCAATCTGTTCTGTGCTTGCTTCAACAGCATCCTTGGACCGGAAGTCGGCTGGTGGTATGGACTACGAGCAATTTCGTGCCAGCAGCGAGACCCAGTGGAGGAGATTTTACCGTCTTCTGATCGAATTGGACAAGCAACGTGGCGAGGCAGTTGCTCTGGTCCTCGACGCAGATTCTGACATGACGTGGGTTGTGTGCGCTGATGCGATCTCCGCCATTAGAGAATGCAGCTCCCTGGAGCGGCTGTACTACAACCTTTCGCGACCAGATGAGGCCTCGGAGAGAATAGCAAACCTTGTATCGACGGGCGTCGGTTTCCTCGATGCGATTTCCGACAGTATACAACAAGTCTGCACTGCCGCCCTGCGACCTGAAATTTTTGAGGAGACGCCTCGAACAGACTACGAACGGCTTCAATACCTCTTCGACACTACCGCTCTGTGGCGCACCGTTAGCGACGAAGACTGCGCACAGGTCATTGAAAGCCTGGGACAAGCTTATACCGGTGTTACGATGGACCTATACCAGAGCTTTTCCTGTTTGATCGCGGCTACAGAGGACTCTGGCAGCCGCAAGGCCCGTCAGCCGCTGACTGACTTTGGAAGGAAGCTCATTGTCAAGGCTGTTCAGGATACGATCGATTTGCAATGGAACATCATCTTCAGCCAGGTCTTGCTCCTGGTGCACATGGAGTTTGACTGGGATCAAGAGGAGGACATGCTCTCTAAACGGATTGACGTCAGCGCCGTGTTCAGACAATTCCTCGAGTCACTTCGTCGATTAGAGCTGCTTCGATGGCTTTCCAAGACTGAAATCACCGTTCCTGTTGGCAACAAGCATGAGCGCAACGACTCCTTCCCAGGCTCGCCCAACACCACTAAGAAAACTGGAGAGGAGACTCAGACGGTCACCGCTTTGGAGGGCAACGTTGGTCATCTCCTCGGCTTTGTCGACAACAGGAACGAGCCTCTCGCTACGAGCATCACAGATATCGTCACGGACCTCTGTGCCTCTAATAGCGACATCGAGGTGTCACCTACTCTGATCCAGTGCTCACTCATTAGGAGGGAGCGAGCCGATCTTGCTCTTGAGCTCACCCCCTACTGCACTCAAACGCCATTCGCCATATATATCCAGGGTCGCGTATTCCTTGCCCTGAAAGACTTTGCCTCGGCCGCCTTCCACTTCCGTAAAGCGGCGATAGGCATGAGTAAGCTAAACCTACCCTAGGTCTTCAACTCAAACTAACGAAGGCAATAGGTGTCAAGGATGTAGATGTCGACCGACACAGCAGCGGGCTCCTCGATGACACCGAGTGGAACCTGCTCAACAAGGGGCCGGCCCGGTACCACTGCCACGCAGTAGCTCTGTTTGAGAAGGCCAAGGCGTACTCCTATGTGATTGAGTTCGCCGGATTGGCTATACAGTACTCGCACGCGAGCCCCGAGGCTGCGCTGGTCCGAAACGAGATGCTTAGCCGACAGTTCAACGCGGCGACGATGCTCTCACGCTTCGACGTCGCCCATACCAGTCTGCTGGCCATGAAGGATAAAGCAATGCAACTCTCCTCCCTTCGCAAGCTGGTTGACAAAATGTGCGAATCTTACCATAATAGCGAACTCATGTCGCTGCCGTTCCCGGGCCTACAAGACTCGATTGACGAGATCCTGGCACAAAGATGCAAGGCGACAATGGACGTCTTGAGCGGCATTCCATACCACCAGATCCTCTACTCCTGGAGGATCAAACATAACGACTACCGCGGCGCCGCTACGGTACTGCTCGACCGCATCCAGAAATTGCGGCACGCCGGCGAGGGCGACAAGCTCATTGGCGAAGATATACTCGACACAGCAGTCACGAAGCAGTATCTGCTGCTCATTAATGCCCTCAGCTGCGTCGATCCAAAGCAAGCCTGGATCTTTTCCGAGGAGCTACCACCTCCTAACTCGAGGGAGACGACCTTCCTGGGCAAGCGCAAGGTCGTCACATTGCCGGACCTGCGTAAGCAATACCAGGACGAACTTGACAGAATCGCCGCCATCCAGAACAACCAGTTCGGATTCGAGGCTGACGATGCAGTGGACATTTTGTAAATGGATGAAATGAGCAGGACAAGATATCAAAAAAAAGGCAGTGCGGGCCGAGGGTTTACTTAGTAAGGGATGGAGAGCATGTGTACAAGTAATCAAGACGCAATCCTGGACCGTACAGAATGATCCATGACACCAGATACCTCACGAATTGCATGGATTGGGCTTTCAGTTTTTGTTTTCGGTAATCGGGTAGATGGAGAAGAAGAAGAAGAAGTTCATTGTTTATGTATCAGTGCAGCAGACCCAGCTTTGTTTACCCCAAACGCCGTGACCTATGCTAAAACTACGGGGGACGGACTGACGAGGACCTTCGTCATGGCAGCGGCCACATCATACCTCCCTATTCGTCAACAACTCATTACTTGTAAATCACGCCGTCTACTCTCAGAGGCCTCTATGCCTGCACGGACTGGCCCATTAATTTGGGGTTCTCGGGAGCAGCAGCCATGATCATGTTAGGACCAGCAGCCGCGTCGGGGGCTTGACGGTAGAGGATAATTTCCGACTGCTTGAAATACCGCCGCGCATCTGACGTCTTCTGTTAGCTTGCTGTGATGTAGAGATATCATGAACGGGTGGGTGGGTCTTGCCTTCGTCGATGAGCACGAGACTGAGATAGTATCGGGTGGAGAACTTCTTGTTCACGTCCCGGAACGTCGGCGTCAGATCGAAGCCGCCGAGGAAGAGGCGGATAGGGATCGTCTCTCCTCTCGAAGGCGAGCCGTCCATAATCTTTCCAGAAAAGTCAGTACGCTTATTATCCCAAACGAACGAGGCCTGCTTGAAGAACTCACTTCGAACCGTACCAAGGTCTCGCTCTCATTGTACTGATTCGGCGCGGCGCCCGTCGTCTCCCTCCGGATGATGGACAGCTCCATGTGTTTTATCTTGAGTCGGACGAGAAGGAAGTATATCCGCCCGACGATAACGTCCTTTAGGTGGTATTTGGATTTGGAGTACTCAAACTCAATGTGCAGGCAGTCCTCGATGCCGACGTCCATCTTGATGGACGAGTTCATTTCAGGGGGTATGCGGTACGAGTAGACCCAAATATCCTTCTCGCGGATGACGTCGGCCATGCGGCGGGAGACGGTGACGCGGACAAAGTAGCGCAGCTTGACGTTGATGCCGTTGTACGACTCGTACTGCTTCTCGACGTTTTTGAAGTTGAAGTCGAACGTCTGTGGGTGCTGCAGCTCGCCCGGGGCCGCGAGCTCCTGGACGAGGGACAGGAATTCGTAGTGGTTTCCGCGGTCAAAGAACATTTCTGCACACAGGAGGATATCAGCATAGGTGGAACAGGGAAACGAAGACTCGCGCCAAGTGGTTTCAAAGGACTTACCTATCGTGCCGATGAATTGCACCTTGATGCCGGTGTGTTCTAGCCGCTTGCCGTCCTTCGGTCTGATGGTGACGGCGCCCTTGACGGACTCGCCATCCATGTACAACGGCGCCTTCTCGCGCCGGTTCTTATCGAGCTTGACATCAACCATGGACCGCTCGTCGGCATCCTCTAGCACAATGTCAATGTCGACAGGGGTTGAGAAGAAGTACGACATCTTGGCCTATGCGGGGGAATGCCCGGATCTCGCGCGTCTGTTTCGTTTCGATGCTCAGATGTAAGGGAAAAGGCGTGCAGAGTCCCAATGGCTAAGATTCGGTCGCCCGTCGTCGCCAAAGGTTAAAGATTCAGGCGATTGATATCGGGTTGTCGGAGAAGGAGGGTGGGAGCTTCAAGGCTGACGTATCTGTACGTGCGCTCACTCTGCTTGCGCTCTCCAGTTGCACGCCGGCCCAGCTATCGAGGTGGGCAGCAACTGGAGCTGTCGAGAATGGATCCTCCCATTGGCTGATGTTGACACGTGACTATGCCAGGCATTCATCTTCGGAGATTGCGGCTGGTGCTCCGGAGCTGTGGCTGAAGCTCAGCGTTACAGGCCCGGCCTCCACCGCGGCCTTGTAGCCCCCACCAAGCTCCGGAAGCCGTTTGGAGCAGGGCAAGAGGTGATTCAATTACGCACAAACTATTCTTATTCTATCACGTGCACTCAAGCCCTCGCTAGAACTTTTGCACCCCACACCGGAAAATTGAATCGCGACTGCCAGACCCCGACTTGGAACTTTTTTGGAAATAGAAGAGTTGTTCCTCATCGCCCAACGTCCGACCAGTCGCCCAGTAGATCGCCCAGCCGACAACCTCCCTCCCTCCCCGACGTCAAGATGAGATACATCCACTCCCAAGAGAACCTGACGGTTCCCGAGAATGGTATGTGAAGCAATGCCATCGTCGTCGTCGTCTTGAAATCTTGAAAATCAGATGGCGCAACGATCGAGCACACAAACACCGAAAATCCTCTCCCCCACGATGCGGCACCCTGCGAGCTCCGCCGGGTTTTGAACTTCACGATACTATATTACCTATTTGTCGCCATTCGCACTTTGAGTCTCTCGCCTTCCTCTGTCATGGTCGCAACCTCGATGCCAATGGCAACATGGTCGCTGGCGCAAAAGAAAAGAAAAAAAGAACGAAAGTTGAATCACAAATGGCAGAGGGATTTGGGGAGGCTTGAGGCGGACAACGCAACATTTGGGTTTTTGGATTGACAAAGTTTTGGACTGTGGATGAGCTCGAAAGGAGCAGTAGTGGCAGGCAATTGAATGCATGCTGACTTGGATTCTCCAACAGTCAAGGTTCACATCAAGTCCCGCATCGTCACCGTTGAGGGCCCCCGTGGTAAGTACAAACTCCTCTTCCAGTCGCGATTCTTTGAATACATCGCGACCGACCTCCGCTTCCTGTTGTGCTCGACCCCGACTGCGGGAGGAGGACCCCTTGATAAGACAGTATGGCTGACACCATTACCAGGCAAGCTCGTGAAGGATCTGTCCCACTTGGCTGTCAACTTCTCCCAGCCGGTCAAGGGCACCATCAACATTGAGATCCACCACGGCTCAAGAAAGAACGTTGCCACCCTTCGCACCGTCCGCACCCTCATCAACAACTTGATTATCGGTGTCACCAAGGGCTTCAAGTACAAGATGCGCTACGTCTACGCCCATTTCCCTATCAACGTCAACCTGGAGAAGGACTCCGAGACTGGTCTGTGGGAGGTCGAGATCCGGTATGTCGCAACATTTCTTCCGCCTATGACTTGCAAACAGCGAGGCTAACATGTCACCTTCAGCAACTTCATCGGCGAGAAGCTCGTCCGCAAGGTCGTCATGCGCGAGGGTGTCGACGTCGAAGTCTCCAAGTCGCAGAAGGACGAGCTCGTCCTCTTCGGCAACTCCCTTGAGGCTGTCTCCCAGTCCGCCGCCGATATCCAGCAGATCTGCAAGGTCCGCAACAAGGATATCCGTAAGTTCTTGGACGGCATGTACGTCTCCGAGAAGGGCAACATTGAGGAGGAGGCTTAAACGCATCCAAAATCACATATCTCTCGATGAATCAAAAACGAAGGTATTGATTGATGTATGAGCCTGAGGAGGGGAGCAAAACCAAAAAGGTCAAAACAGGTCATGTTTTTCGAGGCAAATGCCAAAATTAAATCGGGGTTCTGGGTCTTACACAATTGGCGTGGCCGGGGTTCCATTTACTTTGCATTGTGTAGCGCAGGGCTACCATGAATCACACAAAAGTCAAGAAGACGTTGCCTGCTCCCTCTCCGAGCGGTATATCCCACGACATCCTTACTATACACCTACCCGCATGGGAAACTCTTTATGGTGAAATGATACCCACTCAAACGTTCTGAAAAATTGGAAGAAGAAAAAAACTACTCTTCCCCACGTCGATGTGATGTGAAGTAATATGGTTGAGGATATCAGAGGCAACACATTGTTCACAATCTTCAATCCAATCTGCATTGAGCTGTGACAGAACGACGCCACTGTAGCCACCTTTACGGCTGGCTTGAGAATTTTGAGACGAGGGACTTGCTGACTTCAATCGTTGTCCTGATGAAACAATAATCAGACCAAACTTGGCTAGACTAATCTTGTACAAGAGCCCATTATCGTCTCGCGACTTTCAATAAGTAGATTTCTCGAAAAAGTCACCTTATTAGGTTCGCACAAACCTCTTCTGAATTTAACACCAACCAAACCCAGCAATTTGCTATTGTTAATCAAGCAACCCAACGGAACAGCAACCCATGTAAACTTCAAGAGATAATGCGAAAGCCGCAAGAGGTGGCGAGACCAAAAAGAACTGACCAGCCTGGGGGTCGAACCCAGAATCTCCTGATACCATTGGCCAACGTTTTCCTCGCCCGGGGTCCGAACGAGGGTAAACGCAATCGTAGTCAGACGCCTTGCCATTGGGCCAACCGGCCACTAGTGAAGTGGATTCGAACTCAGAGTCTAGCTTTCGCGCTGTGTTTGCATGCCCCTCGAGACGGACAGCCTTTGCAGGACTCGCTCGAGAAGGCCTGGTTGGTAGAAGAGACATGGGCAAAGCCACATAGGCTTCAGACAGACGGCCTAAACTCGAAACACAGACCGTTCGTGGAAACAGATCTTGTTCCATGCATGATCAAACGCACGCTGTGCGTAAGCGCCGCATGTTCATCCCAACTCGTCCATTTCTACGCCCATCTCCCGAGAAAGCTTTAGCACGGTGGCTGCAAATACAGTTGAGCTTGAATCAACAACACGCGACGGATAAGCTTGTAGTAAGCCAGTCAAAGATTTGGTTTCCATTACATGCAATAAGGGCGTCGAGAGTTCCGTCTATGCCATCAAAATCGTTCTGAACATCGTACATGCTATGCGGGTTGGGGTTTGCTGAAGCAGATGAATGACAAGGGAGCCATGCCAAGGAAAATGAAAGTAGGAAACGCTTAATGTCCAAGGAGAAGATCCACCCAAATTCTTCCAACTCTCTTGGACATTTCCAAGCCCTTCGTGACTCTCCACCAAAATTTTCATCTCTTCGTCAATCTTTCATACCTCCTTCATCGCCGAATGTCTCGTCTCTCGTGCCCTGTAGTATCCATCACCGGGTTGTCGCAAACCCGGATAGAGTATGATATCCCCATAACGCCAGAAGAAAGAAGAAAAGGCAATAATAACAACTTATGTACGTTCAATGCATGTTCGGGCTTTACACTGCCTTGCGAGGAAGACGGCCACAGCATGGGCAATTCAACACAGGTCGAGAGAGAAGTTAAGATACTACCTCCGTGAGTGACGCGTCGTGTGTGTGCCACGTGTGTGGCCGGTTCGGTGAGTTCTTCCACCCGAGCTAGAGCTGCCTAGGTAGGACGTCAGATCCGATCGATCCCGAGAATCCCATGAAGACTCACTGGGATCTGTTGCCGAGTACGAGTAGTATGAGTCCGTATAGCTCGACCGAGGCTTGGCCTTTGGCTTATCCTTCTTGAGATTCAAGAGTGCCAACATAGTCGCGGCGGCGGCTCCCAGGCCCAACCACTTGGCGCCGTCCTTCTTCTCTTCCTTGCGACGGGTAGCCGGGGCGGGACGACCACCTCCTGCGAACCAGCCGCCGTGCGAAGGGCGGCCAGAGTGGGCCGAGGGCATACGGCTACCGTGGCGCGAGTATCTCTCCTCAACCACCTCGACTCGTTCGCGGCTGTGCTCCTTCTTCTTCTTGCCGCCAAAGAGGAGACCCCACAGGCCGCGAGCGATGCAGCAGAAGCAGAGCAGCATGAGGAGTCCGAGACCAGCAAGCGTGCCGATGACGATACCTGCAATTGCGCCGCCGCTCAATCCTCCACCAGTGCCCCCGCCGGTGATGGGCTCGGCTGTAGCGGTGCTGGTTGCCGAGGCGGCGGTGCCGGTGGCCCTGGTGCTCGTGATGCGGTAGGGAGCGGAGTACTGGGTCGTGATTGTCTGGCCGCCCGAAGTGATTGTGGTTACGCCTCCGCCCCAGCCGTCGCGCTGAGCGCATTGCCCTTGGTAGGCACAGTACTGGTAAGCCGCACAACAAATGCTGCCACAGGCCGTCTCTCCATCACCCTGCGGGACACAGGGGGCCCCGGTACCTCCTCCAGCTGGCCCTGTTGTCATTGCGGGCCAGTTTGTCGATATTGTGCTGGTAAAGGTCTCCGTCTCAGTCCAGGTTGTGGTGTAAATGCCATAGCCTCCACCTCCGCTCACGGTGCTGCAGCCAGCGATATTGTTAACTGTGTAACACTGTTCTCCGGATCCACAGCAGTATTGGGAATCGGCCCCGCAACGCTGGACGCAGTCGCGCTTCATAAACTGATCACCAAGGTTATAAAAGAGGTTGTTGGCGACATTTTGGAGAGGATAAGGATGGGCGAACACCGGAGTGGGGGCGGACACCAAGAGAAGAAGGCCGGCGACCAGAGGGGCCGTTGCCGAGTGCTTGCGCCGTGCCATTTTTTTTTTTTTAGAGTAGCGGAAGCCGCTTGTTCGGCGTCGTCAATTGCCAGGAATGCGGGAAACCGGAAAGACGGTGAGGTGAGAATCCAAGTCGGCTCACCCCACGCTTGCCGCTATCGTCAGCTCAATGGGGATGTTGATAGGATTCGTCTTGTTTCGTTGCCTCGTGGGCGCCCCAGTTATGGGCGAGAGGAATGTTGCAGCGGCAGGATGAGGTATTAATGGTCGGCGGGGGTAAGGAGAGGAATGGTGATTGAGTGTGAGCTGGCAGACCTAGCCTGCTATTGTGCAGACGTATCGTATCGGCAGGGACTGAGAGCTTGGAATGTCGTGTTTCTTGCGTTCAATAGGAAGCAACCAAGAAGTCGGGGAGAATGAAACCTGCAGGTAAGTTTGATTTAAGAGAGGGAGAAGGCGCTGACGGACGGGAGTGTCGTATTACTTGGATTGGGCAGTCTGATTGTCTTTTTTTTTTTTTTTTCCTTGGCCGTCGCGCGGGTCGATTCCCAACCTCCTTGAAGTCCAACCTCTTGATTTTGCTGCCGCTGTCACAGGAGCACCCACCCTTGACACCCACAATAATACCCTCAAATAATGCAAAGTTCCGCAGGGATCTAGCTTCACCGATCAGTTTCTGGCCAATCTCTGACGAGGGGGACTGTAAAGATTCCTCTTGAGTGCGCGATTCCGTCACACTTGCCGCTTCTTTCTCTGTTCTTGTTCCTGAAGATCGGGCGCCGAGATGTGGTTCCCTCTTCTCTTAGACCAGAGACACTCGGAGCAGACGAGGGTTATAAGTGGCCCAGTGCGGGGAGATGCCTGTATGAGTTGGCAGGAATGGGTCGCTAGTATGTTTGTGACTGGCCCGGCCGAGAGCGCCAGGTTCCCACTTGTTTACTACTTGCAGGGGCCTGTCCGTCCACTGGACGACAATCGATAGGCAGTGTACCTAGGTAGGTAAGGTATCTAGGCAGAGAAAGCATGTTCTGTTCAACTATTTTCAGGAACGACTGTTGGCCCTGCTGTTTATTACTTCCGCCAGGTCCTGTTTCGCAGGCTTTTTGTGCCGAATGAAGCAGCTAGCGAGCTCCTTCCTTGGCCGGTTGCCAGAGACAGGCGTTCTGGGTTTACTCTTAGTCTTCCCGTCTAGTGCCTTGTAACCATTGGCAGCGACGCGCTTTAGCCCATCGTGAGCTGCATCTATGAGATCATGCTCATTTCCGCGCTGTCACATAAACCTTATGTACCTCAGTCTTAGTGAGGTAGTCATGACCTCGCAAACGAAGACCTAGGGCCCAGTAAGCACAATCTTTGACCCGTAGAGGATAGACTAGCAGCGCAATGACAGCTCATGCGCTGGCTTCTGGAACCACGATGAGATCTCGGCAGGTGTCAGTCCGTGGGTTCCGCAACCTTTGACAACATCAAGTGAGCCCGGCCAGCGGGATGAGACTCCGCAGTGTTCATCACCAAGTATCCGTAGACTGTGAAGTATCCGTACTGGCTAGTGACGCCTTTTTAAGATTCAAGGGGCTTCTTTCCATGTGCGTGCCTTGCATATTGACGTGGGCCAGCTTCGTACATGGGTAACTCGTGCAGAGAGAAGAAGGAAGGGCAAGCGTTGTTCAGCTTTATCTGGAGAACCGAGTCTCAATGAAAGCTGCACTTGGGGAAAAACGGGTGGTTGGAAACCGGGGCAACTAGGTCGTACCTAGTGTACGGATAAGGTAGTGATACTGGAAGCAACAGAGTGTGTACAATGTACCATTGTAAGAAACAGTGAGCCAAGCTTTGCGAGTGGAGGTGATTGGAGAATGTGCACCGCCGCTACACTCCATCACGTGGGTCGGTGTTCACTGGCTGTAATTAGCTTTGATGGGGCTGCCAGAGCTGCCACCTGTGGCTGGTGTAGAATTGGATCCCAAGCCAATCAGGTGCCACCAGCCTGACGCTGTGACCTGAGCAAGGAAGTGACCCAAAAACCGGGCGGGCGCGGCTGCGGCTATAGCTTGAGCATTATGTTCGTCAGACAGCTTCCCGCCGCAACGACCAGCGACCCTCAGCACCGCCGAATCCATCCCCAACGTCCATCCCCAAACACTCCTTCGGCGACGCAGGTCCATCTCCAATCCGAAGTCGTCCGGGTCGCTACGTCCCCCGACTCGCCGCCATGTCTCTCGAACCTCCCACCTACCTGGCCTCGTTGCAGAACAACATCCGCCAGCGGCCAATCCCCTGGGATGGCGCTGTTAGAGCAGGCACCATCACGGAGGACCACCTGGCCCGCATCCGCGCTGTCGACAAGGCGAAGAAGCCCGAGGCTAGAAAGGAAATCGTAGAAGGAGATCTTGACGGCTACCGCTCCCTCTTTGTTGGCGAATCTGGAAAGCCCTCAGTGCTCGAGTCCGCGGGCAAGCAGGCCAATGTCGTCCAGTATATTCTCGTCCTCTTGGCCGACCTCTTGCCCAGTATGTTCTTTACCATCCACCTAACCCGACAAATTGCTTTGGCTAGAGTCTCCCTACCCTACCCTACCCTAGTCTGCGAAGAGATTGACATACTTCGACGATCCCTTCATACACCTCAACTCCCGCTGATGCTGTTGTCTTTCTCAATAGGTGTACCGTCACTCTCAAAGGCTATTTTCAAAAATACCGACCCCTACAAGCACTTTGTACCTTTACTCGCTCACTCGAACAATACCGAGGACCCCATCCCATTGCTGACATCGACGGCTCTAACTAAGCTCATGTCGCTCTCGTTGGACGAATCGCAGGCGACCCGAAACGCCATCCCGGTGCTCCTTTCATACCTGTCTGGCCTCGCAAAGAGTTCTGATGCAGGTCTTCAGGACATTGCGGTCCAGGAGTACTCCTCCATTCTCTACGGACACGCAGCGAGACAACAATTCTGGAACCAGAGGAGCGAGACGATTGCACCCCTGATTGATATCCTCAGAACAGCAGCTGGCATTGGCAGCAACGGCAGCTCTACAGCAAGCATATGGAGTGGCACCGCGCCCACAAGAAACTCTGGGTTTGAGGGTTCGCTCGGCGGCGGGGTTGGCTTGCAATTGCTGTACCATGTGCTGCTGGTTATCTGGCAGATGAGTTTCGAAGCTGAAGATATTGGCGACGAGCTGAATGAGTATGTACGCTCCAGTCAAATGAACTTCTCAGACTAATGATATTTAGCGAGTACGATATCGTCCTGCTGTACACCCAGCTTTTGCGCCTCTCTCCGAAGGAGAAGACAACCCGATTGGTTGTTTCAACCCTTTTCAACTTGCTCAGCAAGAACCAGAAATCGCTCCTCCCTACCGCGGTTCTCGCGCGACTACCTGCGCTCCTTGACAACCTGAGCGGCCGCCACCTGACAGACCCTGATCTGCTCGAGGATGCACAAAGTCTCAAGGAACTTCTCGAGGAGTACACCAAAACAAAGACGACCTTTGATGAATACGTTGCCGAGGTCGAGTCTGGCCACCTCCGATGGTCACCACCTCACAGAAGCCAGGTGTTCTGGGCCGAGAACGCGCGAAAGATTCTGGAGCACGAGAATGGAGCGATTGCGCGCCAGCTCGCCGAGATTATGAAGAAGCCATGGGAGAACGACAAGGCAGTCTTGGCTATTGCATGCAACGACGTCGGGGCCCTGGTCAAGGAGGTGCCTGAGATGCGATATAAGCTGGAGAAGCTTGGTCTAAAGACCAGAGTTATGGAGCTAATGGGAGAATCGGACGAGAATGTCCGCTGGGAGAGTTTGAAGGCATTGGGTGGCTGGTTGAAGTACAGCTTTGACAACTAAATTTGTTTCCGGAGCACGAACAATAGGGCTATTGGTCCAGGCTCTGTGTATATATAAATGGGGGACAGCATTACCCAGGCAGTTTAGAGTGGACCAGGAGTCGTTCCCGCATATGACCATTGTTTATTTGTTGGTCAACCCTCTCGGCCTAAATCGACATGTGCAGCTCACCCAATTTATCCTGCTTTTCTCCCAAGTTTATGGATAGAACAGGCCATATGGCGACGATCAGTCGATCAGGATACTATGACGCGGAGCCCAGTCCCAGCGCCCTTAATAAGCATCGTGGAATGCACTTGGGGTTCCGGGGCGGCGTTAGAGGTGCGGATACGGGCGTTCTACCATCTGACGAGCAAATCCGCCGCGGCGGATATTCACCCGAGGCCCATCAAGACATTCCGGCAACGTCAGGGGTCGGCCCCGTCTCTTGAGTTTTGCCAGCCCAATGGGAAGGGTGGAGCTATCCTCAGGTAAGGAGGTACCTAAAATAAGGGGTCCGAATGTACTCCGGAGCTTATCATACGGGCGGTACGTGCCTGGCGGGGTCGCACCACCCCACGCCAAACGTCAACCCCTCAGTTATTAGTGATTCTAGATCCCAGACTGTGGGAAGATCCCAACAGAAACTCCACCCGAAAGAGCTCTCGTGGTTCAGGGTCCATAGCTTACCACAGCTTCCGGTCGCATGTCCGATCGTGTACCCTCGAACCCTTTTCCAAACGCCGAAGAGCCGTTCGTGCCCACGAACAAAACCAGACACACCCGCTCTCGCATCCGCCGCCCACGCACACCTCCTTTTCTCTCATACCACCACACAACACACGCAAACGCCCACAGGTTTCTCTCCATTCGTTGGCTACTGCAAAATGGCACCCAAGGCAATCATAGCTCCGTCGATTCTCGCAGCCGACTTTGGTCATTTTGGCCATGCATGCTCCAAGACCATAGAGCAAGGCGCTGACTGGCTTCACGTTGATATTATGTACGGAGATTATACCCCGCCAGAAAAAAAATCAACACACAGCATCTTCCGACCGCTTTTTGGAGAGCCGGTCGCAAAGGGACTGTTTACGTATCCGAGTCAAGCCGTGGCTAACTTACATGATTTCGTAGGGACGGCCACTTTGTGCCCAACATCTCATGGGGGCCGGGTGTTGTCGCCAAGATTAGAGGCCATGTCGAGAAGCCCATCGAATCATGGGGAAAAGGCACATTTGACTGTCATATGATGGTTTCCGAGGTAAATGATTTCGCTTCGCCCTGGGCATATGCTTAGTTACAAAGCTTCTGGGCCGCCAAACGTCCATTTGCGGTATCCCGGCGTATAAAGAGAAGTATACTAACGCATGCGTCGATTTAGCCCAAGAAGTGGGTCAAAGGCATGAAGGATGCCGGCGCAGACCTTTACTGCTTTCACTACGAGGCCGCCTTCTCCTCCGACTCCGACAACCCAGAGGTCAAATCCGATGAGAAGACGAACCCCCGCGCCCTGATCCGCTACATACATGAGCAAGGCATATTAGCCGGAGTCGCTCTGAAACCCGCAACCTCGGTCGACGTTGTGTGGGAGCTCCTCGAGAGTGAAGATCCACTCGAGAGACCAGACGTGAGTAATTCCAGCCCTTTCTTAACGAGCACCTGTTACACCACAAAATGGGGTCTCCGCGAAGGCGCATTGGGCTGACAGGGGTCTCTCCACACACAGATGGTCCTGATCATGACAGTCGAGCCCGGTTTCGGCGGACAAAAATTCATGGCTTCTGAGCTGCCTAAGGTCCAGGCCCTCCGCGAAAGGTACCCAGAGCTCAATATTGAGGTTGACGGCGGCCTGACTGGGGCCACCGTCGGCCAGGCTGCCGACGCCGGCGCCAATGTCATCGTTGCTGGCAGCGCAGTCTTTGGTGCCCAAGACCCTGCAGAGGTCATAAAGGTCCTGAGACAAGCCGTCGAGAAGAACACCGGCAAGCTCTAGAGAACGGGGATCCACGCCAAGCCAGCCGCGACTTTTTCTCACGGCCACGTTTTACGACTTTACTTTTCTTTGTCGGTTTTCTTTTTCCTCTAAAAAAAGCTGTGGGAGCCATGATTTATGTTCAGCGTTTATAGATATCAGACGGACAGCAACTTTCCGGTGGTATGCCGGAGTTACAGGTCTTTCTAATCCTAATTCAATCACTTCATACACTACTTGGCCTTTTGTTGCAGTGCCTTGTCCAGGGCCGCAATAAAACCACTGATTTCGTCGACTGCATTTGATCAGCATCATGCACAGGTCTCAAGGCCGCACTTGACTTACGACTGTTGTAATGAACCATGCTAACCCGAATAATCCCGTCGGTAGGATCTAATTGCAAAATATCTTCGATGAGCCGGTACGAGTAGAAATGACCCCATCGGAAGGCAAAATCGGACTCATTTTCTACGGCATTGACGATCTCCTTGGTACCCCAGCCTTGCACTCTAAAGCTGATAGTCGGGACACGGCGTTCGATGCTGGCATCTGTCTCGCCGTAGATCGTCGTATCGCCGCGGCTGTTGAGGTATTCGAGCAGGGTGGACTGGAGCTGCCGTTCTTGCTCAATCTTGCCCTTCCAGCTCCCGGAATCGGGGGTACCGAGGTACTCTAGCACCCGCGGGACGGCCGAAACCAGCTCATAGCTGCCCCCGGCAAGTCCCAGCTTCCCTTCGAGGGATTCGCTCGGGTTGAAGAAGTGGCCCAGAGAGCGCATGTGCCCGTCTTGGACCGCGCGGCTCGCGTATAGCATCGCCGTGTGCGGGCCGTAGACCTTGTACCACGAAAATGCGTAAAAGTCGACCTCGAGGGCCTTGACGTCGATGGGGCGATGCGGAGCGTACGCCACGCCGTCGACGCATACGAGGCCCTTGGGTGTCGACTCATGGACAAGGGCGGCCACGGCGGCGACGTCGTGGATCGTGCCCAGGATGTTGCTCGCGTGCGTGAGGGTCACCAAGCGGGTCTTGTCCGAGAGTAAGGGCCTGAGGTTCTCCGCGGTGAGCTTTGGGTTTGTTGTTGCCGCTGTCGCGTCCGAGGGCTTCCACCACTTCAGCTCGAGGCCCTGGCGGGCGGCGAGGTCGACCCAGGATGCGATGTTGGCTTCGTGGTCGACTGCTGATACAACGATTTCGTCGCCTTTGCTGAAGGAAAGGGTGTGGGATAGGTTGCGGAAGAGCTGGGTTGTCGAAGCGCCGAAGACTGCGGTTGCGTCAGATTTCTGAACCGGGGAAAAAGTCGAACATGGTTAATACCAATCTCGTCAGAAGATGCGTTGATGTACTTTGCTCCGGCCTGGTAGCCTTCACCGTAGGAGGCAGTCGCCTTCTGGCCGACTTTGTATGAGGCGCCTAGCTGGACATTGGTCTGTGTGAGATAATCCCGGATACTGAGACGTTTTGTCAGTGTGAATTCGGAGTGCTGCTTCAATATAGCTTGACGACATACGAATCAATAACGGTACCCAGCGTCTGACTTCCACCTGCGTTATCGAAAAAGACCTGGTCTTGGCCTAGAGCCGGGAACTTGCTTCTCACGGCTGCGATGTCTATTTGAGACGACATATTGACTGAGGTTTCAAGGACATTAAAGCTAACCATGTGTTGAAACAAGCAAGGAATAATTATTGAACAGCCTGGGAAGTGAGAGGAAATGAAGCTATCGTGATGAGGAATCAGTCCAAGTCTCAAGATATAAGATTATGATGTTAGGTGCGGGGCAGGGCGCAAGAGACGTAAAGAAACTGGGTTCAGACGATTGGAGAGCTGTCCAATCGAGAGAGTGAAGTGGTTTAGTACCAGGAAGCCCGCAAGTGGGAAAAGCCAATTGCTCTAGTGTTTATGGATGCATGACGTTTTGGCGCGGCGGTGGACCAGTGCTGGCGGTGGGCGGGGGAGGATGGAGGGGCAGCAAGCAGCACGAGAATGGAAGTGCCCTGTGGGGCGCGGGGTCGGTGGTTGGCACGGCTCACCCGAAGCTGGCCGTTCCATCTTCCGTCCGGCCCATGGGAGAGCCTCCGCAGCCAAGCGTCGTTGCACACTTTTATTCGTCCCAATCCTTTGGACGGTACTTTTATCTTTACAGGGGGGTTGGGTTTGGTAACCTACCTTTGGACTGAGAGGGAAGCGAGAAAAGTTGAGTAGAGTAATTGCCGGCTATTCGACTCCCACCCAGTCAGCCTTCATGCATAGCTTCTGATACAAGATGCAGCTCATGCAAACCTCAAGCGCCAGGATTGAATAGCGCATGTCAGATATATCTGGACAACGGCATTGGCTATCTCCCAGTCAGGCTGGCGGTCCGCCATGGTTGTGCAGAAGAGTGAAGCAACCGGCGCTTGCACCGTCCTGCGGATAAGTCCCTAGAAGCGCGTTTGGAGAGAACCAACCTTTTGCCAGATCTGATCATTGGCCGCGCCGGCACTGTACGAGTCCTCTTCTGCATCCATTTCCACTTTGCAGGGGCCAACTGTGGGACGGTGCTTGCCCATGGGACGATTTGGCGCGAAAACAGCTGCTGGGAAAAACTTTATGTGGGACCTCAGCCCACGTCGGTTCCGATCAGCGACAGCCCAGCTGGCCGTCACAAATATGAAATACTGGGAAGCTGCCAACACTTTTTCTTTACTTTCCTCCCGATCAAAAAAGAGTTGCCCAGACTCAATCGATCGCCGAAGATGAAGCGCAAAGCCAGTTCACGAATTGACGACAAGAGAGCGTCCAAGAAGAAGACCAAGACGAGTAAGCCACCTGTTCCTACAACAACCTCTGAACTTTTTCTCCTGCTCCAATGTCGTCACTAACACCGAACTTTCTCGCCCATGCGCAGCTCTCTCGGCCGACGTCGCAAAGTCGAGGTTCCGCAAGGGTCTCTTTGACAAGAAGGCCCACGACTCCTACACAAAGCAGTACGCCGAATCGAGCCCGTACAAGCACTCCGTCATCAACGAGCTCGTCGACGACGCCCTGCTGCGCTCCGTCCGCGACGAGATCCGCGAGAACGTTTCCTTCACCCCCAAGGAGACGGACATTTATAAGATCCACCAGTCTGGCGACCTCGCCAACCTCGACGGCCTCGACGATGACGCCCTCGCCAAGCTCCCGAGCCTGCTGTCGCTGCGCGACGCCATTTACTCCGAGACCTTTCGCAACTACGTCTCCCACATCACCGGCTGCGGGCCCCTGAGCGGCCGCAAGACCGACATGGCCATCAACGTCTACACCCCCGGGTGCTACCTCCTCTGTCACGACGACGTCATCGGCAGCCGTAAGGTCAGCTACATTCTCTACCTCACCGACCCGGACAAGCCGTGGAAACCCGAGTGGGGCGGCGCCCTGCGTCTGTTCCCCGTCCTCGAGCAGGAGGGCAAGGACGGCGAGATTGCAAAGACGCCGGCGCCCGACCACACCAAAGTCATCCCGCCCGCGTGGAACCAGCTGTCTTTCTTCGCCGTGCAGCCTGGCGAGTCCTTCCACGACGTCGAGGAGGTCTACCACGCCGAGTCCAAGGCCCAGCTCGAGGCCGAGGGGGGGCGCATCCGCATGGCGATTTCGGGCTGGTTTCACATTCCGCAGATCGGCGAGGACGGCTACGTCGAGGGGGCCGAGGAGAAGCAGGTCAAGAACTCGGGTCTCATGCAGCTCCAGGGCAACCCGGACCAGCACGACACCCCGCGGGCGCGGCCCGTAAAGGTGGACAGGCCCAAGGCGAGCCTCGAGGGCTTCGACGAGGCCGGGCTCGAGTTCCTGCTAAAGTACATTGCGCCGACATACCTCACGCCGGACACGCTGGAGCAGATCTCTGAGCACTTTGAAGAGAACTCGAGCATCACGCTCTCCAACATACTCTCCAAGAAGTTTTCCGCGAGGTTGAAGGAGTACATTGAATCCCAGGAGAAATCCAAACCCCTCCCGGACAATGACAGTGAGGCCATCGAAAAGAAATCCGCGTGGCGCGTGGCGCGACCACCGCACAAGCACCGCTTCCTCTACCAGCAGCCCGCGGGTGCCCACGAGCTGCGCAGCTCGCAGGAGGAGAACCCGCTCACGGAGCTCCTCGACCACCTACTCCCCTCGCGGCAGTTTCGCGAGTGGCTGCAGGTCGCCACGGGGACCTTGGTCGAGAGCCACGAGTTCCTCGCGCGCCGGTTCCGCCGCGGCCAGGATTACACTCTTGCGACAGGGCATGACGGCAAGCCCCGTCTGGAGTTCAACCTTGGCATCACCCCGTCCAAGGGCTGGGGCGACGAGGAAGAGGAAGAGGAGACCGGAGAGGAGGAAGAAGGACAAGAAGAAGAAGAAGAAGAAGCAAAAACCAACGGCAAATCGTCAAAGAAGCGCAACAAGGGCAAGGGTAAGGCTAAAGCTGAGCCGGAACCTGAACCGAAGGAAGAGGAAGAAGAGACAGAGGTCGGCGGGCATGAGGTCTACATGGCGGGCGACGACGGTGAGGAGGACGAGGACGCGGCCATCTACAAGTCCTCGGGCGACGACGACAATATCCTCTTCTTCCAAGCCGCCGCGTGGAACAAGCTGACGCTCGTGCTCCGCGATAGCGGTACGCTGCGGTTCGTAAAGTACGTCGGACGCGCTGCCAAGGGTGACCGGTGGGACGTCTCGGGCGCGCTCGACATTGAGGACGAGGATGACAAGGACGGCCAGGCTGGTGGGTCTGGCGCACAGGACGAAGACGAGTCCGAGGATGAGTGGAATGGCTTCTCTGACTCCCCTGCTGGGCAGACGAGCGACAGCGACTGAGTTTGCCTGCTTACTTGTATCTATATAAGTATGATCTCGCACCCGATTTTCAGTTTTGGGATACACGGTAGAACCAAAGTTATGAATTGCAACACGATTTCTTTCCTAATCCTGTTTTCACCTCCGTTGAATGGTACACACAAGGTACTTGAAGACCCTCGAACCGGAGAGACTTGCACGGTGTGCAGATGCTATAAAGACAATGGATCGAGTCCACTAGTGACTCGAATCCCAAAATGGAGAGACGAGAAAAGTAAACCAAGAGTTCGCTACCCTATGCCCATGCGCCTCCCAAAACGCCTCTCTTCTTTCACATACCTAGACGCCCAGAAAAGATGACGAGTCCAACAGTCTAGCAAATGCTAACAGCGCAGCTTGCGACAACGAGATGAACCAAAAACCAGACATCTCGCACGCTTTCTAGCTCTCATGCTCTGTCTCCCATCCTCTAAAACTTCTTCAATTTCTTCTGGGGCACCGTCTTGACGAACGCATGCTTCAGGAAATGAAGCCATACCTTATTGTGCTTCTTCTTCTTCTTCTTCTTCTTTCCCTTCTTTCCCTTCTTGCCCTTCTTCCCCTTCTTCTCTGTTTCTACGTCTTCATCATCATCGTCATCGTCGGCGTTGTCTTCATCATGTTCTTCATCTTCTGTCAGCTCCTTCTGGTCTTCCAATGCATCTTCCTCCTCTACATCTTCATCATCGCCTTCCAAGTCTTCGGCGAGCACTTTGCCCTTGGCATTCTCCTTGGCGATGCGGTTCGCCAGCTTGACGTAACTACGAACGGTCAAGTCCGATAGCTTGTAAATCTTGTCGGTAAAGGTGCTGTACTCGACCTCGAACGCGAAAGGGCGCGGCTTGGGCTTCTTGGACTTGGGATCCTTGTCCTTGTGGATGCCGTCGCGCCACTTGTTCCCGGATGCGTCCTTGCTGTCATGCGTCATGTCGTTGTTGAGATAGGTCAGGTTCGCAAAATACTGGGTGTATCCAAGGAAGGTCAGGGTCTGAGGTGCGTAAGCCGGACCAGGGCCGGACCCTGCGGGCGGCGGTTGCGGGATGACCAAGTTGGGGTCCTTGGGTTTGGTTGGCTTCTTTCCCTTCTTGCCTTTGTTGCCCCTCTTCTTCCTGGCGGCGTCGATTTCGCGCTGCAGATCCTCGTGAACGGGGTCGTCGTCTGTCGGGAGCGATAGAGCCGGCAAGGCATCGGTGAACGAGTCTGTCCAGACCGCTGCGTCCTCGAGGCCGGAAATGTTGTACGCCACGACACGGAGTGTGGGGAAGTAGTTGGGGACGATACTGGGGCCGACAAGAGAGAGATGATATCGCTCTGCGTACTTGCCGCCCAAGTCCTTTCCTGGCTTTTTCTTCTTCTTCTTCTTCTTCTTCTTCTTGTCCATCTTTTCCTTGGCGTCGGATTCCACATTGTCTTCCATTTCGAGCGCTTTTACGTTGACGGCTGGCAACTTGGCCCAGTCTTCCCGCAACTCTGTGAGGTAATCCTGTGCCGACTGAATTTCAAGTTCATCCTCAAGAGCTTCGCGCCCGAAGTCATCGTCAACTGCAAAACCACCCAAGATGTTGATGTCAATTTCCTTGGTGTCGTGCACGATGAAGTGGTCAATATTCATGTGACCATAAAGCGACCCGACGACAACGTCGCGATACTGCTGCATCCAAAGATTGTACTTTTGCCAGCAAGTTTCATCCCAATTCTTCTTGCTGTCGGTCCGGGCCGGGGGCACGTGGCCCATCAGGATGGCCTTCATACCACGTTCGCGGAGAAACTCCAGCTGCACGCGAAGCCATTCCATTTGCTTAAAGCCTGGCTCGGACGGCTGCTGGCAGTCATCGATACCGGCATTCCGGTCAAAGAAGTACAAAGTATTGAGACTGAAGACGGCGAGCTTTTTGGGAATGACCTCGGTATAGAACCAGCCGCCAAACTCGAAGGAATGGCGTTGCTCTTCGGGAATAAATCTCTTCCAGATCTCGGCATAATACCCTAACCACTTGTTGGGACCTGGAAGGAGAATGTTATGCGGTAGTATGTCGTTGTTTCCAAATGTTGGGATGACAGGCACTGCCATTTTCGAGGGGTCCTTCGGGTCACCAAATGTTTCCACAAACTTGTCGGCGATCCACCGATTTGTGCCGAGCACCTGGCTTGGGCTGCGTGGAATGCTCTCATCGCTGTCGTGGCGCGCAGAGTCGCCAGTCCAGATGACGAAATCGATGTCGGCTGCAACATTCGCGGCGATCCAGTCGAAAGTCGCGTTTACGAGAGAAGACGGCGTGTCACAGTCGGACGTTTCTGCTCCATAGTAGCCGGCAGGCCCATCGCCCGAATGGCAAGCGACGCCTTCTTCGGTAGAGGAGTGAGTTTTGTAGAATTGATCGGGGTGAAAGTCTGTGGAGCACAATATTCATCAGCTTTGGTCGTCCCACGTCTGCTAACAAGCGGAGACTTGTGGCCTCATGCGCCTGAGCGTAGAAACCGCTGTCATGCTGATGGCGCGAGCCGTGGGTGTCGTTGGGTAGCATCTAAACTTACCAGTAATGTGTAGAAACTTTCCGCTTAAACGTCGAGACCCTTCTTGAGCGACTGTATCTGTGACCTCAGAGCCAATGACGACTTGTTGATGCCCGCTGGCGACAGGTGTTGCACTGACGCCATGCAGGAACTGCTGCTGGAGCAGGGCGGCGCCCACTATTGCGGGTAAAGACCGCATTGCTGGGAGGAGCTGAAGACGCGGTACCTGGTTCGATGCTATATGGCTCCGACGCAGGCACGGCAGCCGGTGATGGTGATGAAGTTGAGAAGAGAAGACCGTCGCAACGGTGTGCCGAGAGTGGAAGCGAGAGGAAGACGGGGGCCAACTCAAGGTTATTAAGTCATGACTTTGCCTTGGCTGAGATTTGCTGTCCCCGTAGAAAATAACTGGAAGCGCGAGCGACGTCTGGATCAATGGACAGGGTCTGTCAGACTTGAGTTCTGGGCGTGTGCCGTGACCTGGACTTTTTCAGGGCTCCAGGGCTGGGGCGAGGCGGCAAGCAGCAGGGGACCGGGCAGCTGGAGTTGCTGGGACCACCTTTGGGAATGCTGCACCAGTCGTGAGCGATAAGGTAGGAGTACTATGCATGTACAGTACACAGTACCTACCTACCTTAGAGTGATGGGAAGAGAGGAAGGGAGAGCGCAAGGGTCCACGTCAGAGTTACAGCTCTTGGGAACAACCCGGCTGCTCTTCCTCGCTGTAGAGGAAATCGCGGCTGGTAGATGCCCCTAAATAAACAACACCGGTTGAACTTGAGGGGTGAACGTCCCGCACGTCTACCGCCGGGGTTTTTGCGTTGGAGTTGATGGCTAAAGTGGGAATTGATGATGTCCAGTGGCGTCCAATGGTTGCATGTCCCTGCTGACTGACGGCTGGGCAGGGGAAAATAGTCAGCGGTGGTGGGAAGGAAGCAGCCCTGGCATCGACATCACAGGTGCTCTTTTTCCCTGGGCCTAGGAGCAGCATGAGTGTTGGCGCCTGCTCTTTTAATGTGCTTGCCCGCTCCTTCCGAACACTACGACGTGGTGGTATCATGTCTTCAATGCCTCCTCACACGACGATGCGGCAAGGAACACGATTCCCCGCCTTCCATTTGCCCCTCGCGTGCAAGTCGCTGGAAACACCGCAAACAAGGCCATCAAGGTCCTTGGCCGACCAGAGGTGAAATTCTCACTGGACGCTCATACTCCCGAACTGGAGCAATGCCCCCCATGGCCGTCCAGATCTCCAGCACTAATCCACGGACACGATGACCAGTCCACAAGGCTGAAAGCCTTAAGCTTTCAGTCGCAGCCAATCGAGGTGCAGCACTCCAACACGTGTGTCCGTTCTACGACACACACTACCCACGAGAACCCCCCGTGGATGAGACACCACCCAACTCGCGATACTCCATCAGCGAGGTTGCCGCCTGGTCGCGCCACACACGAGCCATGTCGAGTGCTGAGCGTGTCAGTGCCTCTGACCGGCCCCCGTGGTCTATTGCATCCTCCCTTTGAGCGTGGGAGGTCGTCAGACCAAGAGTGTGACCGTTGACATGCACCAAAGTCCGCAATGCCGCATCCTGGGGTGGGCTGGTTGGCACGAGTCAATCCGGCACTGGCTCCAAGCCATCGCTTGATCTGCCCGCTCCCCTTCGTGGGGCCGCGTGATGCCCCGATATATCACATACCCATGGGTTTCTCCAATTCGTCTTGATGTCGTCCGCTTGGAAGTGCTAAGCATGCTGCATCTCCGAGCAAGTCGTTATGGTTTTTACTCAGATAGTATTGCAGACTCGGCCCATGGCCGGTCCCCTGCTGACACCTTGCTGACGTCATAAGTAAGTCGGCCGTCAAACTCTCATCTCTCACATTCTGGTTGATCCCTTGCGCCCAGTTTGAGATAGAGAAGCTGACAGAACTACCTACATATTTGGGGTGCAAACGAAGGCACACCACATCCCATCACATGCACTCGTGTTGCCCTGAGTTTTATAGTCACTCTTATGCAGTGTGTTCCCCTCAGGTGGTCAGTTGACTGGTTGTCAAATTCGATCCTTTAGGGGTCCTGTCAGTGCGACAACCAGTCAGATCGACGCCGACGCCGAACCCGACCCGAACTTAGCACGATCGCATGTTCTGCCCAACTTGGCATGATGCCATCTGTCATGGAAACCTGACAGCAAACAGCCCCTTTTCTTGCATCGAGGTCGTTGAAGGGGATTCAGGTTGCAACGTTCAGGCAGGTGTAGCCGGAAAGAAAGGTGTTGTCGAAGCACAACGAAACTCGGCTCGAATGCCTTCATCGTCAACCTACCCAAGTCTCTACTAGATAGGTTCCATCAGCGGGCCCACTTTGCCCAAAGCACTCCGAAACTAATCCGGATCCGCCCTAGTTCCATCCGACAAACCGTAAAACAATTTCTGCGCTCGATTAATTTCGCTCATTTCTCTTTTTTCTTCCTCTCACATTCAAACGTAACACGATCCTGTCAACATAAGCTGCTAGTCAACCTCTTCCATGTTTGCTGCGTTCCAGGATATCGTTTCTAGAGTATCCAGCCGCTCGTTTGAGGGTCGTCATCGCTCTGCGCTTCCGTGATGGCTTCCCATGAAGAAGCGGCTACATGTCTCAAACCAGCCATCAATAGCACGAAGCTTGACCATCACTTTCGTCTTATCGGATATGATTCAAAATGTTTGATGAGTACTTTGGTGGCAGGCAAGGCTTTGTTACCAAGGAAATTTCTACCCGGTGTCAAGCAAGGGATCACAATGGACGAAAAAGCCGAGATGAGACTGGAGCTTGATGGATATCTTTTTAAACTTGTATTAATACATCCTGCGGACGTTACGCAGGTGCGGGAGTCGGTCCCTTGAAGTATTTGCTTGGGACCAAGGGCATCTTGGACACCACGGCTCCCCTCTTCTTCCCGCGCACCACAACGTCCAACTCGGTGCCGGACTTGTGTAGACCCTCCTTGACGTATCCCATGGCAATGTTCTTGCCCAACGTCGGGCTGGGCGAGCCGCTGGTGATGACACCAACCTTCTCGCCGTCCTTTGTGAAGATCTCGGCGCCCTCACGAGCAGGCGCGCCGGAAATCACGAAGCCCACGCGGCGCCTCTCGATGCCAGCGCCACCCTTGCTCTTTGGCACGAGCTGCTTGTTGATCACCTCAGCGCCGTGGAAGCCGCCCTTTGTCCTCCGCTCCTTGGGGATGATCCACGACAGGCTGCCCTCCACCGGTGTCGTCGTGTCGTCAATATCGTGACCGTACAGGCACATTCCCGCCTCCAGCCGCAGGCTATCTCGCGGGCCGAGACCCGCGAGCTGCAGCCTCTCCGGGCCGGCGACCTTGAGCAGCGTCTCGGCTAGGGGGCCCGCCTCGCCGTCGGTTGACTTGAAGGAGATCTCGAAGCCGTCCTCGCCGGTGTAGCCTCCGCGGCTGATCATGGCCTTCTCCGACGTAGACTTCCACTGCCCGTCGACCTGGTACCTGAGCCGGGCGAAGCCCGTGTTGCCAAAGTACAGCTTGCTCAGGTCCAACCCATCGACGGGGTCGAGGACCTCCTGGAGGACCTCGGCGCTCTGGGGACCCTGCAGGGCGATGAGGCCGTAGCCCTCTAGCACCTCCCACCAAAAGTCAGTACCCTCGGGCTTCTGGAGCGAGGCCGTGTGCTCGGTGAGGTACTTGAAGATCTTTTCTCTAGTACCGGCGTTGGAGACGACGGCGTACTCGTTCTCGCCGAGGCGGGTGATCATTGTGTCGTCGACGATGCCTCCCGTGCCCGGGTGCAAGAAAGTGCTGAGCTTACTCGTGTTGACCTCCATATCGGCCACGCTGGAAGGGGTGACGGTCTCGAGGAAGGCGGCGGCTTTCGGGCCGGTAAAGCGGTGCTGGACCATGTGGCTCACGTCGAAGAGGGAGGCGTGATTGCGGGTGAAGTGGTGGGACTCGGCGAGGGACTGGCCGGCGTACTGGACGGGCATGTGATGCCCTCCAAAGATGACCATCTTGCCGCCGTGGGCGATGTGGAAATCGTAGAGGGGCGTCTTGTCTTGCTTGGAGAAGGCGACTAGCTTCTCCTTCCAGTTCTTACGGGAGGAAGAAGACGAGTAGAAGCGGCTGGTGTGTCGTTGTGCTGGCGCTGCCGCCGCCGCCGTTCTCGGCGCCGGGGCCGCGGTGGAGGAGGAGCTCAGTCCGGCGACGGATGCAAGGGACCGGCCCTGGCGAGCGGGAGAGGCTAGGAGAGGTCTCGCCGTCCGCGCGGCAGCTACCAATATTGATCGTGTCATTTTCGGTAGTCCAATTGAGCTGGTAGTCTGGTGATTCCCAAAAAATGAAGAGAACGAAAGGTCAAAGTTTCAAGAGGAGGAGGAGGAGGGGAGATGTCCAATGTGTGACGGAGAGCATTCCCTTGACCGATAAGGTATTCGGATGCGATAACATAATGCGGGTCCGAAGCTGGCCGAGCTCCCTGCTGTTTGATTGGTGAATGGGGGGACAAGGTCTCGGTCCACGATCCGAGCGCTCGGTCTGGCACCCGCCGACCGGCGCTCTCGCACTCAGATATTTGGTTGAGGCGGTCGGGTCTCTTTGCTCTGCGTTTATCAAACGGGCAGATAGCCGCGCGGTCTCTTATCTATGTCTCGCAAGCAGTTGTCTAGCAGTGAAGATAATCTGCTCCAGCATTAGAAAGAAGTTTATCTCCAAGGTAGGAGCAGCTTCGAGTCATTGGCACAAAGCTAAGCGCATTTGGTATCTCGATGCTGGTGGCAGTTGGTTTGAACGGCTAGGAGGGGGCTTCTAGGTAAACAGCTTCAGCTGTTGGGCCAGTGTTTGTCAAATGAATCTCTGGCTGGCATACGGAGGCCATTGACCAGTTTTCTTTCGCCACGTAGTATCGTCCCAAACTCACTGGGCTCCTGTCTCTTTCCATCATAGCAAGGAACCCCCCCTTCGTAAGTTGCCCCCTGTCCATTGCTGTCATTTGAACGTTACTTGTCGGGACAACACGCGAGGAATCAACTCGAGAAACACCGCTGATGCGCGAGGCTACTTCATACACTCGGGTTTTTCATGTTCATCCATACTTATACTGGGTCAAAGGTCTGATTATACCATAGAGGATTCGACGTGGTGGATAATGAGCGTTCGTTGGGTGTGATGCTCTAAGGTGTAAACAGACTTTTGAGCCAATGTTTGTACGGATACCAATTGGAGTAGGGGAAACTGCCGCCCAGACGAGCAGGGTTAAACATGCGAAATCAATTGCATGCATCTGGTAGTCACTTGAACAATAGTGACCGATGTCTTCCAGCGAACGAGTATGTTTGAATTGCAAAGAAAAGGAAGAGAACCATAGTTACCGTAGGAGTTGCGGAATAAGTTCAGGACGAGGGACTTAGTAGGAGGTTGTGGTCCTAGACTGATGGAAAACCGAGAAAACATTCTAATACTTTTCCAGCTCAGTATCCCTGCAACGTTCGATTATGAGACGTCAAGGAAGTGCGGCTGAGAAGACCAAAACATATTCAACGCTCCTGACATGGTACGGCATGTCGAGGTGGAAGGAAATAAATGGCGCCTGACTTGGAACTAGTAGGAGCACGAGTTAATAAACATGTGAAGCCCGAGGGGGGTTCCAAAAGCCTAGCAGCTCGACAGTGCGTCTTTCCCATCACCCATGGCAAATCTCGATGACAGAAAGCGGGTTCTCTCCATCGCTCTCAAACAGCCTATAGTCTATACCATTTCCAGACACCAGGGATCGGCAGCCGCCGCACTCGATGGACCGCAGAACTTGAGATTAGCATCAGGTATGGAGCTAGAAGCTATACCACTTATACTATACATAGTAATAGTACCGTAGGTATCCGTATCTTGGAGCCCACCACCTGCCGCCATCTCATCGAACCAGGGTGACCAGACACGCCAAACTACCGGTTTTCGTGTTGCTAATTCGAGTGGAATTCGGACAAGGGCAGAAATAAGCCGACTCAACTCGTGGTGAGGCCGCAGAGGAAGAGCAGAGCGTATTCGCACGGGCATGGGTGGAAAGCCACAGGGCGGCGCCACGTTGCGCCTGCAGGGAACATCGCGGCGGGCATTGCGTGGGCACTCGCCACACCGGAACCATCAGCGGTCTCAGGCATGGGGGTCCCGTTGAGGAGGAGGTTCCCACGAGTTCGATCGCAGGCACACAGCTCGATGGCCGCAGCCACACTTGGATGGAGAAAAGCATGGTTGGACCAGGGGGAGAGGGAGTTGCAAAGCCACAAATCGGGAGCCGCCTCATGTTCTCCACGTCTCAACTCCCCAACAAGACGGTCTTCTCAGTCCTGTGAAGGAAAACGAGGCTAAAGCACCGTGGCAAGAGTGGCACCGTGACAGGCCGCGCCTGGCACCCTCGGCAAAGCGACCCCCGCAAAAGCTCCTGCTGGGATGCGACCCCTGCTCGTGTCCATTGCTTCTGAAGTTCTGAAGACCACATTTGCTCGATGCGATCCAGGCCCAGGCCCAGGCCCAGGCACCTCCGTTTCTCGCGGCTCGCCTTCATCTCCGTATGTGTTCGTACATATGAGCTCTCTGTACGAATAGACTGTCGACTCGCGGGTGGCTGTTGCGGCAAATTGCAACCAGTCGAGCGGACACAGCGTCGCATTCATGACAGAACCGTTCAATTGCTTTTCACATCACATACAATCTAGGTACTAGAAGAAGTAGTACAGAGTCTCCGGAGTATTTGTTCAGCCAAACGGGCTTGTCTACGTTGATTGCCCGTCGGATCCGTGCGCTGGCAGCTGCTAAGGTCTTCAACTCTTAGGTACCTTAAGCCTCCATGAGGTCTGAGGTACGTACCTCTACGAGTGCTAGCCTCTCTAGCCCCAGTGGCTCAGCCAATCGCCGTCCGCCAGCACCGTCCCGTCCGCTCGTCGCGTTCCCTCTCTGCTCGCTGGTCCCTTCCTCGCTCCGTCCGCTCCATATCAAATTTCACGTCGTGCTCGTTTCCATTGCGGATGCTGCTGGCCTGCTGCTCTGCATTGTGATTTTTTGTCGTCTCTGCCGGACCCTGTCGTCGACATCTGGTCTTACTTGCTCCTCCCGCTGCCACCCACACCGAGGCCAGCTCATATTTGCCGTCAATTCGGTCTAGCCCCGTCCCATTCCCAACCGACGCGGATACGGTTACCTCATGCCATCCTAATTTCCGTTCCTTTCGCTCCCAAAGGGTCGACTCGCATTGCCCTTCCGTCTTCTGTCGCCTCCCTACTGCATGCTGCTGTCCCTCTTTTTCGGACGAGGATCCACAAGCAGTTGCACCGCTGAGCGGCAGACCGAGGCGTGACGGCTGACCACGACCGCATCGGGAACCTATCGCCTCACCACCAAGGGACCACCCCCCCCCCCCCCCCCCCCCCCCCCCCCCCCCGCCCCCCCGCCCCCCCCCCCCACCCCCCCCCCCCCCCCCCCGCCACCCCCCCCCCCCCCCCCCCACCCCCCCCCCCCCCCCCCCCCCCCCCCCCCCCCCCCCCCACAACTGATATATACAACCCGCGCAGCCACAATGTCTACCGAGCCCTCCCCTCGTGCTGTGAGATTCTCCAACGGAGAGGACGACCTGCGCTCAGACAACATCATGCCCCAGCGACCCGTTGCCATCCCCGTCGACTCGGACAACTCTGCCTCGTCCGGCGATTCCCATCCCGACGACCCCCACGCACTCGAACGTCAAGATGAACTCGGTTCTCTCGCCCGGTATTCCGAGGGCCATATCGCCGGCTCCATGTCCAACCTCGTCCAGGCCGCCGTAGCCAACGGAACAACGCGCAGTCTGCGAAGCAACGCCAGTGACGGCGATGCATCCTACACCAACGGCACCGCAAGCAAAGTTCAACGACCCAGCGCTCCCGCGAGGACTCCTTCCAACACATACGCCCCGGCCGCCCACCGCAGGCCGCAGCCTGCTCCTTCGTTCGTCGAATCGGTCCGAGCATCGTCGAGAGGTCGTCCTCGTCCCAGCGAAAGATTCCGCCAGCAAGAGAGGGCATACGTGCAGAGGTTGAGGCAGGACCACAACGATGGCTACCCGTTCGATGGCGGATACGTCAACGGTATCAACGGCATGAGCCAAGGCGCCGATTCCGACTCGGAGGGGGAGACACCCTCGTCAGAAGGCCCATTTGACGACAGGTATGACCAGGAGACCATCATGTTCTACGGCAATGACGACTTGCAACCAACAGACGAAGATTTGAAGGATCCGACGAACCGCGAACGACTAGAATGGCACGGCATGCTGGAAGCAGTGTTGACGGGAGACGTTGTCAAGCAAGAAAAGAAGCGGTTGATTGGGTCCAACGAACAAGCAGTAGGAAAGAGCGGGCAAAAGGCAGAGCTCTGGCTTGGCATTCGCTCAAAAGTATGCGGAAGACATCTTCCAGTGCAGAGACGAATGGTCGAGGAGGCTCGCGCGACGTTAGACCGCACACTAGACGAGATTATCAATTTCTCCGTCAAGGGCGAGAGCGAAGCTGGAAAGCCACCATACGAACAGGTCAAGGACGTGGTTAAGAAGATTGAGAAGGCCGAGAGTCTGTACCCTTCTTGGACCTCATTGGCAGCTGAGCACCAATCAGCAAACTCTCCGCTCTTTCACGAGGCGTCCCAATCCATCATTGCGTGGTACAACACCAATGAGATGATCAACATAGAGCTTGCCATTCTCAAGAAGTGGGTCGGAAACGAAGAGCTGGATTTCACTCGGACACGACAACGTTCGCCTGTAGGCAACGGCATCAGCGATGAGTCCTCATTCCTCGACCGACTGATGAAGGAGGACGGCTTGAAATCGCTGTATGACGAGGAGTTCGACGAAAAGAACAAAGATGCACATAAAGGCATGCTGCCTGGCATCTCAACCGTGATTACCAAATCCAAACAGACGCTCATCCGAAACTTCGCGGCCTTTCAGAAACGACATCTCCCACCATATATCGAAGAGCTGCTTACGTTGATCAGCTTCCCGTCCCGTTTGATTGAGGAAATCATCAAGATGCGGCTCGCTTACGCTAAGAAAGTAAAAGAGTCTGCGCAGCAAAACCCCATGATGCAGGATCAGATGATCAATCAGTTCCAGCTACTTCTCAAACTAGCCATTCGCATCAAGCTGGAGTGCCTTGCTGTGACACAACAAGAACCCGGTTGGGAGCTTCCGCCTTGCATTGACGAGTCCTTTGACCAAGTCGTGCTGGATGCTCTCAGGTACTACTTCAAGATGCTTAACTGGAAGCTCAGTGGCAATAAAAACACTTTCAAAGAGGCTGAACTACTGTTTGCGGAATGGGACTTTGCCAATGAAATTGGTAGCCACCTTCTCGGTGGTGATGTCGAGGTTGCCGAGCAGTTCAGCTCCTTGACCTTCAAGGCCATCAATCGTCTGAGTGTCACGTTCGAGAAGGAGCTCCAAGTCAAGCCGAAAGAGAGCACCTCCGAGATGAGCAAGAGATACAAACAGTGCCTAGACTCGGTCCGGGTAAGACAGAGAATGCTGCAGCGTTTCTCCCGCATGTTGAGCGAAAACTACGAGAATGCGTCCGACTTCAGCATATCCTTCACACCGGAGAAGTTACAAGAGTTTTATGACAGACTCATTGCGTCTGGTCACTTTCAGGTTTTCACGGACCTCTACGAGCAGGAAGGCATTTTTATCATGGCTTCGCCTTCTCTGATGGACAGACACGACGCGATCCATTCCATTTTGGGCCTGAGCTCGCCGGAACAGTTTGCAGAGGATCCGAGTGATCCATATCTTTTGATCCTCCGGCCCGAGAGCAGCCCTCACTGGTTCGGTGATATTGTGTCGCTTCCAGTTCGGGAACGAAACGTCGATCTGAAAAAGGGCCACATGAGACTTGTGGCCGCTGGTGCTCAAGCGCGGCTCGTCAATGCCAGAAAAGCCTTCATTGATGCTGTCGACATGCACGTCGACCTAGTAGTAGAACAAAGATCGAATCTGCACAAGGTCAACACCCGTCTCATGGAGACTAGGCGCGTCGCCTACAAACTATCCAATAACTTTATGGACAGTGTCGAAATTATCCGGAAGCAGACCCAAGGCAGAGAGGTCCAGGAGCTCATCCAAACCTGCTTTGTCTTTGCGACAGAGTTTGGTCAGCGCTCACTCCTCGTCATGGATAGCAATCGGAAGCAGATGAATAACCTCAAGTTGACTAAACTTGCGTTGGATTGGGTTAGCTTCATCTGTGATGACTGTATCGCATCAGATCGAAAGACGTTCCGATGGGCGGTCTTGGCTCTGGAGTTTGCCATGGGAATGACCAGAGGAAGACACATCTTGGCTTTGGGCGAAGAGGAATATGCGAGGCTCCGGGCAAAGGTGGCTGGCTGCATGGCGCTTCTCATCTCGCACTTTGACATCATGGGGGCAAGATCCAACCTGGCCGCCCAAGCGGAAAAGGAGCGCATCGAGGCCTTGGTAGGACAGTTCAAGCGTCTGGATAAAAATCGCATGCTCGACGACCATGAGGCTTCCAAGTACATTACGGAGCAGCGCCTGGAGGAGATTGACAAGGTTGATGACACCAGAAGGGCCAAGGAGGCTGAGAGACAGGCTCTCGGTCGCGTGCTCGAAGGAAACAACGAGGTCGACCGATCCTTAGCCTACCTCTCATCCTCGGCTACCAATATCACGATGCGTTGGCAACAGGGTCATTTTGTCGGCGGCGGCACCTTTGGCAATGTTTACGCTGCTATGAACCTAGACTCGGGTCACCTGATGGCCGTCAAGGAGATTCGTTTGCAGGATCCAAAGCTGATCCCCACCATTGCCGAGCAGATCAAGGACGAAATGGGTGTACTGGAGGTGCTTGACCACCCCAACGTCGTCTCGTACTACGGTATCGAAGTTCATCGCGACAGGGTCTATATTTTCATGGAATTCTGTCAGGGTGGATCTCTAGCAAATCTGCTAGAACACGGCCGCATCGAGGACGAGCAGGTTATCATGGTTTATGCATTGCAACTGCTAGAGGGTCTTGCTTACCTTCACGAGAGTGGCATTGCCCACCGTGATATCAAGCCAGAGAGTAAGTACTATCCAGCTGAGATTCCCATCCACTTCTAACAACTTGCAGACATCCTCCTTGACCACAACGGTATCATCAAATACGTCGACTTTGGAGCTGCCAAGGTCATTGCGAGGCAAGGCAAGACGCTTGTCCAAGACCTGTCTTCCTCCAAGCCTAACAAGTCGATGACGGGAACACCCATGTACATGTCACCTGAGGTGATCACGGGTGAGAATCCAGGCAGAGCCGGCTCAGTCGATATCTGGTCGCTGGGTTGCGTGATTCTTGAAATGGCCACTGGTCGCCGTCCTTGGGCAAACCTGGACAACGAGTGGGCCATCATGTACAACATTGCCCAAGGCAACCCCCCTCAGATGCCGTCGGTCGATCAACTTAGCCCGCAGGGTCTCGACTTCTTGAAGAAGTGCTTTACCAGAGACCCGAAGCACCGTGCATCCGCCGTCGAACTCTTGCAACATGACTGGATCATGACCATTCGCAGCCAGGTCGTAGAGCCGCCTACGCCTAGTGATGCTAGCAGCTCTGCGCAGTCAACGCCCAGCAGCAGGAGCAACACCAACGACGGTTTCTACTAGGGGCAGAAACCGCCCTCTGGTATTGGTTCCTTCGACTCTATAGACAGGCAGCTTCAGGAGCCGCAGCAGGCACAACCACCATCACAAAGCAGTGCCGATCTGCAGACAGTTCCAGCAACGCGAACAGGGAACCAGGTATGATGTAGCAGAGCTGCATCGGCAGAGCACTTGTATTCTTCTACAACGATACACGACCAATTTTTCTCTCATTTCCACATACACCGGGAAATCCCCAGAAATTGCATCAGCAAAGCGTTTGGAGTCATTTCCTCGAGGGTTCATATGCCTTTTCTGGTTACACGGGTTTCACAGGTATTCAATTGCTGCTGGTTGGGGGAACAGGAACCAAGGGGGGGGGTTCCTTTCACATGACATACACGAACCTGAACGGGACACAATGGAAAGTTGAACACGAGCGTGGCTAGGAGAGCTATCGTAAACATGTAATACAAATAATACCCAGAGGCTAGTTTACCCAGCCATCTACGTGCTGCCATGAAGTTTTTCTTTGTGCCCCAAGTGGCTGCCGTTCTAGATCACCACAGCCTGCGTGATGGAAAACTCATCCTTTTCCGAGTCCAATACGGCCAACGCGTCCATCGATAGCGTCACGAGGGGCGCAGTATGTCCGACGTCAACATTCATCAAGATCGGAAACGTGGTATTCTCCAAGCGTCCCTTGCACAGCAGGCCCTGTATCGTGGCCGCGTACTCGGCCCTCTCCCGCTCCGTGTTGTACCCGTACGGCCGGCCGACCACTAAGCCGGCGATCTCCTCAAACAACCCGCGCGCCGCCAGGTCCGCAAAGGCCTGCCGCACCCTACCGAGCGGATTTCCCTTTGTCATGTCTGCCTCCGCTGTCGCGGACTCGAGGAACATGATTTTCCCCTTCCAATCGGGAGATATGCGCGGAATGCCCTGGATGCGGGCCACAACGGTGAGGCAGCCGCCGAAGAGGGGGCCCTCTGCGCGGCGGCCTTTTCGGAGCCAGGTCCAGGCCGGGGAGGGGAGGAGGGTGCGCGGAGTGGTGGATGTGCGGGTGGAGGGGCCCAGGAAGTAGGGGGGAATGACGGGCGCGTAGAAGGTTGAGCGGGGGAAGGGGCCCGGGGGCTTGTTTGGGGTGGTTAGGGTTCGTAGGAGGTGGGCGAGTTGGAAGTCTTGGAGGTATCCGTCGTCTTGCTGCTTGATTTCCCTTGGCTCCTGGGAGAAATCAAAGGACGAGACTGACGAGGGCGTGGAGGTGACGGCCTCGCCTAGGTTCGCAACGGCGCAGGGGCCGTAGAAGGTGCGGAGACCCGTCAGGGCGCGGAGGCACCAGTGGAGGACGGTGATGTCAGAGTAGCCCACGAAAATCTTGGGATTCTCTCTGATGAGCCGCTGGAGTATCTCGTCCTCGACGAGGTAGGGGATGAGTTCCGTCGCGGTGGCGCCGCCGACAGTACAGAGGACCATGTCGACGGACGGGTCGGCGAAGGCGGCGCGGAGCTCGGCGAGGCGGTTGCGGATGCCTGCGGGGATGGGCTCACCTTGCGAGGTTACCGGGTCGAGGTCTTCTGAGGTTGGGGTGAAGAGTGTGGTGACGGTGTAGCCCAGGTTTTGGAGGAGGGTTTGGGAGCGGGCGAGGGCGTCTGGGACGAGGTTGTTTACGCGGGCAGAGGGAGAGACGAGGGCGATTTTGGCGTTGGGGGGGAGCGATTTTGGGATGAGCGGCGGCGGGAAGGACATTGTGGTGGTTGTTTGAGGGGGGTTGGTTGTTTTCTTTGGATTTTGCCTTGCGTTTCTGGTGATGATGAGTTCCGTGTAAGTGAAGTCATGCCTTGATGGGTGAGGCGTAAGGCAGTCCAGAAGGAGAGACGGCAGCGGTGGATGCTGGGCTTTGTACCATCTCTACTGTGGTCTAGGACCGTTGGGATCAGAGATACGTGATGGCTACGACGTCAATCAATACAATCTCATCCGGATGTTGACCGTGATTTACAATCAGATCGACTTGCGACTTTCGGTGTGACTCCTTCACATACGAATACCCGCAGATTTACGTTGCCGTTCGACACGCACGTATCACGCAATGGAGGAGACAGTGGTCCGAACTCACGTCAGCACACGCCGGCTCCCGAGAGGGGAAGGTGGTTACGAATTCGAACTCCACCTCGGCCCGGGCGGTTGGTTGTGTTCTTGCCAGGGTGTTTTGCCGTTCGGCCGGTAGCTCCGAAGGTGGAGTATTTCGGCCGGCCCGTGTAATGCCCGTATAACCCGAAGGCTTTCCTTTCGGTCCTCAGTCTGTTTTGTTGACTTGGTTGGCACATCTGAAATATTGTTTCGCTTTGGGGTGTATTGAGCAGGTCACTTTCTTCTCTTTCTCTTCCGAGAAGAAGGTTGGTCGGTGTAAGTTTGTGAGACGGGCTGTCACCATATGTGACTGTGGTTAATGCTTCCCGCAATTAATGGGTCCATTTTTCCGTGGCATCGGCCGAAGTGCGAATGTGGATAGTGGACAAGAGTTTTGGTGTTTCCATTACAGTGAACTTTGATTGGCTCATGGAAATGTATGTCAAAAATCAGTTGTCAATTCCTCGCCCGGTAGGCCTCGCTGATAGTGTAGACTTCTCATGGCGTAAAAGCTTCCAGTACCTGCTGCCCTTCCAACCTCACCAGTCATCATGCACGGAGACGATTTACCCTGGGATCATGCGGTAAAACGCCATGAAATTAAGTTGAATGTAGTCAGTCTACGAGATCAAGGGCCTCTTGTAATACTTATTTGGCTTGTACCAGCCGCTGATATACAGTTCATCTATCTCAAGCTCTAGTGGCGATGAGAATACGAGGAGAAGGAAAGGTCAGGAATTGTTCAAGATGTAATGTCTCGTTGATACAATTTGTCATGGGCTATTTCAAAGCCACAGTTCCAAGTACCTGTGAGGTTAGAGGCGTTTTCGAGCTGCATCTCGCGGGTCTAACTGCTTTCTAGGATTTCCCCTCCCTAAGCCCATTAACCATCAGTTCTACACGATCCCTCGGACAACGAAAAGCCTGAGTTGCAACATCTAGACATCGTCAGTTGCAAGCTTACGATGCCCGTAATTTTGCCTTCCACGCCAGATTCTGGCGGCACGTATGGCAACAAAAACAAAAGCTACAGCAAACGCACTGCCGCAGAGTACGACCCAATTTGACGGCCAACTCCAGAGGTTGCCCAGGCTCCTGTCAGGCCCGCACTTTCCCGTGAACATTCTGTCCTCGAATAGAGGACACTCCTCGTTAACCACAAGAGACTCGCCTGGGTTAGGAAACTTCACGCAGCTGCCCTTGTTCTGGGTCCAGCAACCGTTTCCGTTGTTGGCCTCGAATACGAGGGGCGCCTGGCCAAACCTTGCCCATCGCTCCTCTTCGGGGACGTCTGCGTTCGCTTCCTGTCCCAGGATAATGATCGGGGCGCAGTTCATGAACATTTCTGGAACGCTCCATCGTCCGTACCAGGTCCATGCCATGACGGCGGGTCCCAAGGGCAGCCAGTCTGGGACGGTGAAGTTGTAGAAGCTGGGCAGAACGGCGGTGGGAGAGACTCCGTAGTTGACCTCGGTCAAGTTTCTGATCGGACAACCGCCCTCGATGGAGTGGATGACTCTCCATTTGCTCTTCTTTGTGGGTTTGGGGTCCCGTGTCACCGAGATTTGGCATGAACCTCCCCCGTGCGAAGCGCCTCCCATGGCTCTATCCGAGTTGTCAACATGGCTTGGTCAGTGATAGCCTCTGTGATGGTTGACTTACTGCAAGTATTGCGTCGAGCCTCTTTCCCAGATGTTGGCTATGCCGGACCAATCGTAATCGACTTCACCCTTACAGGGCCAGTCTGAGCCATCGATGGAAACTGGGCCATTGTCCTGAAGTTGACTCGGAAACGGAATGGGATTTTGCATCAGCGTGTGACTATCTACTCCGACTGCAAGAAGAAACAGACATGAAGTCAGACTTTTTGAAAAGAGTCGAGTCATTTTTTTTCGTCTTCAGACTGATTGGGTTGTAAAACGGAGAAGCTGCTTGTCTCGATCACGTCGAGACCCTCGTTCTGGCCTCGAGTACATAAATAAACAGACAGACGAGCGACGACCGAAATCCGAAGCAGCATTAAAGTTTTGGCTCGCGCGATAGCATGCATGGAGGCCTGCTGTCGCCATTGCAAGGACACGGTTCTGGATCACCTCAACGTAGTATCACGTAGCGCCCTATTCACACCGCCGCCAATGGCGGCAAAAGCACATGGCGGTGAAATGAACAACGTTTCATGTCGTCACATCTCAGAGTCCCTCTGGTTCGTTATCTCATCCCTGACTAAGGGCATGCTGGCTAAAGTTTCCACTATTGATTGATCCTGGGTGGCAACCGATACTGAGGGCATACCAGAGAGTCCAGATTCACGGGGCCCCCGCTTCGGAAGACTTCCTAAAGGGGACGACGTTTTCCGCAGTGGAAAGACACACAACGGCGGGACTTTGGAAACTGCTGTTTAAAGTGTTAAACATCGCGAGGTTGAACTGACCTTCTGCTCGACGCAAACAACTCACATAGCGAGGATGATGACCTCCTGTTTTCGGGTGGCCGTCGGCCGCCTGGTAGCTTCGGGCACGATTCTCACGTTTATGACTTTTCAGTATATTGCGATCAAGTCAAAGCCTCAAATGTCCTACTCCCAGCTTCTCTTGCAGCTGAGTTCTTGCATCCTTCTTTGCAACTTTTTGGTCGTCATTGCGCGCTGGGCAGACTACGAGCCTATACAGGGGCTCAAAGACAATGACCGACTTCCAAAAATCAACGTCATTATTCCGGCATACAACGAGTCTGAATTCGTCAGGAATTCGATACAATCCGCGTTGTCCTCAGACTATCCCAGGGAAAAGATGCACATCATTGTCGTTGACGACGGCTCGACGGACGATACCTGGTCCCACATACAACAATCCTTTCCATCAAAATCGTCAACTCAGCACACAATAATCCGGCACGAAGTCAATCGTGGGAAACGCCAAGCAATGGTCACAGCTTTTGCAGTGGTTAAGAACGAAATACTTGTGACTCTGGATTCCGACACCATTCTCGACAAGCACACTCTCCGGAACTTGGTCAGCCCCTTCGTCCTGGACAGCGACATCGGGGGCGTCGCCGGCCACCTCTCCGTCTTCAACATCCAATCTCAAGGCTGGGATAGCTTCATTCCTCGCATTCTGGACTGTCTCTTTGAACAAAACGGCAACATACCGCGGGCAGCGCAGTCGAAGCATGGATTCATCACCATTCTCCCAGGCGCCATCTCTGCATTCCGGAGAGACGCCATTCTGCCGCACACCCAAGCTCTCGTAGATACGAGGTTTCTCGGACGGCCAATGAGGCATGGCGAGGACGTGCAACTCACGATGGGGCTCCTGCGCGACGGGTGGCGTCTAAAGTATCAGAGCAACGCCGTAGGATACACCGTCGCGCCTGAAACGTTTCTAAAGGCGTTTCTAATGTACGTTCGTTGGGAGAGGAGCAATCATACGTACTGGATGCTCGGGCTCATTCGATTGGCCTTTCATGATGCGGCGAGATTCTTCATGCAGCATTTTGCTCGACCGTGTTCGAGCAACCCAGAGCTGCCTCGAGATTTGGAGAAACAGGGTGCTCAGAGAAAGACGAATGCCCGAAAGCCAGATTATCATCCCATGCTGATGATTTTTTGCACGGGCTTTGCCAACTTCTCCTACCTGGGGATTGTGCTCTCGTGGTTGCGGGGCTTTTACTTCTCTTTCTGGGTCACGATAATGAATGTGGGCTGCCTCGTTGTCTTTGCCACTTGGTTCAGTACCCTTTTGTTAGCAGATGCTCTTCATGAAGGCAAGAATAGAATGCCGGCTGAGGGAGACGTCCAAGAGTCAGAAGAGACACGGCTACCAAGAATTGATGGGTCGTACTCAAGACTGAGGAAGAAGCTGCAGTATTCTTGCTTCTCTACAGTTGCTAACTTCACATTTGTCTGCTGGGCTTCTGTTATTGGATTATTCACATTGAGGAGTCAGAGTTGGTTAACAAGGTGACGGCCTAACGTGTGGCAGTAAATGAGACACAATGGACATTCTCGTAGTAAACGAATCAATGTGCGCTCAGGGAAGACTTTCCAGAGAGGAGTCTGCAAACAGAGTAAAGCTTTTTCCTGAACCCGAAAGAGGAAAGAAGGCAATCAAGCAAATATTACTAAAACTCTTATTCATCCTATGTAAGCAGCGGAGTCCGAGATAGAATCAGAAGTTTTTAGCGCCGGTCCCCTGCGGGTTCGTCATCAGCTACGGCATCTCCGTCCTTGTACAAGACGTTCATCTTCTGCAATCCAAGCTGAAAAGCAATGAACGAATCGGACTCCCTCTCTTTACGGCAGGTATGAGCAGGGACGTTGGGGCCCAGCCACCAACGTGGCAAACCGAGGTTGCATTGGGCCCTTGACCAGGATCCATCAGATTATATGGAGTGGCCAGTGACAATCTCATCTCCATCACTTAAGCGCTCCCTTCATTTATTTAGAGTTCCGGGCCGACAGATGAAAGAGGGGAACGTGGCCAAGCGATGGGAATGCAATACAAGCAACGAGATAACCAAAAACGTGTGAGCCGGGATCAAATACTGCTCGGGCAAGAAAACAAATATTTGACCGTGGACAACACCGAAGATATGGGGGAAAGATGCCGGAAGTGAACGGGACAAACCTGCACGCCTTTGAGGCCTCACACTCCACAACATTCTTTAGAGTTGTGAGTTCCACTACTTCACAACTCTGATTTCTTTTTGAGGGGCGTACCCGGATCAGCACAGAGATCAGGATGAGCCCTCATGCATTGTCGAAACATGGCCAAGTCATCCGCAAATGTACCGTAGGTCACATAGCCTCCTCAGCCAGCAGTTTCCAAATCTGACTCGAGTTTAAGGTTCCGGGCACAGTAGCATTAACATTTGATGACGACTCGTGGGCTCAAAGAGACAACATCTTGACGTTGTTCTCCCAGCGAAATGCACAAGCTTCCTTCTTTCTTGGTGGCGCTCTATGGATCGCAGACGCAATAAAAGACGCCGACTCGAACTCTACAGTACAGAAAATGCACGGTCATGGGCATCTGATTGGACTTGTCAGCTCGAGTCGTCTTGCTCCCAGCGATACGGAACACGATGACCTCCTAGAAGCCCGCCAGAAAATTTCCACCGTTCTCAGAGCCTCTTCTTCCTCTGGCGGCCTTCGGCCACAGTATACTTGGTCATCTCTAGTCGATTGTACCGTACGGAATGGCTGTGTCGAAAAGTTGACAGTAAACGGCCAACGACTAGTCCTCTGGGACATCAAGTCGGAAGAGATTGGCAACAATACAGATACCATGCTTCTCCTGAACAAGCTGCAAACGGCAAACCCTAGACAAGATTCTTTCCTAGTTCCAGTGCGGGGGGTTCGGCAAGAGAACATTCACAACATTGGTGATCTACTGGACGGTTTGATCGAAAAGGGCTTCCGACCAGTTACCGTAGGAGACTGCATAGAAGACCCAAAGCATTTCTGGTACCTAGATCACTTGGGACATCCGACAAAATCTATGAAGATTGGAAACGAGGCCGCAGATTCTCCTGGCATTTTCCTTACTCAAGTTCGATGGGGAGGAGTTCTGGCTGTAATTTTCTTGGAATTGATGGCTCTTTCTTGTCTCTTCTGGGCCGTTTGTCAGTATAGAAAGATCAAGTCTCACCAACGCATAGTTCAATAACGATGCAGTACCTAATAAGGTAGACTTAATACAAAGAGTGACCAAGTAAGAAGAGTTGTTGACGGCTCTTGGGGACGAGAGTTACAAACAGCAATCCACAGAAACCGGCGTTGACTTTCCGGGTTTCAGTAACAATACGTTGTATAAAGCTGCTGGCTGGGCACCAGCCAAGCTTACCGATCTCTTTCACAGCTAGCTATGCCCGCAGATGCGGCATTCGCAGAAACTTTACCTTCCAGCCATTAGCATTTCTGGATGCACGTCATCGATTGCACTTAACTTGGATAGGAAAGGTTTGACTACTCAACATCCAACGAACGGGAATCGGGCATTTTAATGACGCTTTCTTGTGTGTGCAAAGTCTATATGCCCAAAGTCTATATGCCTTGGAAAGTATCTCACATCCATCGATGTATTTCGAGGCTAAGCCTCAGCTACAAGACCGTGTTTCGTATAAACCCCTCACTCGCACTCGACGCGGACAGACAAGACTCCCATCCCTTTAGAGTGTGGCATGGACTGGTGCCAAACGCCGTAACGACCTTGCTATCGCAGTTCCCGTCAGTGTATCCCCTCACTTTCACTATAGTCAGATATGCTTTCTCTCTCTTGCTTTCTGGAAATGATACCCCGGGGCGAACGGCACTTCTCTCACCCTTGCACTTGGCGTCGTAGTCAATAAGCTCCATACCCCAATCAGGGCTGTGAAGGGCGTGGCAGTCGTTCGCGTTCCAGTCCAGGTTCCCTCCGCCGGAAGAGGAGTAGTTCGTCTTGCCGAGGTTCTTCACCCTCATGTCGTAGGCCGCGGCAGCGAGGATGTTGGTGATGAGTATCTTTTCAGTAATCTTGCGGTTGCTAAAGACAATTAGTAAGAGTTGCCAACCCTGAAATAAGTTGAAGACGATTTTTGTGAGTTGATGAGAGAGCCGCCAAGGAATCAGGGAACGGAGGGGTGTTTGTGTATTGCAAAGATATGCCAAGACCAAAGACCGGCCAACTATGCTTCCTTCCGTCTCAAACGCATGCGTGAACCGGAGGATGCTCCTGACAACTGACCAAATGTTGTCAATAGCTTCCGTACATGTTCAGCTGCTCCGGCATTGCTCTTGCCCTTACTCGCCGAGAAAAACTGAAAACTCGACCATTAGATGACAGAATCAAAGATGTGGCAAGCGAATGGCTGAGCAGAGACATATCAGCGCCAAGAGCAATACGTTCAGTGTCTACATACTGCAGTCGAGGTTCTATTGTAGCTTGGCAATTTCAAACGAGAGACAGTTCCATACTACGGTGCCTTCAAGGTTGATACAATTGGTCTAGAAGTAGTAAGTTGGGTATTTGACCTTGACAGCGGGGCAAAGATTACGCTGAGCACATGTTATGTCGATGAGGGTAGAAGGAACGGTAAGTTGTGATGGAATCTTTCCGGCGGGATGGCAAAGTGGTAGAGGATATGATTGAGAAAACTATACTCGTCCCGTTCAAAATGAATATAGCCAATGTAAACTTGGCAACAGCGCTGTATATTCAAACATCAGAGCAAGACAACCATTTTGAACCAACCTTGTTCTGCTATTGCGCTTGCGTGTTGCGTATGCACCGTGCGCTTCCATCGATGGCTTCAACGATGGATAACAACCAGAAATGAAAGGAGCGGAAAATACGACCTCGTGTTGAAGCATATTTTGTTTTAGCAACAGGCTTGATCCCCAAATCTCCAAGGGTCGACCCCAGCCGCCTTCGCCCGAGCAGTGTGGCACGACTGGCGCTGTGATATGTAAGTTAAATGGGAGGGACCTCCTATGACAAAAAGTGGGCGACATCAGCCCACGGAATTATCTTGACGACAATGGTAGCCGGGGCGGGCAGGATCCAAGTCATGTAGATTCACGTTGCCAATTTTGAATTTTGTCGGGCACGCGGGGTAGAGGCGCGGTCTAAGTGATCGACTGAGACATTTTTCTCTTCAACCAACCATGTATAACTTTTGGCCAGATAGCTCCACCTCTGCTTGCTTCCACCTGTATTCTACGGATAGACTGGGCAGTGTTTCATTGAAACTGGAGATGGTAGTCAGATGTCGTTGGCTCTCTTATACGCCGTAGGTTCTGGTTCAGTCTACGTGCAGTCAAGTTGATTGGAAGGTTGGAACGATCGTAGAGTACACTCCTTCCGACGCAGGATGTCGGAAGCCATTTCCTGTGGAGGTATTTCCAGGTCTCTCTCAAGCCTAGGTTAGTTATAGGTGACTTGGAAGTGGTAATGACTCAATTGAAATATGCTTGATTGACCTTGTCCAATGGCCCTAGAACATCCCGCCGGAGAAACAAGGTCCGCCGATTATGCTACGTATCCAACGCGTCATACGAGCTCGGGCAAAACTTAGTTTCCAAAAATGTCCAGCCCGTGCTCAATCATCCAGTTCATACCTTCCGCTCGCCAGTCGTCCGTCTCCACGACTGTGCCGTTGAGGCCAAACACCACGTCGCTTCCGGCCGCACCAGCATCCGTCGCATATACGGGCCACTCGCCCAGGCCCGGAGCGCCATTTGGGTCGAGGGAAACAAAGAAGTTGATCCACGCCGTGGACATTGTCTTTGACAGCGCGGAAGCCTTCTCAGTGTAACTCGTGCTGTTGCCTCCAAAGGGGTTCGTGTCATAGCCGAGCCCGTTGAGGTTGTTGAAAACAAACGCGACCTAGAGTGGAGGTTAGTCTTTGCGTAAAAGCTGATGGAACTCGTTGGAAAATCGCCACGACGCAGGCAACAAACTTACCTCCTGGAAGTGAGTTGCGCCAATGTACTCTGGTATGCCGTTCACGGTCACGTCGAAGCGGTATGCGTAAGACGGCACGCCGTTCTGGGACCATATGATGTTGGCTCTGCGGCGCAAGAAGCCGAAAAACCTGTGCTGATGTCAGCGTGCACATGCTACATGCCGGGAGTCATTGGACATACATGTCTCCGAAGAAAGCCCCGCCGCGTCTCTGCTGCAGACCTCGAGCAACGGCAATCTCCTCGCTGGGCTGGATAATGTGTGGCCATGTCTGCAAGCTCGGGATACCGACGGCCTGGTCATCGGGGTATAGCGCCAAGGCCTCTCCAACAAGCTCCTCGATGCTTTTGCCTGTGGTCTCCTCGACGTTGGGGGCCATGATGCTGCGTACGGCGAACGCCATGTCCTCATCCGTGTTGATAGGTCCGCCATTCGGACCTCTTCCCTGTCCGAAAGCGGCCCCTTCATCCGAGTTAGAACCGATTAGAACAGGAACCTTGACAAAGTCCCCGCGTTCGAGCTGTGCTGTCGCAAAGTCTGCAAGGAAGTCCCCATCCCTGACGGGAATGAAGCTGAAGGGGGGCATGTCTGTCGTGTTGAGTACGGCATTGAACTCCTCCAGTGGTGCAGTGCGCAGGCACTCTATCGATTCTTGGGTGCCGACAGTGGAGGCGCAGGAGGAGATGTTGCCAACGAATAGGTCATAGCTGGTCTCATAGGCAGTGGAATTGAAGCCGCCGACCATGCGGGGGATGATGCCACCGAAGCCAGATTGAGCAGCCGCGCCTCTGAACAGGCCGTCGTCACGTCCTCGATGGTTTTAGTTAGAAGAACTATTCACATGTGAAACGCAACAGCTTACCGTTGTATGCCAGCACTTGCCCAGCAACACTCTCAGCACCTGAACTCTCACCAAAGATGACGACCTTGTTGGGAGCGCCGCCAAAGCTGGCAATATTCTCATTGACCCAACGTAGGGCCAGCCGCTGATCTCTGAAGCCCAGATTGGTCGCGCCGGCATTAAGGGCCTCCTTACCAACTGGGAAGCCAAAGACAGAGAGGCGATAGTTGAGGCTGACTGCGACAAGGGGAGTACCCTGCTTGACGCTGTTTTCGACAATGAAGGAGAGGTTATAACGCCTGTCTGCCGATCCGCCCATGTACTTGTCACCGTCAGCTGTTGTGCTCGCAGGGTTTCGGCGAAGGAACATACCAGACCGCCTCCATGGATCCACACAGCCACTGGAAGCTGCGCGTCCGGAGTCACCCCGGCTGGACGAACAACGTTGAGATACAGGCAGTCCTCGGAGGACTCATAGCCGATCATGTCAGAGCCGTAGCCGACGCAATGCTTTGGGTACTGTGTGGCTGTATGGATGCCGTCCCATGCTGAGTCTAGGCCTTGGGCGATGCGGAAACGCTCTGGAATCTACAATGCTTAGTATGTCGTCATCGAACCGAAGGTTGAAGCCACTTACCTTGGCGTATGGAATCCCAAGGAAAAAGTCCTGGTTGTACTCTGCGCTGTGAACGCCTGAATAAGTGCCATTCTTCACACTGACAACGGGCCCGTTGTCTCTACCGCGGATAGAGGCAGACCACACCGGCGCGGACAGGTATAGGCACGTGGCCAGAAAGAACACAACGAAAGCCATTCTCTTCAGAAGCAGAAATCGATCCGGCGGAGGCCTGGTTGTCGATAAAAGGGGAGATTGGCCATCAGGGACCTTACTGCCCCTTTTATACCGTGATTTCTCCATGTCGAATGACATCGTCTACTACTACGCCCTCACGCCGCGTTAGTAAAGAATGGCCACGAGATTTCGTTCCACAAGGGTGGACGGCCGTCAGAAACTGGGGTCTATCGGACCGACACAAATCGCTTCTCTACACGACGAGGGGAACAACCCGACGGGGACCGAATAGGAGACGTTCGCCAGGTTGCCAGCCATCCGTCATCGTCCCAAGTAAGTAACCAAGGCATACTGTAGTACTCAAACCCCGCGCTCTGGGTCCGATGCGAGTTGACGACGGGGACTTTTTTGTCCAGAGGCGGGACAACTCCGGTAGTTTTGATTTTCCTGCATAGAAGAGCTGATTTGAAGGTGGTGATCGCACCAGAAGCGGTCTAGCAACTCCCCATCGAGTGGTAATGATGCCCTCTTTCGGGGTGCTACCAAGGCATCTCCGCGTGGGTAGCAGTGGATGCCGGCTGTCGTGAACGGCAGAAGAAATCCAGTCGATTGTCGACATGACACAGAGCCGGTGGAGGTTGATGCGGGGAACTGGGGAAAACCTGGGGTGTCCCTGGGACGAGACAGAGAGCGAGATTGGCAGAATTGGGGGCAGATGGGAATGTTGAATCAACGAGCCTCCAGCTTGGCTTACCTTGATTGGCCTTAGCTCGGGGTTTCTTGCTGTGTCCGATCACAAGGTCGTTATTTGAACAAAGGGCGGGGAAAAGCTGTTCCAGCGTACCAGTGGGAAACGGAATGCGGAACGCCGAGGGCTGGGTGAGTCTTGTTCTCAACGTGGTATTCGGGCCGGGTAATCTTAGCCAAAACGTGGTTTTCGGAGCCTGGTCTAGGGTGTCCGCGTGCCAGACGCAAAAAATGATCTAGATGCGAGCGAGTCTTGCCCGCATTCCTTAGACCATGTGGACGAACAAAGAGCGAGCAAGGAATGTGGACATATACTGGACTCAGCGTAGAGTCAAACCAGAGGTGTGTGTGTGTGTGTCTTTGTCGGGAAAAAGAAAAACGACGTTGCAGATCCGATGCATTCCTGCTGCAGTGCAGCGAGGTTTGACATGTTTCTTTCCCCACACGAACCGCTTCCCCAAACCCAATCCCAAGGTCCTCTCCTCGCAAAATGACTGCGCGGACCTCATTGGCCCAATTGACTTCCCGCCGAGGGGTGGGGCCATTATCTTCAATGGAACTCTGCTGCGACCTCACCTCACCTAGATAGCTAGCCCCACCTCAAATTCCACGCGCTTAAGGTACGGCACTGAAGCGCTCTCGGCATTCACTACCTTATTGGATGCACATCAACTGATCGAGGTAAGGTGAAGAAGGCACGGAAATCTCATCTGCTCGACCGCGCTTGCCTGGTACCTATGATTTCGGTGTATTCGTGGGTACCCGGCTTTATTCTGTGTAGGTTCTGTCAGCGTTTGTTGATCCGCGTAACGTGACCTGCCGTTGCCGCGGGGCAAAAAGTAAACAACACTACGCTGGTGATCGTGATGCCATACCAATCAATATGTGCTGCCTGCACTTCCTTCATCCACAATTGCCTCCTCCTCTTACCTATTTATTTAACCTCGGGAAATGATCATTTGACATTGGGGCGACTAGCAAGAAGAAAAACACCAAAGGATAATTGCAAAAAAAATAAAAAAAAATGCAAAAGTTCAGAACCCGAACTTGCGAAGTTCGAGCTTCTATGAAACCATTGTCAAGGCAGTTCTGTCTCAAGGCTTGACTTTCTACCAGTTGGGCTACAATCCGCTCGGCTACTGCGGCTAACGTCCGTCGACGGTTCTGTGTCCCTCCGCGTCCGAAGGGCGAGAGAACGGGCGAGTTGCACCCCTTATATATTACAGAACAGATATGGAAGGCAGGATATCTCGGTGTGGGTGGGGCACACCGGACAAGGGAATTCCACCTGATGTCGACCAACATGGCGAATGGGGTGCCTGGTGGACTGTGCGGCAATACTTTTTTTGATTTTGGCCTCTCAAGGTGAAGTCGGCGGTTTTCTACATCCATCGCAGGGAGATGAACGCCCTATCTCATCCTGCCCATCTATCCTGCACCTTGGACTTTGCTGTCCATGCGTGCTGACTTGCTCTTCGACATCCTCCCAGTACCTTAGTCATGCTCTTCCCCCACGCCGCCTCGGACCCCAGAGGCCGAGGCATATTCCGACCCAAGATGACTGAGATCCATACTTGTACCCCCCTTCCGCCACCTGTCCTGTGCTTCCTTCCGATGGGTATCCAGGTCCCTTTCCACCTCTTCTCCAGCCACAAACAGCGCCGCCGCCAGCAGGACATCAGCCGTATGTATATCATTACATTAGGTAAAGAGATTGTTTCTTTGTTGTATGCAGTAGGTATCGTTGAAAAGGAAAATCGTTGCTGCAAGAGATAAAAGGAAAGGGGACCTGTGTAGTCCAGTAAAGCGCCGATGGCCCAATGATAAAAGCAATCGCTGTAGGTACAAAGTGGAAACTGCAGCTGGAACCTTGGATGTTGTACAGCGCCCAGCAGAACAACCGCTGAGCATACATGAGCAAGTTTGTGCCTGCATTGTGATGACAAATCGAACCCCAAATCAATACTATGCAAGGTTGAGGTCAACTTCAGCCACGACATGAACGACGCCTCATTCCCCATGGAAATCTTGTGCAGTCATGTTGGTGAACTGAAACTGTCTTGATCGTGATTGCTCAGGTGACGGCTTGACTAACACCGAAGAGGCATCCGACCAGTTGTACTCGGTGTTGCCACCACCGTACGATGAGTAGAACGCCGGTCCCATGTTGCTGGGAGGGAACGAAGGTGTGACCGGCTGGCTTGCGCAACTGTGTGCGACGTAGCTGGGTACGCTCGCCGACATGTTGGGGAACTCCTGGTCAAAACTTCCAAAGCTTGGCGTCGAGAGGGGGTCGTCAGAAACGTTGAAGTCGAACGCGGGAAACAGTGAGTTTGGCATGGTCGTCATCATTCCAGGAGTGTCCGGCGGGGTCCTCATGGTCGGGTCCATAGCGTACTGCGGTACTGTCAAGCTGTTTTGCGTGCTATAGCTCTTGTCATCCTCGGCAGAGGACATGGACGAGACAGTGGTCTCGCGCATGGCTTGTTGACTAGGGACGATTGGTGTGTTTGGGGTTGGTGGCGCCGCTGGGCTTCGTGATGCTGGGGATCTTGAGGCCATCTGCAAAATAAGGTTCTCCTGGTTACGGTCAAAGTACAGTGGTGATCTTGGGCCGGCACCAGCCGTCTTTTGGATTCCCCTTGGGAAGTTGCCTGTTGCCGATGCAACGCGGCGCATCGGGCTGGGGGCCTCCATGCGTCTGGGCATTTCGATGCCAGTCTTCGGACCTGAGTAGTTGTACGACTGGCTCCGCACACAGCTAACGAGAGTAGCAGGTCTCTTGGAGTTTCTTCTGCTAGCAATGTCGATGGTCGAAGTCGACTTAAGTCGAAAGTCTGGTGTGGAGATCTCGGGAGGGGACTGGGACATGGACTGGGGAGAGAACTGATCAAACTTATCAAGATCCTCTCTTTGCATTTGCTCCTGCTTGATGCTGATCGGAATTGGGCTGGTCAAGTTGGCAGAAAGGCTGTGCGAGAAAGAAGCCAATGACTCGTCCATGTCGCTTGCGCTGTGCAGATGGTAAGAAGAAAACGAAGAGGCACTCGTTGACTCAGGAAGCTGTGCCAAGTACTGGCTGGGGATCGAGAGAGTCAGGTGACCAGGTGTTTGGTGAATAACCTCTGTAGGCATGGATGCTGAGAAATCGCAAGTCTGGTCCGTGTAGAATTGGTCGGGGCCCAGGGAGTAGCTGATGTCGAGATCCTGGTGCTGGAAAGAATTGGACGAGTCCGGCGAGGCGTACTCTGATTCCGGCTCTTGGGTGACGACTTGTGGCTGTTCATACGACGGCTCCGGGGTTTGGATGTTCTCTGTGGGTGATGTTTCACTAATAGACGACGCGTCGGCTGATACGTGAACGGGTGGAAATGGAGCCGCCGACGGGCGAAGATCGTCGTCGTGGTCGTGGAAGGACTCCTTGATAGTCTCGGAGCTGTTGGGCGTTTCGGTAGCCTGATCAGACTTGCGGCGAGCCTCATTCTCCTGTGTCCTCTTCTCTTGCTTCGCCTTTGCTCGTCGATTCTGGAACCAATTCTATAACCAGTCAGTGGATGTACGTCAAGAGACCAGGCTGAAGGGTGTAAGTACATTAATCCTCGCGATGTCCACTCTCATCTCCTCGGCGAGCTGCTTCTTCAAGCTGCTGTTGGGTTTATTGTTCTTCTGGAATTCCCTTTCAAGCTTGTCGACCTCATCCTTGGCAAGTCTCGGTTTGGATTCGGTGGCTTTCCCACCGGCCGCTGGAAACAGGCCCCGGCTCATCATAGCCTGTTGTTGCTGCTGCCGAAACATTTCCATGTAGTCATTCTGATACAGAGGGGCTCCGGGAAAGGGAGTGCTAAAGCCATATTCGTATGCTGTCGCTGTGTGGTAGTTTGGGTAGAACGCCATGGCTGATGTACCAAAGCTGACCGAGCTCGAGGGTAAACCGTTCAACGGGGGCTCGACGTTTGACACGATGGCGATGGGAACGAATGTGTGCAGAGCGAGTGTGGGACAAGTGCGGTAACGGGGATAGGCATGCGTGTTATATTTCCAGCAGTTGAAAAGGACGCAGGTCTTAGTCTTCAGGCGAGAGTTTTGAGTGAAAGAGTGACTGAGGTTAGAGGGCTGAAAGCCTGGTGATATTAAGAGAGATGTGAAGAGAGAACGTGGGCGTGAGAGGCGCGGGAATCGGGACAGCAGATCGAGGGGAGCTTGTCTGCTTTTAGATCGAATGGGGGAACGACAAGCGGGATGAGGAAGGGTCAGGCAGGGCCGCGAAGAGGTGAGACAGCAAGGTCTGCCAAAGTCCTCCCAGGGCTTGAGGGCGAGATAGTCGATCTGTCTAGGTAAGGGCCTGGAGGAGCACAGACGAGGCTTGACGAGAGAGAAAGGGCACAAAAAACAATGACAAGAGGAGTGAGAAGAAGGAGTGACGGGAGAGGAGGGGGGTGAGAGGCGGAAGATGTATTGATTTGTCTCGTCGACCCATCATCACAGAGCGCTGAGCGTGCGTGTGTGTGTGTGTGTGTGTGTGTGTGTGTGTGTGTGTGTGTGTGTGCGTGTGCAAGCCGACGTGGGTGTAAGTCGCGCGGTAGGTAGGCGCTGGGGTGGCGGCAGGGCATGGGCGAGCAGCAAGAAGGGGGGTACCTCTCTCGTTGTCCACCGGGTACCCCCCTTGGCAGCGAGAAGATCATATTTGGGTGGAGGTATCGGGAGACCAAGGGAGCAAGGGGGTCAACTCTCTTGACTCTCGGGCCCTGGGAGGGAAGAGAAAGGGGAGGTCATGGAGGGTCTCTAGGGGTCAGGGCAGGGCGGACAAGGCAAGCCAGCAAAGCTAAGGTAAGTAAGCATAGCAGCGGAGAGGCAGGACAGGGCAGGACAGGGCAGGACGGGGCAGTTGTGCATAAGGCACAGATTGTGTACTCCGTAGACTGAACTGAGCTATGCAGGTCGACCCGGAATATGAGGAAAAGGATGAGGCGCCGCGGGAGAAGCGGACGTGGCCGACGGGGTAAGGGGCCAAGCAGGCTGTGAGACTGAGAAGCAAGGCAAGAGGAGAGCCGGCGTGTGGATGAGGGTGTGTCCATGTCAGCATAGCGCCAGCGTGAGAGAGGGGAGGAAACTATATGACGAGAATGGATTTGAGTGACATTGGGGGATTTGTGCAGTGAGCATCAGCAGCATCAGCAGCAACTGGGCTCCTCCGAATCTGCAACACCAGCTTTGGAGCATTCATGCGTGAGTGAGAAGGCGAGGACCTACAATGTAGGACGGCACGACGGATAGGAGCAGGGTGGTAGGATGGTAGGATGGTTGCACCCACCTGAGCGAACCTGAATTGAGAGTGAACCCTTCACATCCACCGGGCATCCACACGTCCCATTCGCAACCCATCCCATCTCATCCCACACCCCCTGGTTCAGACTCATGGTGCCCCGGCCCCGGCGTCAGTCCCGGCCCCTGGTCCATGGAGCGTCTTTGCGTCCCTGGGTTTGGACGACGCCCCCATGTCAGTTGGGGCCGCACTAAAAATTTTGGACTCGACTCCCCTGCTCTGGGCTGAAGATAGGCCCGGCAGGCGTGGACTTGGACATGTTCGCGGGCGAGGCCTCTCGGTGATGAACGACAAAAGGTACTCCTCCGCCTGGCCTAGGAACCTGTACCGTCCGTGACAAGACCAACAACTGACAGACGGGCTGACAGGGCGGTGACAAACGGCCAAAGGCACGAGAGCGAGACATATTACAGAATGACAAGTCAATGCGCCGTCTACTATAGTAGCAGGCCCATGAATAGTAGAACGGCGCGAGCGTAGGAAAAGAGAGGAGGAGGGCATAATTAAACAAAAGAGCAGTTGCATAAGGTGAAGAGACAGGACTTTGACCGGTAGACGGACAGTTTCCCGTCGGCTTCGAAGGGGCAGTCGAAAAGCTGCGAGAGTGTGACCGAAAGGGACAGGCTTGACTCGACTCAAGTTCTTAACCCGACGCCAGAGGGGCAACGACGAGAGGGCAGTTGAGGGTGGTTGCTGAGGGCAGAATAGCAGGACAGAAGACGACAAGACAGGCGGGGGCCGGGCGGGGCACCCAATGGCATCATCTGATTCGGACAGGCGAGGGCAGCTGAAGTCTGTGCTGCGTGCATCGGTGAGTACTACTGCGTATGCGTGGTGTGTGCGTCTTGTTCATCATCTGTGACGGGATGGGCGAAAATTAAGCGTATGAGGAAACTTCGGATGAGTCTTGACAGAATGGAAGTAACAGGGTTGGCTGTTTATGCCGCCTCGGCGTGTAATTTACCGCGTTGCACTTGCGCAGACGCTACACTGTTTTCTGGGCTGTGGAAGAAGTGGTTGTCGAAGCTAAAACAACGAGGAGAGAGCAGACTCTGTACTCCTTAGGCAGGGGCGAAATTGTTTTGAAGAGGGCGGGGGAACGGGCGGGCGGCTTGGTCAGTTTCCAGGGCGAGTTGGCAAGCCCGGCTCTTGCTTAGTGCTCACTAGACAATTGGTAAGATGAGAGTTGGCGCGATTCTCCAGAGCCCAAGGAGTTTTAAAACCTCCCTCCCCCTTTTTCTTGCAAGGAAGGTAGTCTCCGCAGCTGTCGACTGCAGTGGTGATGAGTTTTGTGCGGCGATGGCCACGAGCGTCAAGCTCGAAAGAGTTGAGCTGTGACAGGCGAGAGAGCGCCGGATGAAGACAGATAGAGCGAGATAACCCAAGGCCGCAGAGGTATGGTACCTTAGGTAAGGTATCCGTGCGGATACTGCAAGCACGGCAAGGTAATTAATTACGAGGCCGCATAGACCATCAGATGGTGGTAGCGCATTGGGTATCCGTACCTGGTGGTGCCTTATGTCAGCACCCCACCCGGCAGGTGCCTACCTTACCTTACCACGCATACCTCTAACCTATGTGATACGTGTTGGTCGGGATGGCAGAAAAGATACCTGAGACTTGTCCCCTGCCGTGGTAAGGTAATTCATTGTCAGAACATCAGGTTGGAAGCCCAGGTCATGTGGTTTGGTCGATGCTGAGATGGGGCAGGCTGCGGCCCCCGGGTCTCCAGGGCAAGGTATGAATGCTAGGCAAGGCTCCCCGTAGGTAGGTAGGTATCCACGGTATCTGTACTCCACTTGGAGTTTTCTCCCCCCCTCGGTCCCCCTTGGTCAACTGCACCTCACTCTCTCTCTGCCTGTCCCTGCGTGCACCTCCACCGACAGGCCATACAGTGTGGCATCACACGAGCCACCCGGAAAAACAGTAGAAAAGCGACTGAGCAACTGTCTAATTCCATAGACTGTCTAGTCGGGAGACAGTTCGCACAGTGTGCAATACTGAGCTCGGGGTACACATTGAGTTTCCTCTCTAATGACATTGTTCGCCGACACGGCTAGGGCCTCACTTTCCTGGCCTCGCCTCAACTCCCCTACTCCAAGGGGCAAAAGAGGAGGAGCCTGGAGGGAGACTTATTCGTACATCAAGGGACGCTTGGGATCCATCGAGAGCCCGCAAGGCCGAGATGGAACACGAGACTGCGCGCCTGCTGAGGCCTCATCTTGCTAAAGTTGCCTCGTAACTTGCTCAGCTACGCCGGCCTCGCTCTTCCCTTCTAAGCAAAACCCACGGACTCGGCGCATTTTCGGACAGAGCTCCCCGCAGCGGACTTTTTGTGTGTGTGCAAGACGGCAGGTGGTCCAAAGAAAGGGAATCCCTTCCAGAGGAACGTCGACGGCAAGGTTCAGGTGCACTTGCCGCAGAGTTGCGGCCCCACTGAAGAACGTGTAGCAGGCGGCTGACTTATCAGGCACCCTGGAGTGTGACTGCCTTTTCCACTGCATTTCACAGTCCCAACAGGGAAATCGACAACCTGAAAGGACAGGCACGGGCTAAACAACACTACGGCTGGCGTACAGACTGACTGACTGCCTTTCCAGCAATCCGAGCAGCCTCACCAGAGTCACTACTCACTCGATCCTTGCTGCCACTGCCGCCGGCCCCCTCTCTGCCTATCCGATCGACAGCCTGCTTTCTTCTTCTTCTACTTCTTCTTCTTCTTCTTCGCCGCAAACCGCGGCTTTGCGGTATCCGGCTCTACTTATTCTTGGCCTCTCCACGGCTCGCGCTCTCTGTCTCGGGTCGCTGCAAATCCCCGTCTGCCTTGCTCACACGGATACACTTGCGCAGTCCTGTACAGGACAATCGCAGGTCTCAGTCGGTCGCCAGCCGCTCACGTCGTCGTCAACGTCTTGGTGGACATGGACGGTTTACCACCGATCGCCAGGTACGGTACTGACTTGGGCCATGTCACAGCGACACATGCCCAGAGCGCCACTGCGACCTCAGTCGTGCGTCCACTCAGCCGTCCACTTCCCGCCTACCTATGTTACGACAGCACAAAGAGCACCAAAGCAAAACCACGACACCGGAATGGAACGCACCAACCATATCTCGCCAACTGGGCAATCCTCGTTTGCCGTCCCGACTCTCAACTTTGTCGGACTACGGATAGGCGGTCAGCCTATCCAATCTTCTACCCAATCCAAACAAATCTAATCATGTCCATCCGAACCTGAGCACTACCTGTGCATATGTCACCCGGGGCGCCTGGAGGATGCCTCCCGCGCAATCATCAGAGAGCAGATGCTAATTAGTCAGTGTGCCTCGCTCTCTCGTCTCCCCCGGCGGCTTGCGGTACATGACTGCCCATGTTGCCACGCGACGAATGGAGCAATCATTGCGACCATTTCCGGCTGCTGAGGCCCGCCGCTGCGCAGACCGGCTGTCGCATTTGTCTGCCTTTTACTGCTCCAAAGCCGGGCCTTGACGAAAGGAGAGCAGAAACGGCGATGGATTGGGACGAGTCACGTTGAACCCCCTCCTCTTCACTGACCCTTTCCGACGTCTGCTCCGGTCAGACTGCCAGAATAGGCCACTGCGATTCGTGGGCGCAAGCGGCCCCTGTCGACTTGCTGTCGCCTGCCCCCTGGAGCCCGGCCGCGCTAACGCAGCTCAACGACGCCAGAATCGCGTCGGTTTTTTATTTTCTCTTCCTTCTTGGGCTTTGCCAGGGACTCGAGGCTTTCGTAGCACCTCGCTCGCTGTGATCAACTGACAGGATGGTGGGGGGCCTTGCTGTCCCACGCTTTCCCGATTATGCTCAGCGACTCCCAAAACGTAACGCTGCGATGCAGGTCTTGGGCAGCCACTGCATCTGTCCCATCGCCAACCTCGAAAAGGGGAATACCCGGCCGTCCCTGTGGGTAGGCTTGCCTGTGAAGATCACCATCGCCTCCATTGCCGTAAACCACCAGTACCAAAGGGGCAACCTCATCACCATCCGTCATTGCAAACCTATCCTCACTCAGGCTCACAGCACCTCGGCCAGCCCAGACATGTGGCCGAAGACGCCCAGGGCAGACGCCGGCCCCCTTACTCCAGGAACCAGCCGCTGTTCCCGCAGGCTAGCACAATAGGCCCCCACCCGTTTTCCACTCGTCTCATTCGGCAGCGCGTTGGTTCGCCAGTTCGCCGAACCTTGACAATGGGCGAGCCGCAAGCCTATGCCTTTTTGGGCTGAGATCTCAAAGGAAGAGAGACATCTCACTCTCAACGCTGTTGGCTTGTAAATGGCAGCCACTGGTCTACCACTGCTGCTGCTGCACAACCAAGGAGACATGATGCAGTGATGTGGCTCTTGAGCCGAAGCAACTGTCGCCGGCAGGTATACCTACACGAGGTAGCTTCCACGTCAGATATGTACGCGCAATTTGTACATATTGTACACAATCAATTGCTCGCGCCCGGCAGTTTTCGCACTGTCCTCTTCCACCCGTCGTTTCTCGAGAGACAGACTGAACGTCTGAGCGTGCGAGCTTCGGCGGAAAGGATTTGTGGGTAGGCCTAACAGAATCCCGACAGACAGGGCGAGGACGGTCCGTGGTCCGCAGAGCTGGCATCCATGTTGCCTTCGTACGGGTCAAGGACAAGGAGATATCGACCCATCAACCAACTTGAAGGGGCAAGAACCCCAGTAGTTTATCCTTGAGGAGTACTGCACCGCTTCTTCTGCGTTAACTCAACATCGTCTTGTTGCCTCTCGTAAAGCAAGCATCGCCCGCGGATGACCCGTTGTACACTACTGTGTATCTGACCAGTCTTGACCTGCAGCGGAACACTTTTCTTCTTCCCCGCGAACCAGGCGCACCACAGGACACACGGCTGACGCTCTTCTATGCGGCCTCTGCCCTGAGAATCACATCAACTGATTAACCCATGTCCTTGCGCTGGCGATAGCGAAATGGGCTGAATAATCAGCCAATGGACGTAGACTTGCAGCTTCAGCTCACCCGTCGCATGACTTTTACCTGCAAAATGCCTGGTTTGCTGGCTTGTAAACAATGTTCTCGGCCGTACGAAACGCAGAGGAGCAGATCAAGGCGTGACCTCATCCCGACGCAACTGCAGCAGTGGACAAATGTGCGTTTGATATTAGCACAAAATTTGCAACCGAACAGCCGCCGAATGAATCAAGCCTTTGGGAACATAGAAAAACCCTATTGCAGGAGTACACAGTTGAAGCAATCGCCAAGCGGGTTCCTCGTCGTCCATCCCAAGCCATCAAAAACATGAACAAGGCCCTAAGATCGAAGGGTCAGCTAGCGAGCCCGGGGAGCTGGCAACGGCTTTCGTTCCACATTCAGGTATAGCGTCTTTACGCCACGGGAAATTTTCCTTCAAAGATTTCCACGGCTATGGCCTGAAGCTAGCCGGGTTTCATTTCTCATCGAAGAGTCATGGTCCCTTGACAATTGGTGGTTCGATTGACCAGGCGTTGGGGACACATCTTCCTTCTGGGGCCACCACCCTTTCTCCAGATTGCTTGACAGCAGACTGAGCAGTAAATGGGCCGTCAATAGAGCGGGAGCCGACACCGCTGCAGGGCTTCGCGCGGCGACGACGACACCTGGTCACGAGGGTAACTCGCAAAATGAGTATGGAAAGTTTGCGATGCTCCCATACCTTATAGTCCAGCTCTCCAGTGTGTTGGGGACCACGATGCTGACTCGAAGGCGATGTGGACTTGGAAACACAAGATTGCTTTCGGAAATCTTCGTGACTGTGTAAATGGTCATTGAGGCATCCCATTACCTAGCGCAGTACGGATATATCTAGTCTGACTGAGATGCTACGATTTCCTACACTGACAGCCCAGACGGCGCAATCTGGAGTCACATCGCGCTTCCCAAACATCTATCCAAGGAGCGGCTGATCCCAGGCATCCCAGACCAAGGACCAGAGCAGACGTGCGGTTGGACACTTTCCACTGGGTGACAGTGCTAAGTCAAACGAGGCGCGCAAACCCAGGCCCGTCTCAAGCCTCGTTCGTGGGATTTTCCTTAAGATGTGCAGTTATAGGACCCCACTTGCCTGGAAATAATCGACCTGGGGTTGAATTATACAGTACTGGCACATCACAACGCCGCATTTCCTCACATCACCATGTCAGGAATCGAGGCCATAACCATGAGCTAGACCGGGAATGTCGTCGTCATTGTGCAGATTGTTGAGTGTGATCGGGCTTCAGCCCACCTCTCGCCCACTTCAGCCTGCGCTGCCCAACTATCTTGGCTCATCATCCCCGCACAAAAGGTATTCACCATGACACGCTGTATGGCGATCAGCTGGGAATCTTGGATGGCAGATTGGGCGTTCATCTCTTCTTCGATGCAGCCCGGAAGAGACCTTCCCCGGAGACAGACGCGGCGCCTCTTGTTGTCGATCTCTGCAACTCATTCATGGCAATCGCCATACCATTCTAGCCTTTACGGTTCACCCTACAATTGCGGCAGAGGATCCGATGCCTACGTTACGATGATTTGGGGACCGAAGACAGTACAAGTCCGCGCAAGACGTTTGGTGCATTGATTCTGTGCGGGGGAATTGGATCTGTTCGGGCCGGCAAACGTACCAAACCAGCAGACGGCCATGACGGCCTTGTCACGCTTGACAACGTGAATGCTCCATCTCACACTCTCGTCGGACACTTCTTCCACGATCTCGGTCTCTCTGGGCCTAGATCGTGCACACAAGGAAGCTCGGAAATCGGTATGCACTGCGACACAGGACCAGGTATCCAGAACATGCCGAGCCAGACGGTGTGTGGTGTGGAGGCGTCTCCGGGCCATCGCTCATCCGCGGGCGTTGTAACCTCACCACTGAAGCCGCTTCGCGTTTCTTTGAGGTGGACCCTCTAGCCCCGAGACATCCTTTACCGTCGTTGACGTCTAGCCAATGCTGCACAAGACTCCTATTGGAGGCTGGTCTTCGCGAGATACGATTGGCGACGGTGGGCGAAGGGAGCAAGGCCATGCGTCTTGCAGAGACTGGCGATAAGCATCTTTTGACACCAGCAGGCCTTGCCCGTGAGGTCACCTCCTCGGCTCGTTTGTCTAGCTTCCTTTCCAAGCGATTCATGGTCCTGGAAAGGTCTGAGAATACACAATGCTATCCCGAGATGTTGAATATCTAGTGAGAAGGATATCTTCAGTCTCCAACGTTCCGCGGGCGCAACAGACATGCCGCTTTTCAGCGTCCTCGAGGGGACGGGTGACAGGAAGGCGCCGGCGCCGGCGGCCGAACGGTATTGGACGTTTCCTGTACAGCGGCACGCTTGCAAAGCCAGTAAAGCGGAAAGGAGGCGTTGTCTCACTTTGTCCCAGATGCTTGGCACCTTTGCCCATGCTGATTGGGTGACCTACGACTGTCATTATCGCGTCGGCGTTTGACGAGCAGCCTTGAAGCGAAGCAGTATTCTCCTCACATTGCGCTAAATAGATCCGAAGATCGAACGCTTGCCCGTTGATTCGGGATGGCTCACTATTACGAACGTACTCCCGACAAATTACCAAGACGGAGCGGATCATGGGCCGGAGGAGTTCGAACAGACGACAATAGGCCGAGGGACGGGACAAGCGATGACATTGCAACAATCTCGGATCAATCGTCATCACACCGTCTTTTCGCCGACGCTTGCTGCACAACTCTCGTTCATCAGCACAAGTTCTGTGCAGTGATCTCCTTTATTTCTCCCCTGTTCGAACTTCGCAGTGGCTGGCCAAAGTAGATACTACTTCCCGAGTCCCGGCAGCTCTCAAACTCCATACTGGATCATGCTGCGCCTCAAGATGTCGATGCAATCTGCTCGCCAGACATCTACCCGTTGTTCCACTCTGACGATTCGACGAGCCCTCCCCCGGAGATGATATTCTGCAAGGAAGGTGTACCATGTGGACTGGAAGGGTTCCGAGTGTAACCACTTCTATTTTAGTGTCTCCTTGCAAGGACGGGAACCCGACGCCGTGGATGAAGTTCAAGGTCTTCGCGGAGAGCAACTAAAACTTGCGGAGTACAATCAATCAGTTCGCCGTTCCTCACAGGTTTAAGTCGTCCGACACGGAACTTTAGATAACAGGTGTTCGCCATACCATACCGAGCCGGTGTGGAAAGATACCTTCTGGAACACGAGAAACGAGAAAGGACGTAGTGGCCTAGTTTAGTGACAAAGACATCGGCAGTTGACGCCACTGTCGAAGGCGTGATGCCAAACAACACCACGGAACATCCGCGCAACACACACACTCACACACTGCCAAGTGACTAACATGGCGTGCAGGAATACTTCCGCAAGGCTTACTGAGTACTCGAGGAGTCATGACCATGCATGGCCCCTTGGAGCATGCACATGGGAGATGAAGCTTTTTTTTTTTTTTTCTCTTCACGATATGCACGAGAAAGGGGTTCGGTATCCATCAAACTCAAGACTCCGGAATCCGTAAGAGAAATGTGACAGACGACGGCTTCTTGCGGTAACAGGACGGCAGAAACGGAAACCCAAGAATCGATTTTGGTGGCTACTCGGCTTCATTTTAAGGCACAATGACGATATACGAGGCAGAGGGTGGCTTGGTTAATCAACAGATGGACAGTGGCATCCAGATCCATCATCCTGATCAACTTTTTCTCTCCAGGGGGGAAACACTGAACAGCGGCAGCCGGGAGATTGGGATCAAAATCGGACCCTGGCGGCCACGTGCGGTGCCGACAGCGACGACTGACGAGATGGAGGAGGTGCCGGCCCTGCCCCTGCACTGTGGAGGGGGTAGGGAGAGGGCTCGTTTTTTCCCCTTTCATACCGGCACGCCGCATGGATGATAGGGGGAGCAGGCCGGATTTTTTTTTTCCCTCGTTGATGTTATGCGCACAAGCCGCAGGCCCATGCTTCTCATTAAACTCGACCAAGGGTCTCGTCACGGCCGTAGTAAGGACCCGTGGAGGACGGGTGCGACGCAGCAAGCACTTGCATTCGACTGGGCTGGTCAGACCCAGTGATGCCGCGTGCGTGCCTTAGTTTCCACACATCCGACCCCATCTCTGCGACGATACAATTTCCCTCTCGCTCGCTAAACTGAGCACAGCCTCACGACATGCCCAGCTCGAGTCAGTTTGTTCTGTCCGCTACCGAGTACCGAACCGGTGCAAACAATGCGGATACAGCCGGAAGACTTGTTGGAGCATGGAAGCTAGCTTTTGACCTTCTGGAGACTGGCGGGCGGATGCCGGACGATAGACGCGCGAACACAGGGGCTACATAGTAGGCCGTCGCCGGGGAGCACACAACAATGCCCAGTAGCCGAGATATCCCTTTGACAGCCGCGCGGTTTGACCTGCCAGCCCGACGACCTGGGCCCCGTATTAGGTTGGCCTTTGCTTGCTAGCTCGTACTTCTGGAGCGCTCTAATGCCATTGGGAGCTGTCATCGTCAACGACCCGTCAACCCAGGGAGACACGCGATGTGATCGTGCTTCGATTCCCTCATTGCTCGTCTTGAGATGACAACTACAGTCAAAAAAAGAGATTGCGGTCATCCCTTTCGATGTTCTGCTAGCGCGCCGCCTCAACGAGATGTAGCTCAACCGAGCCGGCCTCTGTGTACCTGGTACCTGCAGCATCAACGACCGTCCCAAAAGTCAAGATCGTAGTAAGCCTGGAGGCTGCCCACATCAACCCTCCACATGAGAGTTTCAAAATTGGCATTTTCGCGCGCGAGGCCTATCCCGGCTTAGCCCTTGGAGTTCCTGCATTCACCCATACGAAAAGCTGGCGTCCGTCGCGGTACATGTCGGCATGGCATCGTCGGGCGCCTGCTTGGGTTGGCTGCGCAGTACTTAGCAGACAACCCCTCCTAGGTCCTGCACCGGCGTATACACTTGTGGCCTCTGGCTAGACATTCATGGTGCCGCTGTCTCGGCGTCATCCGCCAGATTCCCTGAAGCTGACCGTACCTGCAGCCACCGACAATCTTGCTCGCTCATGACAAACAGGGCATCGACACTTGCGACTGTGCTGTGTCAGGAGGGAGGAATGCTTCCGCTGCTGTCCAACCCTTTTACCAAGTATCACGTCCCGAGGAGGAGGAGTAAACGACATTGTTCCACTCAACAGGTTACACATATCACTATCTGGAGCAACACACTACGGCTCAAGCACGAAGATCTCCGAAGCGGCTGCAAGATGCTGAGTTCTGATTCGCCTCGCGTCATATCCTGGGCTGTGCCTGAAAGAGCACAGCATGCAGGCAGCCAGGGCCGTCAGCATGAAGTTTCGAGCTGACAGGTGATATTTGTGCTCTCGGGACCTTGCAGCTCCGAGTTACGAAGGTGGCCACAAACCGGTGCAATTTGCCTTAGTAAACCACAGCGGGTTTGTCGTTATGCAAAGTTACGCCACATCCACGGTCTCGGGACCGCTCAGCTCTGCAAAAGATTAGAGACCAGTCTTCCGAATGCGCTCGGCAAGTGAACAGGCTCTCTCTCTCTCTCTCTCTCTCTCTCTCTCTCTCTCTCTCGTATACGGCTCTTTTCGTGAAACGACCGTGTGCTTTGCAGGTTGCTTTTTGCCTGTCCAGATGCGGTGCATCGACCGGGCTGAGACCTCCAAACGTTGCTTTTTTATCCAAGTTGCGAGATCGCAGCAATCACCCGTGGTTGAGGAGAAACCGGAGAAACCTAGGACAACAACAAGACGTGCGCGATGTGCTCGATCTTTCCTGCACCCAAAGCTGGCCCTCACCGACGCAGGCGCTTTGTGCAGTCCTGCGTCAGTTCAATATCCCACGTTGGAGGCGGAACCTAGGACGAGAATAGTCATGAACTCACCTGACTCGGCCTACTATGTAAGAAGAAGATATTCTTGGGTACTGGGGTCGCACATGTCGAAACACACAACATGCGGCGGACTTTGTCTCTAGGCAAAAGACATGGTCTTGGGCCCTAGGCACTCAACTCGGTTCGGTACACCCCTAGTTAAGGTATATTATGATATTTTTGTTATTGCACTTCTGTCCGAACCAAAATAAACATCACGGCCTACGCGACCGGTTGTTGTGATCTTCAGATTCGGAAAAGTACTCCGTTCAAGACCATTTCTCATCTGAGTCCAAAGCTCCCTGGATGAGACGGCGGGGAAGATTAGTTAGAGTCCCCTTTCTCGCGCACAGGCCGGTAGTTCCCACTCATCATCTCTCCTTACTCCCTTATTTGCTCCAAGGGAACGGTAAAGCGTACGATGTTGTCATACTAAAGTCTATACAGACAAAGTCTATTCTTGTTCTATCGATTCATTAGCAGAGCCTCCATTCCTCACGCCGTACTAAGGCTTCGAGACGAGGGCGTTGGTGAACTCCAGAGTGACGACACCGTCTCGACTCTCTACCATCTTGACTGATTCGAGGTCTCGGACGATCCAGTCGGGCTCAGCGCTCTCGACCTGCTCAACGGTGTGGCTTGTGACGAGGCCCAGTACCTTGCAACCGGCCTCCTTGCCGGCCCTGATGCCGGCCGGGCTGTCCTCGAGGACGAGGACCTGCTTCGACGCGTCCTGCAGGCCAAGCTTCTTGCGGCCGATCAGGTAGCAGGTCGGGTCCGGCTTCCCGTTCTCGACGGACTCGGCGGTGACGAGGTGCTCGGGTTGCGGCAATTTCAGCGCGTCGAGCCACCCGCCAACAAGGGGTTCGGTTCCTGAGGTAACGATGGCCCAGGGAGCCTTTTTCTCAATCAGAGCGTCCAAGAGTGCCCTTGCCCCAGGGATTTCGACGGCGTCCCCTCCGTAGAGTTTCGGAAGGCGGCCCTCCATCTCACGCGTGTCTACAAGAAACCCTTTTTAGCTTTCGTGAACCCCTGAGTCCCCCTTGCGTTATGGTGTTTATAAAAGTTGGGGAAACCGACAGACGGCGCGCCGGTGAGTGTGCAGGAGAAGCAAGGGAAACAGGAACAGAGATCTGATGTACTTACACTCCCAATTTGCTTTTTCAGGGGCCAGAATCTTCAAGATGTCGATGCTACGACGGCCGTGCGAAGTCTCGAGGATGACTTCGGGCGCGACTCCTATTTCGTTGCCGACACTGCAAGGGGGAGAGAGAGGACCGGTGTTAGTGGGATGATGAGATGAGATGAGATGAGTGCAGAGGGGGGACACCCCTCATGCAAGGGGCGAGAAGAAGAAGATAATGACGATGGTGCTGATGAACCGGTGGAGTTGGTCCTTACGTATGCCAGTGCTTCACGACGGCCTCTGTTGAGTCGATGATGGTGCCATCCATGTCGAAGAGGAAGCCATCGAAGGTGATGCGTTGTGGAGGGGCCGTGTACGACATGGTGAGGTCTGACAGGCAGGTAGGCGGGTATTCCTCTTAAATGAGTTGTGAGTGTGTACCGATTTATTTTTAAATTTTGGATAAGGTATGTTGTTCAGTGGTGATTTCAATGTAATCTTGAATGGAAAGCGATGGGAAACTTGTGGTATTCAAGACTGACTCTTTGAGATGGGATTACGAGTTGAGGTGAGTGAGATATGACTCTGAAAGGATCGCTCAGTCGGCAACGACAACCTTGGTAATCCGCCATAACAGCCCGCTCTTTGAGCTGCGGCCAGGTAAGCTTTCCACCTCCCAGCGGCCAAAAACACCGAGACGGGCATTTCTGTCCACCGGAGGCGGCCCTCTGACGCAGCGGCAGCGGCAGTACCGGGCGTCTGTGGTCCACCGGTTCCAGCACGCCATTTTCCCCCTCGACTTTTTTTTTTTGTCGCCGTGGCGGGGCAGTCAACTTACCCACGTTTGCGGGGCTCCTGCATTGAGGTTAGTGTCGGGCGGTGAGGAAATCGTGGTGGGTCTGATAATTGATAGCGAGCGGTATAATGTGGCAGAAACCGACCTCCCACTAAATTTTTGAAAGTTGCACTGTAAAGACCGAGCGAGGCGCTCAGGAAATTTTGCGGCGGTCGAGGTAGCAAAGCACCAAGCTCCCCCCCTCCCCATACAACAAATCTTGCCAAACCACCTGGTCACATCTTGAAATGGCTGGCTCAATTAACAAACCCAAGAGTATGTGAAGGCTCCATTGAATTGTTCAATATGTTGTCGTTTTCCTCCTTTATCTGACATCACATCCGCAGAGCCAAAGTCCAAGAGGACGACGGTTCGCCTCCGCCACAAGATCGAGAAAAAGTCGGCGGCGAAGCAGAGAAAAGACAGAAAGAAGGCCAAGCAGAACCCGGAATGGCGCACAAAGCTCAAGAAGGACCCGGGTATTCCGAACCTGTTCCCTTACAAGGAGAAGATTCTCGAGGAGATTGAGGAGAACAAGCTGCGAAAGCAGGAAGAGGCCCAAAAGCGTCGCGAGATGGCAAAGGCTGCCAAAACAGGCGCCACCGTCGCCGGTACGACCAGCCAGGCCGAGATGGCCGACGTTGGCGACGATGATATGATGGTCGAGGACGAAGACGACGTCGACGAGTCGAACCCTATGGCTGCCCTCTTGGCCAGCGCGAGGGCGGCTGCTGAGACCTACGAAAAGGACCTGCGCGACGACGACGAGATGGACTCGGACGACGACTCGGACGACTCTGACGCACCCGCCGAGATCCCCGTTGGCAACGCCACCTCCCGCAAGGCCTTTGACAAGGTGTTCAAGAACGTTGTCGAGCAGGCCGACGTCATTCTCTACGTCCTCGACGCCCGCGATCCAGAGTCCACCCGCTCCCGCGACGTCGAGCGCAGCGTCATGGCCGCTGCCAGTGGCGGCAAGCGCCTCATCCTCGTCGTTAACAAGATCGATCTCGTACCCCCCAAGGTCCTCAAGGACTGGCTCGTCCACCTCCGCCGCTCCTTCCCGACTCTGCCCCTGCGCGCCTCCAACCCGGCGCCCAACGCCCACACCTTCAACCACAAGGAGCTCACGGTCCAAAAGACGTCGTCCGACCTCTTCCGCGCCCTCAAGTCGTACGCCGCCAGCAAGCAGCTCAAGCGCGCCGTTTCCGTCGGCGTCATCGGCTATCCCAACGTCGGCAAGTCCTCCGTTATCAACGCTCTCCTCGGCCGTCTGAGCGGCGGCCGCGGCGCTTCAAAGGCCTGCCCCGCCGGCGCCGAGGCTGGCGTCACCACGAGCATCCGCGCCGTCAAGATCGACAGCAAGCTCACCCTCCTCGACTCACCCGGTATCGTCTTCCCCTCCGCCACCAACGCCTCCACCTCCGGGCTCGTTTCCCTCAAAAACGCAACCGACGCCCACGCCCACCTCGTCCTCCTCAACGCCGTCCCGCCCAAGAACATCGAGGACCCCATCCCCGCCGTAACCCTTCTCCTGCGCCGCCTCTCCGCCTCCCCCGACCTGCTGCAGAAGCTGACGGACGCCTACGACCTGCCGACGCTGCTGCCCAGCCGCGCCGACGGCGACATCACGACGGACTTCCTGGTGCAGGTCGCGCGGAAGCGCGGTCGTCTCGGCCGCGGCGGAATCCCCAACATCAACGCCGCCGCCATGACTGTCGTCACGGACTGGCGCGACGGCCGCATCCAGGGCTGGGTCGAGGCGCCTGTCTTGGCCGTCCAGAGCGATGCCCACGGTGCCGTGCCTGCTGGCCCCGTCGCTGATGACGTCGCTGCCGCGGACCAGAAGACCATTGTCACGGAGTGGGCCAAGGAATTCGATCTCGGTGATCTTTTCAGTGGACTCGCTGCTGTTGGCGATGAAGACGAAGCAATGGAGCAATAAGGGGCGGTTTCGTTCCGGTGCGAGCGTGGTTTGGTATAGTAATGGGAGAAAATACCGTGGGAGGAGTACATGATATCAAAAGAAGACGTGGAAAGAGGCCGTGGTTCATTTTTTGTTATTACTTCCTCATGAAGAGCCTGGCTGGCTGTTAGATTCCTCGTTTTTATTTCACACGGCGTTTTTGGGGGCGGTCCAAGGGGAAAATAAAAAGGAAAGAGTGAAGATTTAACCGGTTGTCCTCGTTCCTACATGCATATACACCTTTACGGAATACCCTTGACTTTGATTTGATCTATCCTGTGGACGGTAGGTCGGGAATAAGTCAAATTCTGCCGCTTTCGTACAAACTCGTCGACCATCAGGCCTGGATTCTTGGCTGCTAGGTCCTGAAGCACCATGGATTTAACAGAGTTATCTCGACGCCTCATCATACAAAAGCCTAGACTACCTCTTATCCTTGGCTATGCCGTTCTATCCTACTGATTTTTTTATGACGGCATCCGTTGACCATCCACCCCAGGGATCGTGTACATCCATCTTATGAGTTCATTGTGGTGATACCAAACGGCAGGTAATCGACATACTCTGGAGATAAAAATGCACGGGCAATGCCGAAGTTGTATCATGAATTCTCGCTTTCATTCCATCTCACGAGCAATTGCCTACCAAGTCTTTTGGTTCCAATTTTGTTTTTTTCTAATTTGTTAACAAACCCTTGCAAATGACGCTCTCGAGTCATCTTGACATGGTCAAGTCAGGCACGTATAGACCAGATGGGGGACTTGTCCGCTCTTGGAAGACCATACCGGCGACCACCCTTAAGTCAGTTGTGAAACTTGGTCTGAAAAAATGGTAGACAACGTATTTGGCGTGTTCCTCGTTGCTGAGAAAGGGCAAGCCATAGGTATTGTCTACAAAGCCATGCCAGATACATTTATTGGGACCATCATGAGCTGGTCAGTTGCCATGAGTGACAATGACATCTGAATCGTCTGCGCTGCATATAAGATCATCCAATTACCTAAAGCCTGTGTGTGTATTCTGTTGCTGTTCAATTCACTCAGAGTGCTCACGTGATGCGTACTTGGATGCTGGTGCCCGGGTGAAGTCGTTCCCATTTTATTGCGCCCTGGAAGTGCTCACATCCTGCACTTCACTCTCACCTTAATCTCAGAACATCATGTTGTTTACTAAGGGTTTGACGACGGTCGAAAATCCAGAGAAGAGGAGAAAACAGACAACAATCCGGCCAAGAGACTAAACATGGACGATATCCCGGATCGGACTATGCCAGCACACCCAGACGACAGTAGATCAGCGCAGAGGTTGATTATGGAATGTAACACGCCTGGGCGCGACTCCGTGCAGTTGGATGAAAAAAGAGCGCAATCTGGATATTCAGAAGCTGGAGGAAAAGCTCTCGATGCTGAAGCCATCTTCTGATCGAGATTCCCCAAGACATGAGGCAGGTGTCATACTTGCCTGTCCGACCTGACCTTGAAGATTCCAAGCTGTGGTCTCGAGATCGGCGGCGGTGCGTTCAGTCAGATCAGGCGCGGCCGGCAAAGGAACGCTTCGTTCGCGGCACCGACCATGTTTGTACAGCGGAAGGGGAGGTTGACGATCTTGGCCACGTTCACAACAACGGATTTTGTGAGACTGGTCGAAATCGACTTCGAGGAGAGAGTTGAGGTTCGTTGTGGTGGCTGTGGTCCAAGCCGCGAAGGGTGGATTGTCAGATGTGTTTCTGTTTGATCGGGTGTGTAATTCTGAGAGTTGAGGACGAGGCTGGATATGAACATGGAGACACGATTGGTCAAGTGCAGCTCGATAGGCAGTATATCGTACTGTAGACGAGCAAAGAGGACATGAGACTACCTCACTACGGCGTGGCAGAATGCGGAACACCTGTGATATCGAATGATGCCTACTAAGAAATGTGAGCATGAATCGCTTGGTCACATGGAACAATGTTCAGACAACGAGACGTAGTCACATTGTTCACGCTGCACATTGCAAACGAGAGTGGATATACATAAACGGGTTCCTTTTTAGAACTTCTTGATAACTTAAGTATCTGCTATCTTTAGCATCGATATCCCGAAATACCCAGATTCGTTTTCCATTGCCGTTCCCCAGCCCATCCACGGCCCTAAACACTGACAAGCTCCATCTTGACACCCCTCTTCCCCGTCATCTCGTCCTTCTCATCCGTAATCTTGACCTTGACCTTTTGGAACAGCTCCACCCTGAGCTCCTTGCTCCCGCTCGTCGTGAGTACATAATTCTCAGCATCGAACGCGCTCTCGGGCTCAGGATCCGCGAGGTCCCTCAGCCTGATCAACCCCTCGATACCGAACCGCGGCACGAGGACCACGAAGCCGTTGCTGAAAATCTTCATCACAAAGGCCTCCTCCTCGGCGACCCGGCCCTTGAGCGCCTGGCCGACGTAGTAGGCGATGCTGGCGCGGCCCGCAAGCTGCGCGTTGCGATGCCGCACGTTGATGTTTTTGCATACGGCCTCGAGGCGGCCGCGGCTGCGGACCGCCGGGTGGATGGCCTCGTAGCCGATGGCCGCCGCGAGCTGGCGGTGGGCGACGAGGTCGGCGTACCGGCGGATGGGCGAGGTGAAGTGCGTGTAGATCTCGGACGCCAGGCCGTAGTGGCGGAACTCTGGGTACGCCTGAGTTCCCGAGCAGAAGTACTCGGCCGACATCATGCAGCGCGTGGCCATGATGCGGACGAGGGTGTTGAAGAAGGGGTCGACGGGATCGACACAATTGTCGAGAGAGTCGGCCAGCGCCTTGCTCGAGTCGACGCGGAGCTCGAGACCCTTCTTGACGCGCAGCTGGTTCGAGAGCTCGTCAAAGTTGGTCTTGGGAGGCGCGCCGTGGCGACGCAGGATGGCGGTTTGTGGGAAGGCCTCGTAGATCTTGGCCGCGACGCTGACATTGGCGAGCAGCATGAACTCTTCAACCAGGGACATGGTGTCGAGGTGCTGCTTCGTCTTGACGTCGATGGGATCCGAAGTCTCCGACTCCATCTGCACCTTGACTTCAGGAGAGGACAGGCTGAGGGCGCCGGCGTCCATGCGCTTCTGCTTCAACTTCTTGGACAGCATCATGAGCGTTCTGATGCTGTTGGTGAGGTCATCCTGTTGCGAGGCGTCATCGACGCGGAGCTGGGCCGCCTCGTAGCTGAATGCCTCCTTCGACTGGATGACCGACTTTGTGAAGCGGGCGCCGACAACGTCTGCATTCGCGTTCATCTCCCAGATACAGGAGAAGGCGTAACGCTCGACATAGGGCTTGAGCGAGCAGAGGTCGGTACCGAGAAGCATCGGCAACATGTCGATTCTCTTATCAACCAGGTACACGGTGGTGCCTCGCAAGTTAGCCTCCGTATCCATGGCGTTGGCGGGTTTGACAAAATGGGAGACGTCGGCAATGTGGACGCCAACTTCAAAGTTTCCGTTGGGAAGGGGCCTGGCGTGGAGAGCATCATCAATATCCTGGCAACCGATGGGATCGATACTGCAGATAAGGAGCTTCCGAAGATCCTCTCTATCCCTCCAGCCAGGGTCTTCCAGGTTCTGCGGTACTCTCCAGTCGTGGCCTTCCTTTGGCAGACAGTCGAGTACCGTCTTGGGGAAAGGACGGTATTGTACATCGTACTCCAGCAGCAAAGCTTCCGTCTCCGCGGCCTTGGTCTCAAGCTCACCAAGCGAGCGCACAAAGTGGCCCACGGGGTGCCGGGAATCGCGGTCCCAAGCATCAATGGTGACCAACAAGCGCTTGCCGAGGAGCTCGGAAACCTGTCGTGAGCGCAGCTTGATCTTGGGGATGCGCTTATCCATGGGGATAAGGAAAACATTGTCCGACTTACGACCCTGGCCGCCGCTCTTGCTTGCAGATGAAGGATCAATGTGCCCGACATACTGTCGCCAGTTGCGCTTGATGACGCCGACAACCTTTGCCGTCGGTTGCGGCCGGCCCTCGGTGCTATTCTTGTGTGTTTTCTTCACCTCTTCTTGCAGCGCCTTGCGCTCCTTCTCCGACACAAAGTCTTGCGCTTCCTCACCGTCGGCGTTTTCGTCACGTGTGACCGCTTCTTCCTCGATAATCTTGGTTGACGGCTCCTTCCACTGGTCCTTTGGAAGAACCTCGACGACGACAACGTCGCCGCTGACGGCTCGGTTGATGTTCTCTCTGCCGAGGACGATAAGAGGCTTGGGAAACGCGGGCACGTGGATGGAGCCCTCCAGGTAGTTGTACGGCGAGACATTGAAAATGCCCTGGTGAAGGAGACCGGCCTTGACCCCCGTCATCAACTTAGACATGGTGAAGTATTCCGGGTAAATGGGACCGGCGTGCTTCTTGGAAAAGCTCGAATTCCGCGATTCGGCAACCATGTCTAGCAGCCTCTCGCCATCCTCGAGGCCGCCAATATACTCGGAAAGGGACATGGCCGTGACACCTTCGGCCTTGGCCTTCCTCAGACAGTCTTGGTCATCACTGAGCATCACGATTGCGGGCACCGTCTTGGCCTTTGTCTGCGCCAGGTGCTCGGCGTACCACTTCACCGCCTTGCGCACGGCGCGGTCGTTGCGGTCGTTGACTGTCTCGTTGGACTCGCGGTTGACGTACGTCTCGAGGCGGAAGTCGTTGAAGAAGACATAGAAGCGCTTGTCCTCGCTCTTTGTGAGCCCGACGAGGCGGTTGTACAGGGGCAGCGAGCGGTTGCGCAGCTCTTCGAGCACTGTCTGCAGGATGACGACGTCATAAAAAGCCGAGCTCTGCTCAAAGAGGTCCATGGCGTTCAACAGCGCATTGGTGTCGGGGACGATATAGTGCCCCTGGGGGAACGCCTTGGTCCCCGCCGGCTTGTCAGAGAGGACAAACGGTTGGACTGTGTATTTTCGTTAGCCATCACTATTCACCTGGTAGTGGAAATAAAGACACTCACTATTGTTGGCTGCATCTCTGGGGGCCGTCTGTAGACAGCTCCGGCATAGCTTTGAGGAACAGGGAATATCTTGACGCAGGTAGACCTCCCTCACAATTTTCTGAACCTTGCCCTTCCTCGTCGAACGGACGTAGACTTTGCTCGAGATGTTGGCAGCAAAGGGGTCGGCCTCGAACGAACGCTTAAGGCTCGCCATTTTATCTTGTCGATTTCCAGTCGCCCTGGTGTCGAAAATGAGTTGACGATGAGGGCTTTGAAATCCTTTTGACTTGATTCTTTCGCGGCCCCTTCACACTGGGCCTCGTGGATGATGGAAAATTGAAGTGAGGTGAGGCGCGGTCACCGTGGGGCGGCTGACAAACGAATCAGGAAGCCCGTGGCGCTTGGTGGTTACTGACTTATCGAAGGTACCTAGGTACCTTATCCCAGCTGCTTACCTCTAATCGATAACACACCCGTCTATCAGAGTCATCACCCAATTCTGTGCACGAATACCTACGTACTTACCACGGACTTTCAGTTCCGAACGACGCATGATGCCGTGCGCCCCAAGACCAATATCGTGGTCCGCCCCTGCGACAGCAGCAGGACGCGATAGGTTTGCTAAACCGTGTTTTCTCTAAGAAGGGCTGTCTCGCCCACGCCAACAGCCTCATCGGGAAGTGAATGCTGTGCTGGACGACCGGGACTCGGGTGGGGCTGGCCCGCGTAGAGTCAATTTATTCATCGGGGTCTCATCCATTTTTCATTAGTCCTACAGCTTGGCACCACGATCCAGCCGTTCTCCTGCTGACAGGCTGGTGAATTGAAGCAGATCAGCCATCCCCATTATTCGGGTATCTTGAACTTAAGCTCCGCTACACTCAATAAAGCGTCAAGTCAAGATCCAGCTGCCCACTACCTGGATTTTAAAAGCCCGCTGGCCCAAGGTGCCGGAACCCCGTATGGCTCTGATCGTCTGTTGTCGTCGGCCATGTCGTTTGTCTTCCCCGACGAGCATGGTCGCACGGCGTCGTTCCCGAATACCTGTCTCTTGCGCGCCCCGGTTTCGCTCTCTTGCTCGCACAGCGCACAGCGGGAAAGGAGGGAAATTTAAAAATAAAGCTTGTGTAACCTTTGACCCTTTTCGTGTGAGTAAAACAGACGGGAGAATCAAAAGCCACAGTATCGAAAAGAAAAACGAGGGAAGAGATGAATGGGACTACTTCGTCCCATCAATCGGGAAACAAGCCAGCCTGTTTCGCAGACATACACATTCACACACACACACACACACACACCTTTCGCTCCCGCCCTTCCAGTGCTTGGTCTTTTCTGTTTGTGTGTGAGAAGTGTCTGCGGTATGTGTCCCGCCTCAAACTTGACGTTTCCCCCTTCTCTCCCACAAGACCCTCGAAAAAAGGATCCAACTCGTGGGTAGGGGTGTGTGCGTATGTTGTCGACAGCAAGATGATCCGTGACAAAAATCAATATACGAGGGATCAGAGCGGCGCCAAAACCGAAATTCGAAAGCTTTTGCTTACTGATATTCCGCGTTTGGTTATCAATCGTCAATGGCCTACTTCCTCCATGATATGATCTACGGAGAGGAACCGCGAGAAAAAAAGAAAAGACAGAATAGGGGAATCAGGGACTCTGACCGGCCTGCTAGCCGCTTTTGCCACGCCATGTCAGGTCAGGTTGCCCTGCTTGGATCGGCCGCACCGGTTCCGTGGCCCAGGCGGCCACGGGGGAGGGGGGGGGCGCACGCACATTTCACGCACGCACACATCGCTCGCGAGGCCACGGCGGGAACGGCCCTCATGTCAGCGTTGCATCCTGCTGGAAACCGTCACCCCCTTCCCTTCGATCTTACGGGGGAGAAGGGGGAGGTGGGCAGTATGCCATGGACCAGGCTGGCTCCTGCAGGTGTCCGAGAACTCTTGGCCAGGCGCGGGAACGCACCGGGATATGTGATAGAGAAAACGGTTTTCCTGACCAGCAGGGCTAGAGATGAGACGTCGGCTGCATAGAGCTGGCCGCTCGTTCTGTCTATCGTCCAAAACAAACACTATGTCGGAGCCAAATAAACTGAGAAACCCAATCTGGCTTGATCGAGTCTGCAGCGGCTCAGCCAAGAGAGTTTTCCAGCCATGACCTAGAAAACCTCGTTTCGGCCGGGAGGCCGGAATTGGGGGTACTCGGGGCTTCTTCCTGCGTTGCAGTGCATCGCAGAAAGCAAGAGTTGGAAAACGTGGGCTTTGTGGGACCCTGCAAAACCTTGGCCCAAGCGGATAATTTTTTTTTTTTTTTTTTTTGCAGTGCTCCAGAAGCTGTTCTGGATATGAGTCCGAATCGAGGTTGACGGGAGGGAGAGGCTCGAGAGTCGGGGGCACGCCCCGTCGCATTCGCAGCGTGCGAGTCAAGCGCATGAAAGAATGAGCAAACAACCTCTCACGCTCAACCCGTCGTCTGAATAAGCTATGAGCAAGAGTCGGTTGTAGAAAAGCAGAGAGGCGAGACATAATAGGAATGGGGCATAAGCCCACGACACACACATCTGTGCGGAGGCGGGAGCTTAAAAAAAAAAAAAAAGGGGGCGTCACGGGCTGGGCCAAACCTGTTTTACAAATGGGTTAATCGCCTCCTTCGGGAATTGTTGAAAGAAAATTTACCCATTGCGCCACGGGAAGTCAAGACAAGGCAAGGTATACGGCCGCCAATGGCGGTTCTCGGGTGTCTGGACACGATGTTCAACGAGGTCCATCGCTGTCGCTCCTGGTGGTATTCCGTCGACCGGTATGTCGTCAGTTACACTGGCCATCGCAACCGAGAGGACATGATGTTCGTGTGCCGATGATACCGCTGTTCGACATGTCCCCGATTCCCCTTCCGACTGGAACGGTTGCTGTGCAAGTAAGACATGGCACTCCGCCGAGGTCGTCCCAGGAAGCCGGCCACTGGCTGGCAGAGTGACACACCGGTCGGCGTCGAAACCCGGTTGGAGGGCCCCGCGATCTAACAAACCACGGACGGCAGCCAGTGAGGGTTAGGTTACGTTACGCATGGCCGCCTGTAAGACCAGACAACGTATGAAAAAGGAAACATCAGGGGGGTCTTCCAGCGTCTGATGGTTGTGTCAACCTGCCTTGAGGGAGAGACATATAGCCGTAAACGGATGACGTTGTATGTTGAACGTTTTGAAGAGGGGTTGACATCGCTTTCGTGTTCCCCCTTCTCCAAGCCTGCTGGAACGTAAATCAAAGACGAGTTAGACGAGAGAAAGAAAAGGAAGCATCAAACAAACAAACGGCAAAGGCTCGCGTCCCGTCCCTCCACCACTGAATCGGGAAAGGGTAGGGTGCAGAGTATAGCGAATGTATAGGAAGTATGTAAATCTACGCCCACAAACGGGGGTAGGTAGCTAGATAGAGGAGGGCGGAACCATAGTATGGCTTACATGTGTGTGTGGACTGGGGGTGTAACGGTCGATGTGGTGTTGATGGTGGTGATGGTGGTGGTCGCGTCTCCACAGCGGCTAGACACGCGCAGCTGTACATTAGCTGGTGGTGGTGGTGGTGGTTGTGGCTGTAACTGTTGCTGCTGCTGTTGCTGCGAACGAGAGGCGACTGAGATCGGAATTGGCTGCGCCCTTGAATGCGGTTCCAGAAAGGAAACGAGATGGGTGAGATGTCCTTCTGCAGTCGGAAGGGAAGGGGGGAGGTGGGGAGCGTACTGGGAGGGGAGGAATGGGGAATGGATGAGCGTTTGCTGCACGAGCGGGTAGCAAGGGTCCAAAGGTAGCTCCCGCACTGCAAAAAGGAAACACAGCGGGCCAAGTCCACCTCCCAGTCCTTGTAAGTTGTTCCCGCCCCCGTCCATCCAGTCTACGGATACCTTACCCTTCACTGCCCCAGTCCCCGTCCCAGTCCCAGTCCTCCTTCAACCCGCCATGACAAGACCCAACTCACACTGACCTGATCAAGGACGCCCGACATCCTTATCAGGCTATAGGATCGCGACTCACTTCCAATGTCATTCAAGTCTCTCCATAGTAGCCGCCACGTCGTGATGCTGAACGTAGATAAAGCGGAAGCCCAAGAAGACAAATGTGAGCAGCAGCATGGATGCAAGGACATAGCTTGAAGCGATCGGCGCCGGTTGGCGTCCACCCTCAAGCCTCAACGTCGACGAAAGCCCCTACCATACATTGTACACCACTCGCGGGCCTCTCTCGCTTCAACCATCCCCCTTCCATTGGGTGCCGCTGCGCCGGCATTCACGGTTTGACAGCCACCCATCACAGCTAGCAGCGGGCATGGACTCGACACCACCATCCCGAGTACATTGGAGCAACATGGCCAACCGTTCCCGGGGTGAAGCCCAGACGCAAGGGCCAGAGACGTTGGTCGCCTTGAGAGAGACAGAGAGAGAGACAGGAGCGTCGAGGACAGCAACAGGACGTCTGGCCACCTTCACCTACCACCCATAGCAACGTCCTAAGCCTGATCAATTCATCTAGGCGGTGCGTCCTCGAATATCGTTGGAACAGGACAAGCTGCCGATGTCGATGCCGATGCCGATGCAGCAGCAGCAGTACCAGCTCCTCTGCACCACCATCCATTTTCACTACCGGCAGCTTGCTCTGGACAGCGTGTGGGCAGCGATAACAACCTCTCGGTTGCTGCCGTGCATTTGGACTGGTACGGCTCGTTCGGGGAGAATAAAATGGTTGGAGGTGTGGAAACTCGCCCACCCGTGTTCACAACCCTCTCCTCTTCATCCGTTGTCTCGACATTGTCTTCCTCTGTTGCAGCTGCACTGCAGTGCTGCTTCCCAGCTTGCCTCAAATCATCCCAAAAGTACGGAAAGGGAGCAGTACCTCTCGCGCCTCTGGTGTGCACCGCCATGCCAGTCTTCCCCACCACCACAACCACCACCTCCAACCCCTGGTCAACCACAAGGCCATGCCTTGCTCATGCTATCCGAAAGGAAGCAGGTGCCCATCCTGATGGTGGGGCTCCATTGAACCCATGATTCCTAGCATGGCTTGTGCGCCAGTCATAAACGTGACTTGTTGACCCAATCGCATACGGGGATTCGGGGGAAGCCACCAGCGAAGGCGCTTCTAGGCAATTCTTTCATCGACGTCTTTCCCCTCCATCTTCGCAATCGCTGCCGCCCACACCTTGCCTTATGCCTGCCTAGTGCTCACTCCTTGCCGGAGGCCCATACTGCACTACAGTAGAGCTTAAGAGCTAAGCTCACCTCTGTCCCCTCCCTCCGAACAAGCCTGTCTGAATTCGTTAGACTTGAACTGTTGATTTGCCCAGGTTTTGGGTGTGTTGCCGGCACGCTGCCCAGGTGTCGAGTCATCTGGTTCATAGTAGCTTCTGCAAAGATACCCCCTCGCTCCTTATCTGATCGAGCCCCAGTCTGAGCCGCGCCGAGAGGGACGCGTTTTAGTGTAGAGGCGCGACACCCCGACGCGAGGCAACGACAAGCAAGAGCCTGGCCATCATGACCACTTGCGAAACAAGCGGGGAAATCTGACCCAAGCCACGCGGGACTTCTGCGGTTAACAGGTCTTTCGGTCCATTATGTCCGAGGCATCTCCGTCCTGTGGCAGTCGTCTCGGTGGAATCCTTCCTCGTTCTCGATGCCAATATGCACACATCCCAGCCCTGAGCCACCTCGGCTGAAACGCATCCACTCGTCAACAATTCTTGTTTCTTGATCTCGACCAAGGTCACTGCAGAGACACGAGTAAGTTGAAGCTTCTCCACGACTAATGAAAACGCTTTTTTTTGCGTCGTGCTTTTGAAGGTTGTCGTTGGGCAGAAGCCGAGACGAAGCTAATGAAGCACCGTCTCCGTGCAAGTGCCATTTTGCGGTCTTGATAGCAACGCCGCCGTTGCTTTCCTTGACCGCTCTCTTCTCTTCTCGGCTGCAAAATCCATTTCCATCGCCGCCTTTACGATGACGGGTTCCCAGTTGTCACCGAGTTTCAGCTGTGGCGCATACTCATATATGGACCAGGCTAGGGCCATAGACCATGGGCCAATGATTGTCGACTATTGTCGACGGGAAAACGTCCGTGATGCCCCTCAGCCATGGAGACCCATGCGTCACTTCGAAGCATCTTTGAGCTGCCAGTCGCATGCTCCGCTGTCGCCTGATGAGGAACGATGCAAGTCGAGAGGCTTTTGCAGCCAATGCAAAATCTTCTTCTCTCTGCCGTCCATTCTTCTTATACAACGGCTGCCCAAGCATACCCTCTCCAAGGTCTCGGATCCGCGCAACTCCTCCGCAATGGCCAGGACGATTCGGACCGTCGGCAATCGTATGTACATATGTGACTTCCCATAGCTAGATCCGTGACACCATGTACATCTACGCTGCTATAGGGCTTGTGCTGGCTACTTTGTGTTCTGCATAGTCGTCGCCTGTGAGCTGAAACCTGCCGGCTCTATACGAGACATATTGACAGGTAGAGCCGAATAATTTGGAAGAGGGAGCTCCGGAAGATGGGGAAATGTCCAAAACCACATCTCCTGCGCGAACGAGACCCCCGGTCATTATCTGGCAAATCAACACAGCCTGCTTGCTTGGCTTGGCTGCAGTGTCTTGCATCGCCCTTGTCCTACCTAACCTTTTCGGTCAGCTAATCGCCGACGGCAACATCTCACCTCTCCCTCTGGCGGCGGATTGTTGAAGACTGTGACTGTCCATGTGACACAAAGCCGTACTGTTTATGTTGATTGAAAACCCTTGCCAAACTCGACAATATGCCTCTGGTTGAAGAGCATTTGTGGCAGTCGTTTCGTCCGCATCGCTTCCCCAATGTCGATATGATGACGAAATGTCTCTTGTCTAGCCCGCTTAGGCGACACTGGCCGCCCCCCTAAACATGGCGCGTGATGTGATAAACGGGGCCATTTTTGCTCATGTTATCGAGATGACTCCTAGCAGCGGCTGGCATGCAGCAGACGAGAGGAAGCCGCGGATAATGGAAGGAGACAAGGGCTGCAAGCTGACCTCATCTGTGTCAGAGCCATGTGCGACGACGACGACGTCGAGGGCCCTCCCAAGTCCAATGTCTGCCTTGACGAGGCCTTCGTGTCGTGGCATCGCCATCGGGTGCTGATTCGCGCGTTCAAATGGCTGCTGCTGCATCGCATTTCATTTTCTATCAGGCCTCGGATTCTTCTTTGACTGATTTGTGTTGCCCCGTCTAGTGTACGGTGCTCGTAAGGTATCAACGTGCAGAGTGAGGTTTGAGTCTAAATTAGCATTTCGTCCGTGGCGATCAAGAGACAAGAGACACGAGTCGAGACCTGGGCCACATGTCACCTTTCCTCGTGTAAGATTGAGCGTAGACAAGGCCGTCGTTTTGCAGAAGTCAGACGCCCCGCGAAAGGCACGACGTTCGGCTAGGAGGAGCATCTTGGCGGAGTCCTTCCCTGATCCCATCCGTTTCGCCCGCCTTCAACCGTATTGTCGGCAGGGGTCGACGTCGATAGCGTGTGCGCCATTGCTGGGGTCCCAGTCGATGGCAAGTCAGAATGGCACGCAGGCTAGAGCGATTGGCTGACGGACTCATGGCGACAAGAACGGTGTCTGTGCGAGAAGCGAGGGCGGCGACAGGACTTGCCCATTGAGCGAGTCAGTGTCGGGAAATTTCCCGCCTCCACTCTTCAACCGCTTCGTACGTAGTATTTTGTATCCGTACCCGACCTCACTCGGCTGGCGTGTACCGGATATTGAGATGCAGCTGAATGGTGTAAACTGCCCGCCTGAGTCGATTGCCAATCCACAGCATGGAGGAATGATAATGATGGCCGCTTCTGGTTTCGGTTGCTTCTGGTGTTACACAACGTTCGAGCCAACAAGACGAAGACCTTCTCTCGGACTGGACGGTAAGTCGACAAGGCATCATAGACACCTGTGCATCGTGCGCTGTATCCGCCCAGGCAAGGTTTCACGTCAAGAACAATTGATCGCATGGTTCCCTCCGCACATTGTCGCTACTTCGAGAATAGCCTGGTGATGTTGGAAACCGCTGCATTCGACCAGCAGAGCCGGTCTAGGCGTTACAGGCCTCCCCAAGTAGCTCTTTGGAGCTAGAGAGTTGGTAGGCGTTGCCGCTTTTATCCTTTGTCCAGTCTTTTGGGCGAGAATCCAGAGTTGTCAAACGTAGAGCCTTGCAACTGGCCTCAAACGTATGGAGGAACAGGAGGTCACTTTACCTCTTGAAACTATTTTCTAGTACCTCGTCGAAAGGAAAACAAATCCAGGTCTAAATTGCGCATTCCAAGTTGGGTCCTCTATATATGGAGCATCCAGAAGAAACGAAGGAACCAGTCGGCCAGTTGTCTCGTAATAAGAGGTACTCACTCATTTTCTCCGTGATGCAGGCGCATAATCCTGATGCCCCCAGGGACAGCCCTCCTAGCGGCAAACAAGACCGCCGTATCGACTGAGAATTCTCCCATATCTACCTCTCAGTGTGACCTCCACCTTCTGTCAGTGTAAAGGTTGGACCGTCCAGCCGCCGGTTGCAAGATTATAAATTCTACATACCGAATGGCCCATTCGCTGCCATGGATGCCGGCAGGAGTTTGTTTGGTCCTGACGTTTGGTCGAAATTCCACTGGGTTTTTGACGATGAGCGGACGGAAGCTGCGTTTTGAGATGTCCCTACGAGGACTACTCGTATAGGTAGGCCGCGATAGACGACACAGTCGACAGTGACAGTGCAGAAGGTTGGAAGGAAGCTGTGTCGAATCAGGCCATCAACAGCCTTCAGCCGTCTGAGCCACTGCTTTGCCAGCTTTGGGGGAGTTAAAGCGGCCAGGGTAAAGCGAAGGACAAAAGGTGCAGGGGCTGGCCTAAGGTTGTTTGGAAAGAAGCTGATCAAGTCACTTTTCAAGCCGGACTAGCCGGAGTGACGCGGATAGAGCGGATTGATTCTGCTGTAAACTCCTGTGAAGTAAAAGATGATTCGCCTTGGCTGTTTGAGGCATCATTTGTTAAATCTTTGCCCGAATTTGAGTGACTAGACTTCGTCCGACGTCTTGCCTCAAGGGCGTTTATGCTAGATGGCATGCCAGTGGATGGCGCCTCTACGCCCCACTCTAAGTGCTGAGTAAAGTATGAAAGCGTGGGATCATGGATGCGAGGTTCGGGTGATGGCCGTGGTGGTCGTGGTGGTCGTGGTGGTGAGATGGTGGGCAAGTCTGGCCGGCATGGGTTGCCGCCTGGCCTCTTCTGGGGCTCAAACGATTGATATTGATCGCTCCCGCACATCATCTACCACAGTACGCAAGCCGGGGAGCCACTTCGCCGCAGCAATCCTGCCCGCTTTCTTTTCTAATGCAGTCGGTCGCAGTATCGCGAAACCGGGGCAGGGGGCAGTTCTCCGTGAGGAACCCCTGTCGATGCCTTGGACAGGCCAGGGGAAGTCTAGACGGGCCGCAGACCATGGGATATCAAGTATGAACGAGCGTTTGAATAGAAAGATTTTCGATAGAGGCCGGGTGGTCGGGTATGAACGCGCGCTTGAGGGCCAGGTCGCGACTCCGCGGTTCTGTATCCAGGTGTGATGCTCCGAGCGGGCCTCGGTGGGCGTTATCCAAGACTTTTGGTGTCGGGTGAATCCCTTTTGGACTTTTTGTGCAGCGAGCATCTCGCCAGGGTGATTTAAATGACTTAAGATTGCATGGTTGAGGCATGCATGCGAGACTTGAGAGGAGCCAGAGACTGCACGTTGCCATGCTCAAGTCAAAGTGGAAGAGCAGGTGCAGTCTCCCAAATTTCTGTCGGCAGCAAAGCAACGAAATCGAGAAGCCGATATGACAACGCCCGGGTCCTCGTGGCCTCGTACGGGGTAGGTAGTGAAATATTGACAGGGCTTGGATTGTGAAGAAATAGCATTCCAGGGAGGTGTCGAAGATTTTTGTCCAGTCATGAGGCGGCGTTGGCACCAAGACTGAGACTGGATCGGTATTGGGGCCTTGTCTTCGGCAAGTATCACTGGCGTTGGAGACGGCTTTGCGCGATCTTGGTCGTAGGCAGTTTTGAATGAGCAGAAACATGCTCTGTGGATCCTTTGACTATTATACGAACATAGCTTGACCAAAGTAGCGCGAGGCGAATGCGTGGGCGAACCTGGCCAGGGCACTGCCATCGCGGATGGAGATGGAAGATTCTTTTGTGGGTTGAAAAAGATCGACGATGCAGAGCGAGAGGGGGTTATTGTCGATGCTGAGTTGACGGTAGATGTTGTGGCACCAAACCTGGCAGAGAAAAGGGGTTCAGGCTCGCGATGCAGAATGCCTTGTCGTAAGAAAGGAATTCTGAGAGTATGCGTAGGGTATTCGTGGTTTCCCATTAGGTATCCGTATTCGATGACAGACTCACCCCCATCGGTAAGGTAAGGTACCTTGAGGAATACATAGTAAGGCACTCGTAAGGGTCGGGCGAGGTATCCGTACGTTCCTACGCTGGCGGAAGTGAGGCAGGCACCTTGACTATCGGTATACCTTACATAAGCAGTATCTGCCTAGCTACCTTGGTGCCAGCTTACACCACCTCGCCTTCCCGCATACCTAGAAATGCACCTCAGGTATCCGTACAATGGTAGACTTTCCCGTTTCTCGGCCCTCGCGCATTCTCCACCATGCAGGCGCGTGGAAGGCGCGCTCACTTAATTGCTGTTACTGCTTACTGTACGTAGGCAGCTCCACCGGTCAGACAAATGCAGGCGCCATGTGAGGTAAGATGCAGCAGCGAGTGGTGGATACCCAGTCTGTGGTCCAACAAATTGCGAATAGGTGCCCTATGGTATACGGATACAACCTTATGGTCGAGAAGAGCTGTAGCCCAGCTTACGGTATACGTAAGGTACCCAGGTAGTCAGGGCAGAGGCTTTGTTTGCTGTCTAATATGTTCTGTGCCAAGGTGCCGTGCCGCCGTTTTAGTAGATAGAGGACGGTAAAAGGTATCTACAGCCTCTTTTTCGCCTCCTTCTTTTTGCTTTCCCTTTCCTGTTCAATTGCCTGCCCGACCCCAGCTGAGCTGTACTCTCGTCTCCTCCATGACTCCATGTTGCGGCGCTACGGAGGAGTACAAATATCTTGAACACGGACCTGCCGTCAAGCGAAGTGGACTATGACGGCTGCTAGTCTGGGCAGATGATGGCAAACCAGCCTGAGAGGAAAGCCAGTGCTGCGACTTGCCAGTGTAAACCCAGTTGCTTCCATTGCGTTTCCGCTCCATTGCTAGCGCTGGTGCTGGCGTTGATGCTGGTGCCGGTATTGGTGCATGGTATCCCTGTCGATATCTCCCTGGCATCATCGTCATCCGTGCTCCTCTTTTTCGAGCAGGCTGCATGCAACTGCGTTTTATCGAGCAGGGGTCGGAGAAAGTGGAAGTGGTCATGCTGATGAATGAACCGTTTTCCCGTGTCTCTTACGCCTGCGCCTCCATTCATATCTTACGGAGCCGAGCCCGTTTAGACAACCGTGTGATCAGTGATAGCTACCTTACCTTCAAGCAGGTAACATAAAGTTCTTCTGTAAGGCCTGCTGGTACTCTACTATGAGATCTCTGCTCGCCGGTTTTTGGGGATTTACAATCAGAGCAAGTAGATTAGCGCAGATGGTCACTCACATGCCCTTTGCCGACTCGCAGGTTCCATGAAGCTGTCTTTACATAGTACTGTTGGCTAGTTTCTCATAACCGTGAATTGGGGCACCCCCCCTGCTGCCCTTGATTCTGTCCGGGGTTTTTTTAAAGCCCACTTGCCTGTCAATTTCTTCCTTGACTGTGATGGAATCATCAGAGGAAGGAAGCAGAAGACCTTTTTTCGGTTTTTTTTTCTTCCCTCGCTTCCCTCGCTCCTCCTCTTCCTTCCCGTCGGTCACTATCTCGTGCACGTCGTTTGACTTCCATGTCTTCCTCTATTGAACCCACCCCCTCTATATTCTTGACTCACACCCCGTCCCTGTCGCCGGAGGAAATTACAGCAAAGTGCGAAGTGTATGCTCGCCACACCCGAAGAACGCCGCCCGTCTGTGGCCGCCGTTCTTTCTGGGACCCGGCAGCTTCTGCGCGCCTTCGGTTTGGTGACTTTGGTCTGGTCTAGTCCATGCACGTTCCCTGTCACCGTCATCATAGCTGTCCCAAATCCCAATCTCAATCCTAGTATAGCCTTCTCTCCTACACCACACACCCCCCTCACTCGCAGTCTCGCACCCCTTTCCCGCACACCCCTCTTCGAGACCTTGTCCCAGTCCAGTCCAATCCATTTCATTCCCAGCTTTCCCATCTACGGATATGTCGCGTTGCGCCGGGACATCTGCAACTGACCTGCCTGCACCTGTCGCCGCTCTTGCTCGCTCTGCGCATGCACCAGCCCATCCCAGCCCAGCTCCAGCATCGGCCAAGCTCCAGCCCGCCGCTTCCCACACCATCACCTCGCATCGCACCCGCTGATGCGACCTGCCCAGCTGCGCGTTATCCAACCTCCTCCCTCTCTCCATTGGCGATTCGCAGACCCTCCTTCTCCCGGTCGCGGGGTTCACCAGTTCCTTCTGTCACTGTCAGAGATACAACACACCAACACCAACAGCCACAAGTTGTACTGACCAAACAAGATGCGCTTCATTCAGTAAACACGTCCAACTCCCTTGATTTGAGACCTGAAAGGCACACCGGTGACCACGGCAGGGCTACTACGTCCAAATCAAGAACGCTCTCTCCTCGGGAGATAACCACAAGAAACCCACAAGGCTGCCTCGCAATTGCTTTGCTGTGTACGGATACGGAAACTTCGTACAGATACTCCGTACAGAGCACAGCAACCGACGCTCACTTGCTTTTGTATCCGTAATCGTCGTAGATACCCCCCCGTACCGACCGACGCCCTAGTTATTAGCACCTCGCCTTCTCCCCACCATCCTGTCGCATTCCATTGCATACCGTCGCGTCGCTGCGTCGCATCACCTCGTCGTTCCATGAACCAGAACCCCCTGGCCTACTTGTCTCCGAGTCCCTGACCAGCATCCTTCCATCGTCCCTGATACCGACGACATAATCGAGAACACCGACCCATCGTCATCGTAGTTGGCCGGCTCCGTTCGTCCACGACAGAATCCCCGTCGCTTCTAGGCTGCGAAACCCCCTCCATTCGCTGGAGCCGCGTTTTCTTCACGCACCCCCCTCTGAACACTCCTCGCCCAAACCCTTCGCGGGGAGGTAGAGGAGCACAGAAGTCGCCCAGAAGGGCATTCGGCTGCAAGTTGACAAGCGCAAGCATCCGACTAGGCCGCTACTCCCCGTCTGAGGACCAAACTTGAAGGTACATACAGCTTTGCCTTGGGTGCCTTGCCTCATCTAGGTACCGCTCCGTCTGGCTGCCTGCTCAAGGAAAGGTACTTTGGCTTCACACCCAGACGGCACGATTCGAGAGACACCTTCCATCCACCATCCCCTCCATACCACACGACCTTGCCGTTCTCATCGCGTCGCCCACTTCTCCCCGTCCATCCATCATCTGCCTGTCTACCTACCTTATACCTTACCACACGGCGTCTTTGCGAACTCCAACCAACCATCCGCCATCTTCCCTCCTTCACCACCGCACGCGCGCATCTCCACTGGCGACAGCCTCCATTTTCTTCGCCCAGACTTCTTCTCTGCGTCTCGCCGCCTTATTCAAGTAGACGCGGCTTTTTCCAACAGCTCTTATTTCAACTTATTCAGACGTTGTAGGGCACACGTCCGTTCGGTCCTCACGGCGCGGGAAACAAGAGGAGGAAAATTCGCCAATCCTTCGCCACACACTTCTCCTCCTCACATCTTACAAAGCTGCTGCACACAGGCCCCCTCGCCAAAGAACCTACCTACCCGTCGCGCCGCAGGCCCCCAGGACACCGACCCTCTTCTGAGTTCTACGGCTTGGTTGTACCGGCGCTGCAACTCAACTCTTGCATTTTCATCTAGAGTTCAGAGTTTCCTTAGCCATACGCCCCCATAACCCTCTTATTGTTCTGCAGCAAAGAAGAGCGAACAAAAGGCAAGAAAAAGCTTCTGTTTGATTTCTTCTCAGGCCGCTCCCCCTACCCTGTTGTTACTCGACATACTTTTCCGCCAGGGACATTTCAGAGCTTCGCACCAACCACATGCACGCATAAGCCTGCCCTGCATCACCCAACGCACCCTCCCCAGACCCCGTGTCGCCCTCGTCCGCGATCCGGCCGGAAGGCAATCCAACTATATCAAGACACGTCGTCGTTTTCCTGATCTTGACCTGAAGAATCTGCTGGGAAACGTTTGCGCGCTCAATGTACTCCACTCAGCCGAACGGAGCTGATAGTGCGACAATCAACCCAGCTGCCCTCAACTCTCCTGGTATGTGTGCTTATTTGCTCTCCATTGCCCCCCCTCCCCAGTTTCAACCCCCCCGCCTCAACCCAGCCTGCTCGCTAGCCGTCATCGCATTCCACTGCGAGGCCCTGGCCGGATTAGCAACTTTCCATGCGCAACAACCACTTGCGCGCCCCCCCCCTCGCCCGTTTGAGCCATGGCTATGACCTTTCTTAACACAACTGTCCTGCCATAACATTATGCTGACGGCTCTGATCATCATATAGACCTGCTCAACGCAAGCACTCGCGGCATCAAAAGAAGCCGCTCCCCGGACAACTTCCAGGGAAATACACCTGCAGGTATTGCTGGTATGTCCTCCCCTTCAACAAAAAGGGAAAAAAACTTATTTTCACCCATCATGCGTGGACTGTCCAGCAGTCGCGCGTGTAACCTCTTACTTCCTTCCCCGCGGCGCGCAACGCGATACAAGCTAATATTGGTGTCTCTGTAGGTGACTCCAACCCGAGAAAACGTGGCAAGTCAATGAAGTCCAGATCATCCGGTGCCATCTCCGAGACTGCCGGTCAGGTCCCAGTAACCAATATGCCTCAAAATATTCCACCGCCGCAAACCCCTCAGAACCAGAACGCGCCGCTGCCGGGGGGGCAGGCTGTCAATTACGCGCCTGCTCAGGCCTCTCCTCCGCCCAAGACGACCCCTACGAAGACGACCTTGAAAGCTCTTCCCACAGTTAGAGATCACACCACCGACCAGCTGAACCCCGCCGGTGACGAGTACCTCCCGAGAGAAATTGATGAATTTGGAGAGAAGAAGGTGATGCCGAATGGTCAGCTTCTGGGCGGTCGCGAATACAGATGTCGAACCTTTTTGGTTCCCAACCGGGGCGACAAGCTCTTTATGCTGGCAACTGAATGCGCGAGGGTTTTGGGGTATCGAGACTCGTACCTGCTCTTCAACAAGAACAGGTCGCTCTTCAAAATCATTGCCAGCCAACCCGAGAAGGATGACCTCGTCAGCCAGGAGATCCTTCCCTTTTCGTACCGATCGAGACAAATTGCCATCGTCACAGCCCGATCCATGTTCCGCCAATTTGGAAGTCGCGTCATCGTCAACGGTAGAAGAGTTCGTGACGACTACTGGGAGACCAAGGCCCGTAAACAAGGATTCACAGAGGCCGACCCCGCTGGCGAGAAGCGCCCTGGAGCGGCCAAGGCCAGAGAAGCCGCAGCCGAGGCACAGAACCAGGTCCTACTGGGCGGCCCTCACGGTGAAATCGTCTACAGCAACACGCCCAGCCAGTTCCCCGGCGCCCCTCAACCCCAAATCGTCCAACCAGGTATGCTTGGACCGCCAACCGGAACCACGACCAGAATGCCCGTGATAACACTAGGATCAGAGCTCAGCGACAACCGCCCTCGCGACTACAGCGGAATTCTCAAGGGTGGCCCACGCCAGGAGATCACCGGCCCGGCTTACCAGGACCAAACACGACCTGCTCAGATTGGAGAGATTCATGCTCAGGCTCACCACGCCGCTGAGTACAATCGGTCTCTCAACCAGCAACGGGACATGCGCGGTGACTACCTCCAAGGCATTTGGAGACGGCCGCATGAGCAGCCCCAATCGACCAATCTAGCCCAAAACGTTGCCACGAGCGAAGCCGCCGTTCCCACCACGCGAGCAACGCAATCGCCGCATACGACGGCGAGCAATATGCCGCCGCAGTCCGGCATTGTGCCCAACCAAAGTCCGCAGATGATGATGACAGCCCCGCCCTACTCTCAATCGATCCATGCGCAGAATCCGATCAGTCAGGCTCCGATGAGAGGTATGGCCCAACCATCTTCCCAAAAGAACAACAAGCCAACGACTTTGCCTGCAGCAGGGAGTGCAAGCAACATACCTCAGGGTGCCCAGGGCTATCACTACCCCGGGACTGGCCAAATGTGGCCCCAGACGCAGCAGAACCCGCAACAACACAACTACTCTGGGTACACGACACAGGGCCAGCAACCCCATCAACAGTCGCCGGCACCTCAACTACGACATGCGTCCAGCGGCGTGCAGCCAGGGATGCAGTTTTCGGGAATGCCAGGCATGGGACAAAGCTACGGTGCCGCCAGCCAGGGGATTTACCCGACAGACCAGACCCCTCGTCAGTATATGCCCCAGCCGAACCAGGGATCTCCGGCAGTGACACAGGCCTGGTCCAACCAGCAAACGCCAGCCCAGTGGTGGACGAACCAGCCTCAATGAAGTCAGAAGGATGTCGAAACACGATGATCTGTTGAACTCGCAAACTAGGTTCTAAAAGAGCGTTATGCCAACTGCATTTTTTTCTCTTTTCTATATATAGTAGGCGGCGGTTACTCCCCTGGCTTTCGCCGGTTTGGCAGCCTTGCTGCCCTTCTGAAGGATACCCAAGCATACAGTTCGGTGGAGGCTATGTGCTTTTGGGCTACGGGCCTGTCAATCTTTGTAGAGCATTTTGGCCGAGAAGGATGGATAGAGGAGTAGTGGGGATCCAGGAACACATGGGCTGAGGTCCAGGGCGGAGGGAAGGGTCTTTTCACTGTAATGCGCCATTTTTGTGGTTTCCTCGACGTATTTTTTCTTTATTTTGGCATCTCGGGGAGGATGCATTGTTTCTTGTCTGTTCACATTGATGGATTTGGTTCTCTCATCCTCATCAACACCCATGGGCACTTTTTCCACCTTGCTTGATTTCATTTTCTGCCGTTGGCACACGGGCATCTCCGACTTCACAATTTGATACCATCGCCGTCCTCTCGTCACCGATCCGCTTCGCTTCAGGCGATTACTTAGTTAGTCACCCTTATCCTCTCGAATACACGATACCTCACGAACACCGCATCTACGCGACATCCCACTTGCCGCGCATCTGAACCCGAATCACTCAGCCATGTTTGCTCGAACAGCAATGCCGACGACTTCATTGGTTTCGATTATCATCATTCAGCAACACTTGAGCTCGGGAAATAAGGAACGTGTGTCCGCGAAGCCATGCGCAGTGTGCAAGCATTCATGCTGAAGACCAAGCTCATCTTTGGCGACAAATAGCGCTTGTGGTCTAGTATGTGTTCTGGTATCGACTTGGCCCGGGAGGTGTGTCCGGGCGCGTCTCCTAAAGGGAAGCAAGATCACGAAAGCGAAGAACCATGAGGGCGACAAGTTACAATATGGTTTTAAGGTTTACCCACTATCCAAGGTGCACCCTTTTCGAAAACAGCGGAAGCACTTTGGGTCATGAGGGCTTGACATGGGCGAGAACCCTTTTCAGTCTGCACGTCGGCGGTCAATATTTTTTGGCCTTGTTTTATCTTTGTGTCGGCAGATATGGCAGCATCGAAGGAGTTGTGCACTGCTTGGGTGAAACTCGATATTGGTTGTCACGTTTTGGTTACCAGGAATCCGGGAAGCGCCATGATCCGGCATCGGGGTGTGATTTGTTTCGTTTCTTCCGCGTCAGTAGCAGGGACGCTTCTTTGGGATTGCATGAGGGGCGTGTCGATTGAACACCTGTGGCTCGTGTTTTATTTCTCCGGGGACTTTTGTTTCTTGTCTGTACAACTTGATCTACGACTGATGCAAGAGGCCTTTTGGAGACACAATTGGAGGACAGTAGTCTTTGTTTGGATTTCTTCTCTTTAATGCAAATACGTCTTTCTTTTCGCATGCGCCTAACGTCACTTTTCTAACCACGCCCGGTTTACGGCGTGCCCGTTGTGGTTGATTCTCATCAGTTGGGACAACTATTTAAAGCATGGACGAGGATTGCCGGTAACTGCGCGCCCCGGAGGATGCATGTGCCATCTGGTCGTGACTTTGAGTTTCTCCAAGGTAGAAGAGGCTCGTTATCGGGACGAAGACCGGCAAGTTGTGAGACAAGGGTCTGTGTGCTTTTCAATCCATGACTGCAGCAAGTTTTGGAAGCCGTGTCTGATCTGTCCTTGCTGCGTTTTCAAGTGCCTAGGTTAACCCCCCTCCCTCCCCAAAGAACGGATAATTGCCGCTTTATCGCTACTGGGGAAGGCAGGGAAAATAGGCGCTTGGGTCTCACAAAGTTGTCAGGTTGATCCCCTTTTGGCGGCCGGGTTCCACGGAGAGATGAGTCGATGTGATAGGAGGAGGTTAACCGATTACTCCGTACAATGTGGGATGTTTTGGTATTGTGTGGTCTTGTCTATTCTGGGTGGTCTCTCTCACGTGCCTCGAGGCCGGCTCTTGGCTCTCTCGGCCGAGGGAGGAAAGGATTAGAAGCCCGAAGCCGAAGCTCCGCCTTCTGAGATGAGGATTGGATTTGCTTTGGGTAACTAGTTCGGACCCTTATGGAGAGGAAGGAGATGAGCAGGGTGCCAAAATGGTGTACACAGTCCATAATGTGCCCTTACACCGCTCGCCCTCGTTGCCCTTGATCTGTGGTTGGACGCTTAATTTTGTCTATAAAGGTTGGCTACTTTCCGAAGTCGGAGAAGGCCGCGGTCCCAAGTTTGCCTGGCCCATTTGTTACTTCAAGATGACAGTTTGGATGGGGGTTCAAATTGTCGACCCGGGGTGCCGAAAGGGTGAATTTCGTTTTACATTTTCATAAACCTCGTAAGGGGGAGAAGACAAAATACAAAACAAAAAGAAGCTTGAATTCTTGCCAAGATAGAGTTCTCCCTCTGATATGAGGAAGGTTTTTTTTTTTTTTTAAACACGAGCCTTAGGCTTATGCTCGGTTTGGGAAGAGGGTGGTGGGAGGGAAAGAGTACGCGATTGGGAATTCTGCCCAGGGAGGAGATTTATGAGAAGAGAAGATGGGTGGTAGTGCGGGAAGAGAGTTGACGACACCGAAGATGCGGCTCTCGGGGAAAGCTTGGGAGCGTGGGAGGTGTGAAGTCGCGCAGAGACAAGGGGGGGGGAGAGAGAGAACGCGAGAGAGAGAGACGCATCCACAGAGAGGAAGGTGGGTGTGGCCGGCAGGCAGGTAAGCAAGCAGGGATGGAACCGCGTCTTCGGGACTTTGGGGGGGATGGGATGAAAACCGTCGGCGATGGACGTCTCATGGCAGCGCCGTATGGTGTACTTCCAGACCTCGTGTGCCGAGTGCGACAGCGGGATAGAACAGAGGAACAGAGAGGACGCGTCAGGGGGCTTGAGTCCCAGAGATCCGGGGCGAAAGCCAGGGGTGTTGAGAGAGATGGGAGGATCTACGATAATGGTGGTGGTGGTGGGTGGTGGAGGATGTATGGATGGATGGTGTTGATGGTGGTGATGATGAATTGCAACGGACTTGATGGAGCAAGTGGCAAGGCTAAAGATGAGATTGTCAGCGAAGCCTCGTCGGACCCGATCTGCCCCTCATAGGATCGGTCGCCTCCGAAGTTGCGATAGGTTCCACAAGTGCACGTAGTTTGTTCTGCTTCCGTTTCGTCTCGTCTTTGCGGGGAGGTGGAGGGGCTCTTATTGTCCGCCCCCCTATTCTCGTGTGAGAGGATGGACGGTAGGATGGGCAGCGATGAACGGGCTACCGGAGGAATTGTTGGGGATGGATGTTAAAATCAGGCAATCGTCCATCAAAACACCAAGTTGGGAAAGGTTGAGGACGGATGGCGGCATCGCTGAACGTAAAGCGGAAACCAGAAGTCAAAATATAAAGATGAGGTTGAGTTTCTTCCTTAACTTGTATTCATTCACGTTGGTGTCCATATGTAGTGTACATGTAATTCAAGCCCTGTACAGGATGAAGAAACTGGATATTGCGATTGAGCCTTTCTTTCATGTCATCCGAAGACGGAATACCAATCATTTGGCGTCGAGCTACATTCTGCGTTGTTTTACCGTCCTGCGTTTGTAGCCCTACCTTCACTATATCCGCAACCGCCCGATCATGACGTTGATATACACTTTTCGAGACTATGAGGTAAACCCCACGAATACCATCAAGGGCGGGCTCGTACGTACATATACCACTGATGAAAACCCAATCATGAGTATCGGTGGAAACAAATTTCCTATTCGTTCAATGTGAGTGAGAGCCTTTTTGTTCCGGGTACGTTGTCGACGTCTTGAACCTCCTTTAATGTTACGCAGACACAATCTTACCGTGCTCAGGCTGTTGGGGTACAGAGGCTCCCGTTCGATGACTCATATGTACACTCGCTTTCTACTTGTCCGCGTGGGATCAGGCTAAAGCTCATAACCTCGGGTCAGCTCTGGGAGGGGTGGTTTGTATTCCGTGGAAAGGCCGCATAGCATGTCACTCTCCAAGCAGCATGTTCATGGCCGAGGCATCCGTTCCCTTGATATGTACAGAATACAAACAAGCGGTCTAGTTTCTTTTGGCATTGAGACGGATAGTGACCGCGGGGTAGGAGAAAGCGATTCTCCGCCACGGCTGCCCGCCCTGATGTACTCTTCTGCCGGGGCTTAGGAGGAAGCCGTAATCTCATTCCAAATCATAAAGTCACCAATGCAAATGAAATAATCAAGGGCACCAGCATCATCTACCCAAGTGACGTGTCTGCCACGAAATCTTGTGTATTACCAAAAACCATCGCATTGCTTCCCTACCATGACCCAAAACCGGGGCTGAAGCTCCCCGTTACAGCGCATCATTTTTACCCTTATCACGCTAAACTCAGGTTTCTTGGTGATCTCCCATGGTCAAACCGCCCGAATAGGATATATCCACGAGACTAGTCGCTTTCATCCCCGTCAAGCGCCTCATCAACCTCACTGCCCTCACCCTCCTTCGTCTCCAATGCGTCCTGCACCTCCTCGCTGCTCCCTCCCTCTTCCTCGTCATCGTCATCCTCCTCTTCTTCTTCTTCATCCTCTTCCGCTTCTTCGTCTTCGTCTTCGTCTTCTTCGGCGTCCTCCTCGGGCTCCGTCTCTGCGTCATCGGCCTCTTCATCAACAGGCATGGCCGACTCGTCCACACGGGCCTTCTTTGTGCGTGGGGCTGTGTCTGATGATGCTGCGGTCATGACGCTGTCGTCGGGATTGGAGAGGAGGGATGCATCTGCGGATGCTGTGCCTTCTGCCCCGGCCGCAGAAGCGCCCTTTTTAGCGGCGACCTTGTTGCGGTAGTTGATGCGTTTTGCATTTTGGATTTGGGTATATTCTGAGATGGAAGTCAGAGGTGTTTGATGCTTCATATCATTGTTTAGTGCAGATGAGTGAGACGTAGTGGGCAAGACAATGATTGTTGATTTGTGAAATTGACCTTGGACGGCGACAATGAGAGAACAATTGGGTAGACTCACTGGCGAATTCCTGTTCCAGTGGCTCCCGGAGGAAACCGAACTCGATATCATCCAGAGCCTTGAAGACGTCTTCAGCACTGACGGTCTTTTTGCCGGCATTTTGTGTGATTTCATTGGCACTGGGGATCACGACGAGGGTTAGCTTCATAAGTAGTGGACAAAGATGGCCTTTGCTCTCGAGGGAAACATTGCTCCTCGTCCGGACAAAGAATCTAGCAGGAAGCAGGTGGATTCAACGCACTGAGAGGCAAGGTAATTGATGAACACAGTTGCGCTCTTGCCCATGGCTAAAACGGCATTGCCCTGGATCTGAGTCTGCGGCGGAAGAACACCCTTTGCCAGCCTGGTAATGATAGACTTGGGCAAGCTGAGATCCTACAGATTACATGAAATTAGTCAACCCAGCACATCTCGCAGCATCCCAACGGTCCCTTACCTCGATGGTGAGAGCATCTCTATCCGCCTTGGCAAGTTTGTCATGCGTCTGACTCTCCTTCTTCTCAGTCGTCACCGGAGTCGGCCTCGCAGCCCCTGCGGCAGAATGAGGCGTCGGCGCGGGCACAATAGACGGGGTCGATGAGGAAGGCTTGGCCGCCGATGCTGAAGACGGGGTGCCGGCGGCGGCTGCGGGTGCCGCCGCGGCCTTGGCCGGTGTGGTGGAGGCAGGAGGTTCCTCGTCCATGACGATGAAGCGGGCGTTGGACACGTCGCTTCTGCGGCTCGCGTCGCTTTTGCGCGGAGGCATGATTTGTGAGAGCGAGTGGGAGGGTCGAGGTCGAAGCTGAGTCGGGTAAAGAGGCCGGGTGCTAGGAGGTATTTATTGTGGAGAAGATTTGAGGAAATGGAGTTTGTATCCGTAAACCACCCCTGGACGCTTCTCTTTAGCCTGGGTGCCTCAAGGTCTCTTGGTCTTCCATGAAACGGCGAGGTGTTGTTGGAGAAGTGCTCGATCTTACCCTATGCTTGGCCTGGCAAGGTGATTGTTCTATCGTTTTTCGTCGGCTGTATGGCGAGATTGTGAAGTTTTCCATGCGCAGGGAAGATGCGATAATCGTCTCCGGATGAGCCCTTGTCCTCAGTGTCGGGTCGAGGAACAAGGGAATACTCCAATTCGTAAACCCGATGAAAAGGGATCAATTGGGGTCTCTAAAGTAGTCGATCACAACCTTGTCGATATGTCACAGATGAGGCCTACTTGTTGTCCTTCGAGAAGGGAGATGAGACTCTCTGAGCGGTGGGCAGGACAACGAGTGGTTTAGGTGCGCTGTGGTCGTTAGGCAGCGCGTCTTGCGCTCCATTGGACGCGATCCGGACCCGCTTTTCGGGCGTGGGCGCGTTAAGTGCGTCTGTCATTTTCTTAGTTCAATTGCTTCACTCACTCGCTGGTCTCACCCATTACTCTTAACCCATTGCACTCACTCACCCACTCACTCATTTATTACGCCTCACTGCCCACAGTTTGCACTTACTCTACTTACTCAGAGTGAGCTTCGACATATCAAGCTCCCCATGGACTCAGACGGCTGATTCTTCACTTCATCCTACATTTTGAATTGTGTTGACCACGATCAGGTTCAGTGAATACTTACTTATCCTACTTCATGCCGCCATCCAAGCCTAAAAATGGTTTCTTGTACGTGCAATTGAGTTGAGGCTGTAGTACGAGGGTAGCTCAGAACAGTAGGGGGCATAATCACAACACGTGCTCCTCGACTTTCCCAACTTTGTGCAACGCACTTGGAGCGCATCGCCGTCCACCCCCAAGCGGACCACCAACGCACAACCGTTCCCCGATCCTCCTTCTTACACCCATAATTTACCTCCCGCAACCCCGTCCTCGACTCGGTCTCACATGATTCGAGGCCCATTTTCTCCTCATTCTCTCTCCCTCTGCCCAGGGATCCAGAACTCACACCACCCAAGATTCGCCTCCTCCGTCGCCCCTTGCTCCCATCTTCTCTCCCCGCAAACATCCGAATTAAATCGTGAACCCGCAGATATGACACGTGGAGACGCGTCCGCGGAGAAAACACTCCAGAAATTTCAACCGAGGGCAAATCCACACAAAACGTCATGACAGATGAAAGAAAACGGGGAGACGCAGAGACAAAAAAGTAAGAAACATCCGAGGGATGAGCAGCCAAACCCCGACGATGCCGTGATGGCCTGCTGCCAACGAATGGAGATCCCAATCCGGCGTGGAGACAATCGACCAAGAGATCGAATGAAGAGTGTTCGATTCCGCCTGTTATACATCCATTCTAGGTAGGAAATGATGAACAGACTGACTACATACACCCCAGCTTCTTTACGATCATCCATCATTGGTCACCTACTTAAGTCTGACGAGAAAAAACAGGCCTATATGTGTATTTGTCAGTGCGAGGAAAATGCCTGAGCCAGTTGTTTGCAATCCGCGGCGACGAGACTTCTTCCCGTTGCCCTCGGCCTCTTTCTCGCGTCGTCCCCGATACCACTTTCTTCACAGCCACTCGGCGGGGAAGAAGGCATCATGTTTCACCTTTTCCGCCTGCCATCGTGCCCGTCATCCTGGGATGGCAGGTGTCGCAACGTGGCCAACGCTGTGGGGAGGAGGGCGCACGGGAAGGAAGAAGAAGAACAAGAAACCAGAGCATACGACACCAGAGTGTCAGCGAAACCTTGGCCATGGAATCTTGCTTTCCTTCCCATCGCCTCCCTTTCCGCCCGTCGCCCGCCAGTCAGTGATGTGTCGGTATAATTCTTTTGGCCCTTTCTCCGTCCAAGTTGCCATGGTGGGAGCACACACCCCATGCTCCTTGTTCCGCGTTTCACCAGCGATTCTTGGGTGAGTTTGGTCACCTTGGTGTTGTCAGCAGCGTGGTCGACGTGAGGGTTGCCGCCTAAACATGGGATGATGGGTACCACGCTCTGCTCTACCGTTCGCGCACGCAAGAAGTTTCCTTTCTTGCGTTTGTGTTTTGTCATGAACTTCACAGCCGCGTTGGGCTAAGGGCTCAACTTGCCACTGACCCGATTCACCCTCAGTCCCATACCTACGCACTGCGCCAGTCACCGCGAGAACTAGATTGTAGCACTTTGTACATTGCTTGATTTGAATTTGTTTCAGGGCTCACTTAGGTTACCCAGAGAAGTGTTTGAAGACTATGATAGAAAAATGGCTGCGTCGCAGCTGTAGTAGATTGTTTGCCATGTGGGTATATCCGTCACCATTCCAAAATGTGGAGTTCAATCATTCGTGATTCCGATAGACCACCGTCGACGGGAAAAGATGTCGTTTCAGACATCGAAGCTTCTTGCCAAAGTTGGCAATTATGAAGCGATGGGGTGCTCGCTCAATCAAGAGGAACATGAGAGGGGAGTTGGGTCGCATTAGATACGTCCGCCGACTCTTCCGCCACTACAAAAGAGTGCATGGCGAAAAAAGCTCGAAGAGTGATGGTGGCGGTAGGGGTTGGGAGCCATGAATTTCCATTCTGAGTTTGATACGGCTGGCCTCACCCACCACCATCACCACCCCTTGTGACGGTGTTAAGCCACATGGGAGTTGAGATATGCCGCCATCCATCGGGGCATGAAACAAAAGTCCCGCGCCATACCACACCCCGCACTTTCTCCAGTCCCGCGGGGAGAGCGCAAGGGCTGAACCCAATGAGGTAGTGTAGCGTGTGCCGTGCTCCTGTCGTCCGCAGGGTTCGTTGCCAAGATTTCCTGCAATATTCGTAAAAGATTGGTTGTGAGAAAAAGCTCGGCGTTGAGAGATATCTCCTCGGCCGGCGTAGATTCGTAAAACGTGACCTCAACCTACGGCAAGGCCAATTTCCGATTGCCGAAGAAAAGGGCGTGGGGAGAGGCCACCCATGCGGTATTCTTCGTCAAGTGATAGCCTGGGAGGGTGAGAAGGTGACGAGTAAACACGCTGGTGCTTGCCGTCCGAGTGTGCCGAGGAAGGCATGCGGAAGTAAGTGTCCACCGATGGACGGGGAGACAGTTCCGTATCAGTGTGATATCCGTACCAGTGTTCGCGTAGACTACCGACACTTGCGCTGCTGCGAGAGCTGCGATGCCTTCCACGACGGGGAGACGGCAACTTGGAGAGCCTGGAGTTCTGTCGCTTGGGAGATGGGAGGAAGGCGAGGTCACCCTCGACGGTGTCGTCAGTGAGACCAACGCGGGCATTTGGGGCTCGTGCGAGAACGGGAGTTTGAGGTATTTCAATACTCTTCTTGTCCATGCTCCGCTTGTGATATAGAGAGCGTGGTGGGGTCGTATCCGTAGAAGGGCGCGGCTGGTATTGGTTTTGGTTTTGGTACACGATCACGCTGGCCGGTTTGCGAATGGGACCTGCCGAGTCATGCTTGTCCACGACAACGGTCGTGCATTTCTCGATTGTCCGGCAGGCTTTCCAAGACTCAATCTCCTCATCGTCGATCGGGCTGTTGCCCCTACGGCTGAAGGGGAGGCGGCCACGGCGATATCGATGGCAAAAAAAGATAGTTCCGATGATGATGATAATGACTGCAAGCACAGAGAGCACAGTGCTCAGGGCGATGACAAGGCCCCGGTTGCTCTCGATGCCCTGCGATGTGTTGCCGCTCATGGCGCCGTGCTGGTCCGTCAAAGAAGTTGAGCTTGGTGCAGCTGGCGCCGGGGGGTTTGGGGGTCTGCTGCCAGCATCAGTCGACTGAGCAGGTGGCGGCGACGTGGTCTGTGGAGTTGACGTCGGCGGCGGAGCTACAACAATAATAGCTGTAGTTGAGCTTGATTGGGGAAGCTCGGGCGTCGAACTTAGTCGTGGAAGCGGCTGAGGAAAGATGGGCGGGGCTACACTCGGCTGGGAAAAAACTGGTGGTGGAAACGAGCGGACCGGGATTGGAGAAGACGAGACTGGATGCACTGGAGTTCGCGAGGTTGAGAGAACGGGACTTGAACCGGGCGTTATTGTTGACCTTCGAGCTTCAACCGAGGTGGTGGAGGCAGGGGGAGGCGGGGCCGATGGTGCGTTGGTCTCCGGAGACGGAGGCGGAGGCGGAGGCAGTGGGTGTTCCTCTGGCGGAGGGGGAGGTGGAGGGGGCTCCTGATTTGGAGGGTTCTCCGGGACCTGAGGGTTTTCCGAAGGAGGAGGAGGCGGTGGCGGTTCCTCGTTATAGGCAGGTGCTGTGAGATTGTGTTAGCTCTTCGTCCAAGTCGTCTTAGTCATGTGAGAGCAAAACGGAAAGGCAATGTCCGAAGGTGTCCAAAAGGTCAGTAGAAGTGAGACGGGGTTCGTGTGAAATCGTTGGTGTATCAAAATGGGCACATGGATGAAGGCAGAGCAGGCTGAGTGTTCAGTGACGAGGGTTGAGCCAGATCACACCTCCATTGTTGGTGTTGTTTGGATCCCTGTTGTTCGTCCCGGGCCCGAGGACAGGCGCAAAATCGGTTCCGGTGCGCAGGGTGTCGAGCCCGGGTGTCGTCGCGGGGACATTCGGTACGCCTTCTCTGCCTGTTCCCTTCTTGCTCTTGCCCTTGCTCTCGCCTTTTTCTTGTCTTTCCTCTTCATTTTCGATGTCACCGGTGTCGTCTCTTGGGGCCAGGGCTCTGGTCGGTAGTGACAGGCCTGAGAACCAGACCACAGCCGAGAGAAGCTTCGTCGTCGACATAATCCCGTATTATACGCGGTTTCGGTGTGAATGGGCCAGTCCGATATAATATATAGAACGACCCGGTGTTCGGTTTACAAGCCAAGATTCAGGTGTTGCCCAGCGCCATGGACAACTTGCACCTCTAGGCTTTTGGGTTCTTCCGTCATGGAACCAAATAGGCAAACAGACATACAAAGAAAATAAGATGTTATAGGAAAGGGGGAACAAACAGTTTCGTGGTTGAGTGACCTCGGCACCAGGTCAGGATGACAGACAGGCTAGAGATCAAGTTCGACGACTCCGAGATTGACGTTGGGAGCCGGCTGATTCTGGATTCCTTCAAGAAAGGGAAGGAGAAGTATTGGAGACGAGAGAGGCTCGCGGAGACCGAAAAGAGAAGGTAGTGGGCGGCTACCCTGGGTTATGTATATAGCTGGCTGTATACCAGCCATTTAGGTGTGAGAAACGCAGAAGAGAGCACCTGGTTCCTTGGATGCGGCACTTACGGCAGTACTGACATGGGAACGATGTAGAGATTGACGGGCGGTGGCACCTTGGGCCACCTCTGCAGCCACGCACACACGATGTGCGGATACACCACGCACTCAGACATGTACACACACTTGGTGCATACAGCGAGGAAGAGTGTGCTTGTAGAGAGACAGGGTAGGGATAAGCTGTACAACCGTGCACCCGCTTGGGAACGAGGGCATGTGAATAATCCCGCAAGGGTACTATGGGCCTTTCCGGGGGGGTGGCCATGATCCATGATGCAGCCAGGTGGATGTCGAGATCCTCAGGTGTGGTGTGCGCGTGTGTAGGAGGAGGAGGAGGCGGCGAGAAGCTGAGAGCGAGTAAGCGTGTGTTAGTGAGTGTGTGTGTGAGTGAGAGAAAGGACGATGGTGGTCAGGTGCGGGTTCCTGTGCCTAGTGTGGTGGTGTCTGTGGTCAACAGAAATCGTCCGTGACGAGTGGGGCGAAACGAACGAACCGAGCTGCACACAACGCATCCGGTTCAAGACAGTGGAGAGGTGGATCTGGGTGGAGCGTTCGGAGGTTGAGTTGTGTGTCGGGGTCCATGAGCAAGGGGGGAGGGGTGAGGACAAGACAAGACGAGCGCGGCGAGGGCTTGGCTTCTGAGCGGTAGAATTGAGATTTACTAGGTATGTAGAGAGGCAGAGAGAGGGAACACACACTCAGGAACAGGAACAGGGGTCAGACGAGGGAAAGGAGGGTGTGTGTGTCTGGTGTGCATGGCGTCCTGCGGTACCTGAGCGTCTGCGGGTAGCCATTGGAGGACGTTGTGGTGTTTCTAAAATTCGACTTGGCTGGACAGGACTGGCTAGACTGGTATAGGCGGTGTTGGTCTTGGTGTCGTTGCTGATGTCGGCGTACCGGCGTGCCGGCATTGGCTTTGGTGTTGGTGGTGGATCAGATAGAATGGAAGAGCAGGTGAGCGACGGGAAGAACAGAGGATCAAAGCGGGATCGGGAGAAGGCTGGGAATAGTAACGTGGGCGACAAGACTTGGACCTTCTTCCCCTAGTCTCTCAGGTCAGGCACGGAAGCTTACCTTACGTCAGGTCAAGTCCGGTCAGGTACGGACACACACGCACACACACATGCACCAGACATGCACCACACATACTATGTACAGAGAGACTATATGGGCCATCAAGGCAGTAGTTTGTGTGTGTTGTTTCTCAATCTGTCTGTCTGCGTGGATTGGTTGCACAAGGGCCTTGGGGATGCCGATGACGAGAACGAGGTGGGATGGCAGAAGGGAAGAATAGAGAGAGTTTGAGTCGAAACAAACGCCCGAGGATGAGCTGAGCTGACAGCAATCGAGCATTTGCATCGTAATCAACGACGAGGCCACGGATGCAGCACGGCTGTCACAATCGCCGGATCATGACGACGTGGGGGAGTCGGGACCGGGAGAGACAGGGCTTGTTTGCCGGGTCGACCAAGACACCGAGCAATCCTCTCGGAGGTTTTTCTGTCCTTGTACAGTCACAGGCAACCCGGGCAGCCTAAACAGCCTCATCTTAATTACTCTGACCAGTGATTTGTTTCGACCTCCAGACAACATGGGGGGCATTGAGCAGGATTGATGTGATGCTGCCCAAGCTGCGTTGCCTGCCAGCGGATTCTGTGGCCTGGATGGTGCCATGTGGTTCTGCGCAGATCTCCGACCTTACCTATACCTAGGCTCGTGGCCGTTTATGGGGGCCAAGGAGGACCCAGGAACAGCAAGGCATAGGAATGGCGTTGAAGCACGACGGCGAATAAGCATCGAGAAGCCCTCTTCCACCAGACGGAGCTAAAGTAGAGCCACGATACGGATAAGCTGTGGCAGGCTGGCTGGGTGGTTGAGTTGGTTTGTATCCGTATGTGAGGCATGAACATCTTTTCCCACCATCTTCTTCCACAGAGGCAACATGGAGGATAGACAACTGCCTAGCCGGCAAGCTGCAGGCGGGGCTATTGAAAGGAACGAAGGAAAAGAAACCATGCCAGGTGTGGGTTTACGGATACCTTGGGTGCTCTGGCTCTGACTGCTGTGTACCATAATAATGCTGGGATCGTAAGGGCCTCGGGATTAACTGAGGGACCCCCCCCTCAGTCCCATTCCATTGAGGTGCAGCACGGAAAAGGTCAGACCCCGGCAACAACGTGAAAAGATAGATCGCGTGCAGATTCCATTACGCAGGCCCTTATGACGGGGGAGGGGGAGAAGAAGGAGGAGAAGGATGGTATGCAACACGCAGCGCAGCAAGCAACAAGCAGCAAGCAACCATCTCTACCTCCATATCGTCGTGTCTTGTTGGATCCCATCCTGCTGCGGGTGTTGCTCGGTCCGGAGATGGGACTCGATTGCTTCTAATTTGGGCGTCTGGCAGCATCTTCGAAACTCAAACGTGCAGACCTTCCATCTCTTTTGCTTCGCGAGGTTTTGACGGCGGAAACAAATAGCAGATATCCAGTCCGACCCGGGAAACCAAGACTTTGCAAATGTGCAACTTGAATAGTTCCATCATGAAGCCAAGGAACCTGACCTCTGGTCTCTGTAAGTCAGCCCGTATGTGTTAAGGTAGATGCCGAGGACGGGACGAGGGACACGGACGCGCCTGCAAAGCACTAGAAAGAAAGAAAGAAAGAAAGCGAGCGGGACGCCCGTGCCGACTGTTGGTGCAAGTGCCAACCAGGAAGTCTACCGCGTCTAACAGCAATCCAAGTACAATGTACGGACCGTATCTGTGAGGTGGTAAGGTACCTAGGTGGGCAGGTAAGGTTGGGTTAGGTGAGGCGTGGAGGGGCAAGTGGCAAGAGCGTTGAACAAGGATAAGGCACCTTACCTCCGTACGTCCCTTATTAGTAATGGGCACGTACTCACGGTGATCCACCCGGTCTGGACGTCTCCTGTCCGGTCCTCTCCTATGCCATCTTCCTCCGCCGCCAACCACCCTCGAATGACATGGCTGAATAACCTCACCGTCAACAATCAATCAAGCGTCAATCAATTTTCACCCATCAACGCCCAAAGAGTAGAGTGACTCGCTACAGTCATCGTTCCTAGTCTACCACAGACCTCACCCTCGACCTTTCAGTACCCGTTATTTTCAATTCGTGTACCTATATTTACGTACACGTAACATCCGGTTCCGGTACGACGAAGAACGGCCGTGCCAAAGCCTGCGAAAACGTACCTGTCGCGCGCTACCTCAGGAAGGTCGAGAGTTGCTGGGCCTTTTCCCGACCAAGCTAGAGCAATCCAAAGTCCAAACTACACTAATTCGTCTTAGCCACCTACCGTCCGCTAAGGGCCAGTGAGGGAGGGAGGGCAAAACTACAGCTGGGTGTGGTCAAGCCAGATGCCATTTGGCGCACAGTTCCCGACTGCGACTGCGACTGCCACTCTGCAAAACTTCGAGTGCAATTGCAACCGCCCTGGCCTTTTCAAAGCTCGCTCCAATGCTGTCCACGTTGGCACTGAAGTACGGATGTGACGGTGATGCGATCTCAGCGCTCAATCCATGGATCCTCTCTGCGGCCCTCCACTCGCTTCCATGCAAGCAATTTGTCCATTGCGGGGGGGGCTTGTCTGAACCTCCGCATCCTTGCAGCGCGTAGCCCGCACCACTGGTTAGGCCTGTCGCAGCCATCTGACGAGACACAACGTCGATGACAGCTCGTGCCGTGGTGCTTTGTCCGCAATGGGTGCCGCGCAGCCACCCAGCCATCTCGCCGGCTTTCTCTGCTATCTTGAGAATCTCTAGCTGCACATGTGCAGCGCTCGTCCTGCAATGCATAAGACTGGCATGCATGGCCCTGCCTATCGTTTGCGATGGCCCATCTCTCAGCCCGAGGCCGTGCTATAGAACCTCATAATCGGCGAGCAGCGGTAGCGGGGCCTGGAGCTACTCCATCGTGAACTATTCAGGAAACGAAGCCGGCCGAGAGCCAGGGCCGAGTTGGCGCTGTGAACGAAACTTCACACCAGAATTTTGTGACCGGTCATCTCTGGCGCCGGCCGCTGCCAACTTGGGACGCCCAAGTCAACGTAGCCCAGGTCCCCCACGTCTTGTACCCGAAGCGGTGAGCGAGTCAAGAAGCCTTGCTGGCTTGCCATCGCCACACCACGCCAACCGACGACACTAGACTCGAGAATTCGCCCGAACGTTGGGCCTGGAATCGGGATGCCCTGGGAACGGGATGGGATGGCACTCAACATTGATAATTGTGGTGTGTACCACTTGCAGCAAATGCGACCGTTTCGCCGTGCCGGCTCAATGGACACCCGAAATGTCCTTCCTTCATCTTCAATCTGCCGAAAAACCTTGATCTTCGTCTATTCCACTCCAGCTCGGTCTGCGGTCTGCGGTCTGCGGTCTGCTCTGGCCAGGCCGGGAGAGACGCGAGGCAGCAGAGGGGGAGGGATGGGGGACAACGCAGCGCGGGGAAATCAGCACTACACTACGCAGCGAGACACCCTACTATGCCGTATAGTCCAATTAGATATTTCGTCCTCGCTCTGAGGAGCTGCGCTGAAACGACCCGCCGTTCTTCGTCGTGGTTGCCAGTGATTGGCCGGGTGCCACCACTATCAGGCCTCCTGATCAGGTCTCTGCAAGGGGCGAGACGGATTGAAAGCGGGCGTTATTCACCCAAAAACTCGAACTTGGAATTGGGAACCTCTGGTGCCGATGGAGCCTTGAATAATCCTGGCCTACTGCGGACGACGTCTCGATCGAGTAACTGTCCACACCAGGCCGCGCACTGCTTCTCCTCTGCCCCGGTCTCCTAGACTTGTCCTCGAACGATCGTGGCTTCAGCGTTTTGTACGCAGTCCGGCGTGCCAGAGTCAGCAAGAATTCGGGTCGGTCACAATCAGTGACGAATGAGCGTCAAAATGAGAACAACCGGCTGCCAGATAAAATTTCGCATCAAACCCTCGATGTTGATGCCGTGGTACAACAAGCGGTTCATGTCACCAACCCTGTGGCGAAGCAGCCAACCCAAGCTCCAGCACCCAGTCACGATACTCGCACCCGCGCCGTTTAATGAAGCTCTCCGGTGGGTGCTGATATATCACTTCTTCGTCCGTGCACTTTTGGCCATCGTCATCTTTCCGAATACCCATACGGATACTCATTCAGAAGAATGATTGACTAGGTCCTCTTTTGGCAACAACTATCCGCTGCTAGCCATTTTCGGAACAAGACTTGGCCGCATCTGCGAGCCTTGATTGACAGAGAGTATTCCTCAATGGTTCAGACCGCCGGCGACAGGGCTCTCTTCTGGTCTGATGTTGGGCGTCACACTTGACGGCAAGCATTCAAGCCTGTTTCTATAACACTGTGATCAACAGCATGTGCAGGCAGTATGCAATCACTTCCGCGCTCTGAAATGTACAAGAAGCTGCGGGCGTCGAGCAGTGTGGACGAAAATGCGCCACCCTCCCTCCTTAGAGGCTACCCGTTGGAACTTGGAGCAGTTTCCGTTCAGAATAAACGACGACGACCCGAACGAAGCTAGCCTGTTTGCCTCGCCTCCTCTCGAGCCGGACCAGGGCCGATCCGTCTTTAGTCACTAGGATCTTGCGGTACCAGCAAGCAAGGGAGTCCAGGAACAACCTCGTATACCGCGTTAATGGATTTGGAGCCATATTCATGGCGTATTTGTCCCATTCTCAGCTTTGCAAATACTTTGGCGAGTTATATTCTCGTGTTCAGAGGCATAGCTTGTCCTGCCCGAGACACAGCAGGCTGACACTGGGCGGCAAAGGTGGTTACGGTTACTTATCAATGAACCCTCCTTCTCGGCCAAGTTCCCCGAAAATTTTCTTATTTTTCAATCCTCTCCGTTGATTTCTCGTTGTCTCAGCGTAGCTGTCTAGTCTCTTGTACACTTGGATGCTCCTCCCATCGTCTACCATGATTACCCCTGGTACCTTGCATACCGAGATGCAGCCAGCACTGACTGGCACACAGACCTCGAGGCTTTGACCATGATCTGTCCCCACTGCGTCTTCCCATAGGCCGGATGGAGTGAAGGGATTGGCTGATCTTGCGCCGTTGGCCGTTGGTGTTGCGGTTTTTTTCTTCCTTCTTCGCTTGTTCCATCTATCGACCTACCCTTGCGATTAGATGGGTGGTCATGATGATGCCGAGCCCGGAAGAGACAAGTCCACTTTTTGACACCAGACTATCGTACATGAGCACACATACCACCGAAAGATGGAGGGCCAGATGACGAGGTTCATCAAGCCATTCGCTATCGAGAGAAGCCACCGCCCGGACAGGAGTGGTGAGCTGCGTCGCATACAATGTGCCCCGCAAACGCCACCAGAGCAGCAGACCAGTGTGGTTGATACCTAGTCAGTCTTCTCCAACAAATCGAGGCGGCGAGGTGGCGTATCGACGTGCTTGCTTTACCTGGAAGAGGATAACGAGCCCGTTAAAAGCTGACCCGTTGGGTAGGGTGAACGGCAATCAGCCATGATCGCCAGATAGTCAAGGCCATTGCTGGAACAGGACTAATTATTACGTGTACTTTACTTGGGACCTTTGGCCGAAACCATTCAAAGTATAGCATTCCTAGAGTTCGCAGGCCATGCCGCTTCTCCCTCAGCTCCAACCTCGCCGCCTACCTAGCGCGCCTAAACGCACTTGCCGCCGTTGACGGCGTTGAGTTTGCCAAGATCGCATCCTGATGGCGGCACACTTGAAGGAGCTCTTGTTAGTGGCCCTTTTTACCCCCCTCCTCTCCTCGGAGGGACAGGTTTGACAAACCCCAGGCTTCTTCCACTCCTACTTATCGCCCTCCGTCACGTCAAACCCGACAACGTGTTACTCGTCTGCAGGTCGGACTGCATCGAGCGTGGTTCAGTCGCGGGAAATTTCTAGTCCGAACCAGGCCAAGTCTAGACTCTGTCGGAACAAGTTTCGAATCCATTCGGTGTCAGTGGCCGACTTCGCGCCTGGTGTCACCTCGCCCACACCTGCCAAGGAATCTACCCCTCCTTCCGCGACAAAGTGGTTCATGACCCGTTCAGCCCTTTGATCGATGATTGAACCAAAAGTGCCGTCGAAAAACACCCCTACGATGTCAAGTTTCACTCGGGCGCTATCGCAGCCATCGAGGAACGCGCAAACGGGTGAAGAAACAGGCATCATGCCTTCTTAGTCGCAATCTGCCACACATGGGTTGAAGATTTGGAGGCTGGAGGCTGTTCGTTTGTCAACCGACCCTCATCAATATGAGGAGCCCTCGACGCCATTTCCAAACCGCACTAACACCAGGCCCGCTACTTGGCACCACCACCACCACCACCACCACCACCAGGACCTGCCAGGTACCAGGAAGAGCACCTTGAGGCCATCGTTAGCGGGCTTTCGAGCCATCTGCTGACCATTTTGCGGCTTGGAGGGTGGATAACTCGATAATGATGGTGTGCAGCAACGCCAATTCACCGCTCTTTCACCGGGCCTCGATTCGTCGTCGTCGTCTCAAACTTCATCTTATTTGCTTTCTCCCTGCGTTAGTTTTCCTCTCATCCGGTCGTCATCGTGGTCCGGCCCAGCTAGGGAGGGGAGATGCTGCAGAGTTACTGCAAGGTACCGGACATATCTTGGTTTTCTGTCCGACGGATCGCTACGCCTAGCTTTGAACTTTGCTCACCCATCACGAGTTGGACGACACCAGACCGGGATACCGAATATTTGGCCGCGGATGAGTGATTCTAAAAGTCTTCCGTTTGCTGCGTTGCGATGTAGCCCAGCGCTTTGACCCCTCTTGACCCCTCTCGGGGCGTAACATAATGACTTGCATGAGCATGTCTACGGGGAGCAGCTGTTCTCCAGTTACGCTCGCATTACATCGAGCCCCATTTCGAGATCGACATGATGCAGGGAAAACACTACGAACCAAGATATCATTGTCTATTCCTGTCAGGCCTCGCAACACGGTTGTGAAGCATTCGTGGGTTTAGCAAAACTTCCCTAAACCCTATTTTCGGCGACGTAGTTTTAAGACGATCTGCTCAGAAAATAACCAGGATGCTCCCTGTAAGTTAAAGCTCGACGTACGGATATACCAAACGAGTAAGTGGTGGATAATGTTAGGGTAACAAACCATTCTACCCATCGCCTTTGACGGGCAACTCTGTCTCAACTTCTGCGCTTCTAAAAACACCCATGACTGCTCACCGCTTCTTTTTCAGTGTGCGACGACGACGACGACTCGATCTTGAATACGAACCTCCAGGCAAGGTCCTATCTAATTGTAATTGATCGCAAAAGCACGTGCAGCATAGCGCTTGCAACGGCGTTACCCACGGACTATCGTTGTCTGCGATGCTCTCTGAAATCGACTTTCACGGGCCGTCCGCGTGGTTGGCGATCATTCTCCCGAGGCCAGCGCCGGCGTGGCGGTAGATCCGGTGTTTCCGATCTTATCCACGTGCCTTGGATTGAACGACTGCTCCCTTTTAGTCTTCAAACCACGACGCTTCCGAGTGGTGACAGCACGTCTGCCAGTGCCATTTCTGGTCACGGATTGATGAAAGTTGCTCAAGCACTCGAAAGCTAGCAATTCATCTTACAAATCTGAACGGCATACGCTATTTTCGTCTCTGTGCTTCATCATCCTACGATAACCAGAAGCCAGCTAGTATGCGCACAGCGACCCATGGGTCAATGCTTGCCGTCCCGCAAAGTCCATTTTCACCGCCGGTGAGAGGCTTGATTGCAGATCTGTCTCAAAGAAAAAAAAAGAAAAAGAAGAAAAAAAAAAGAGAAGGAAAAAAAAGGGCCAGCCATGTCACTTGTGATCTGGATGCAGGACCCCGTGCGGGATGGGAAGCAGGCGCTTAGGGAGGCGGTCGATCTAGCGTGTGCGGGTTCTACATGTAAGATGTAATGTCTCAGTCGAACTTGTCTGCATCATGCAATTGGGCTCAGGAGTTTCTGACTCGGCAAAGTGTCTGGCAGTGCCTGCTCTGGCATTACTAGATCATCTTGAACGCCGCTGACTCGGATGGAGAGGGTCACAGTGGTTGCTTATCAAGCTTCTCTCCTTTGCTGATGACGATGCCGTTGTGAAGCTAAGGATCCTGCAAACCGCGGCCAAATATGCGTTATGATAAGCACAAGGAAAATGAACGATGAGATCGCTCTCATCTGACTGTTCACACCCTTGGAGTGCAGCATGCTATTCGCTCTTCTTCATCCGTATGTTTCTGGGTACCGCGCTGTCAAGTAGACATGATGCCTGCCTCCCAGGAGCATGCTGGATCATGTTTCGGTGGTCTCTGCGCTCTTCGACATAGCAGAGACTGCAAAATGTTGCACTCTTCAGTGCTCGTCTAAACAATGATGGAATAGCTTTGAGGTCGGGGAGGGGATATCTTACGAACAGAGAGAAAGACTCCTGGTTCTGGCCTCTTAGTACATGCTACGTGTTAATATGTGGTTTTCTGTCTATCAGTTTTCCTTAGAAAGCGTAATGCTTCGTCGTCAACGACACCAGATGTTCAACCCAAAGGCCATGGCCCCCCGCCAGACTCCAGTTAAGTCTTCAGATGAGGCTGTTGAGGGGCACCCAGAGCAGGATGATCCTCGAGGCCCTGACAACCTACTCAAGGACTCTAAACGGCGCCTCCGGGAAATCTTGGCACGGCAGCTGGGACACGGCATCGCGGATCTCCGCGAATTTTCAGCCCCGAATCGCTTGTCAACCGTGGGCCAGCGTTGAGTCACCTTTCCTGGGGCCGTTCGGTTATCAGGAGCTCCAGGTCCCCGTCTTTGACTTTCTGTCAAGAATGAAGTATTTTATTCGGAGTGAAATGATCCGAGGCACGAGGGTACAATGAGATCAATATCACTTCCCTCCCATGCCGGCAGTGATCATCTTGAGAAACCATGGACAAATTTATCAATAGACTGAGCGCCACAACAGGAGACCCATGGAACATTCTTTCGACATGTTTGATTCATGGCCATGACCGGTTTTGAACGCCCTCGGGAGAACTCAGGGTAGATTCACCTTTATCCAAAACAGCGACGGTATACAGAAGAAGCTCAAGGCTGCATGACGGATGTCAAGACTCCGCCGCAACAGCCCTTGCCATCTGAAAAGGTCTTATTACGTAGACTTTTGGCTCTGCTCTTTTTCCCTATGCAGCGTCAGCAGCCCGGGTAATTCTGGATCCAGGACAGTTTGTGTCAGTATTACTTCGGACAGATTCCCAAAAGACAAAACAAGGGACGACAAGCTTGTGGTATACAGAGGCCGGTAAGTTGCCTGGCGATGCGAAACCAAGATCTCGCCATGAGGTCGCCTCCCCTGGACGTTTCATATCCTGCGGCATGCAGCCGCACACATCATGTTCTGACATCGTCCCAACGATTGCAGCAAATATGGGACGTGAAAGTCCTTGCGCAGTTGGCAATGGAACATGATGGCGGCAGCTGATCGTGGGATCAAGGAAGAGGAAAAGATGAAGATATGACGTCGGATCCGTCAGCTGTCGACTAGCAGCACTCTGCCACCACCCGGAGGTCGAGCTTGCCGAATTCGGGTTGCCGACTACACCAGCTCGGGCACTTGTCGCAATCTTCAGCCAAGGGCTATTTTTTTTCTTTCAGCTTGAAACCAGACAGAGTCTCCACGCTATGTGGTTTAAAGTTATACTGGCATCGCAGGATATACTGACAGGAAAAGCTAGATGAGTTTCATTTGAAGTCCAAACCTACATCGGGGACCTCCTTTTCGGACGCTCGTGCAGGCACCCCACCTCCCCAGAAAAGTACTTCGTAACGCAAGTCAAGGAAGCCCGCTATGGGGATGTGGCCTGACACATGCAAGCACACGGGGCGTTCCCCAGGTTGTAGTGATTGAGGAGGGACGGGGAACGGCAGCGGGTACTTGAGATGAGTTTGGAGGGCACGACGAGAATAGAAAATAACCCTCTTGTGTGTTTGAACGAGACATCGGGCGATCTTTCCTCCTGCATATTTCCAGCAGTGTACAGCTTGCGGGCAGTACGTGCGCGTTTTAGAGTTGAGAAGAAGTTTGGTTCCAACAAGCTCTTGGTATGTCTGCGAGGCTTTGCCGTACTTGGTTTGTTTTAGGAAACAACTTCACCAAAGCTCTTCGATTCGCGTCAACGAGCAACCCATACGATGGGAGTGTTTGGATACGGAAGGCTGCTTCATCAACGTCGAAGTACTTATCTTCGGTGTCAACTAGGATGGAAGATGACGGCGATTTCCTGATTAAGGAAAAAGCGGGAAGGAAACACATTACGAGACTGGTATGGGTTCATGAGTGCCGAGGGCAGAAGAAACCATCATCGCCGCACTTTCAAAACCCCTCATACGGGCAAAGTCGCCGGCCAGGCCAGGAGTGGATTCGTCTTCGTGATTTCCCACTGGTACATGTGCCAAAATCTGAGCGGATGTTTGGAATCTCCCTATTCTTCGCCCTCTGCATTCTCCCGTGCCTTTCAAGTTCTGTCTGGGGCGCGGCGAGCGGAGCGGACGGGTGCGGAGAGAGGACTGGGCTCTCCACACACGGTTAACCATGAGACTTCGCCGTCCACTCTTGTGCTACTCCTTGTCCTGTGAGACAACGTCGACGAGCCTTACGCTGTTTCCCCCCAGACGGGGGCGGCATGAGTGGGATGTTTCTATTCACCGCTTTTTCTCCGCTCTTCGCTCAGTGATTGTCAAGACGGATGGTTCAAGAAGCCCCGTTTTCCGTGATCAAACGCCGAGGCTTGAAGATGGGAATGCCGGCCGTAGCCCGTCTGGTTTGATACCGAGGGAGCTTGATTCAGAGCTGGGACCCGGGGTTCGGGCAGGCATCGAGGAAGACGTGCCGGCGCCTAAGCGGTTTCGATCCTGGTTTACTTGTTTGAAGATGGAGTCTGTTCAAAGTAGCAGGCTGTACGGCATGCGGAGATGGATGAGCAGCAGCTAGTTTCGGCTGAGAAATGGATGAATTATAATAGCAGCACTCCTTTATTGACTTCAATTACTGTTTGCTTGGATGGATTCATAAAGACGACAGAGAACGTCACGCTTATGCAGATTTTATAATTCAACTTGAAGGTTGAGAGTAACTTTGTGCCCTAAGTGTCTTCTATGGGCATAGCTCGAAGATTTTCTATTTCATTGACATGAGATGATCGGATGGTTTGTGCCGGAGCTTGAACCAGAAAGGCAGCGATCTTTATGTCGTGTCTTAAATATCCTCTTCGCGCCCCTGGAGGAGCCAGAGCTATAACGCAATGAGGAAAATCAAAATATAAAGGGAAAAAAGGAGGCTTTTTATATTTTGCGTCGCCTGGAGGCAGTGTAATACCAGGGACACAGTGGGAAGACGACATATGTCACCCCCTGCCTCCCTCGATGAGACTCACGCCTTCTTTTCGCGGTGCCACCCCGAAACGTAGCGCTGCGGAGAGACGAGCGAGAATTTTGCATGATAGAAAGAGAGAAGACGCAGAGGCTCGTCTTACCGGCGTTAAAAAAATTGTGTTAACCGCTGAAAACAGGTTCGCGATCCCCGTGGGGATGCTTGCCCAGCTGGTTAGACTGGTAAGAACAGATACTTGATCATAGCCTTGTGGCTAAGAGAGCTGAAGAAGAAAAGGAGAAGAGGAATGGTTGAGATGTGCGAGGATTAAGAGGACTTTTATAAAAGGGTGAGAGGCGGTAGTGATGGGTGAACGCGGCGGTGCGGATGAGGCCAAAATTTCGGGGATTCAGGTGAGGCCAAATCTCGGGGTTAGTCAAGTGAGGCCAAATCGTTCAGGCTTGAAGTTTCAGGCAACTGTAACTTGTGGAGTGCCTTCGAATACACTTATTTTCACTAGTATGCGCCAGATAGTCTTCGTCTCCTGGGCCACTTCCGGTTGGGACTACTGGGGCGTCGACTGGCTCGCTGGTTGTCAGACGTATGATGGACTCCGAGAACTGACTGCAAGAAAGCTTGCATCACATGGTAACATTCTACAAGAGCCAATCATGCGTTCATTCTTACCCAGACAGCTTATTGCTGGGCCTGAAAATATGTACATATCAGCGTAGCCGACGAACTCTGTCGAGCACCCATTAAACATGGTATGATCACGAGAACCCCCACTGCCCTGACTTATTTCCACACCACGATTCAATATTTTGCATACACCGTTAGCTGAAGTGAAAATTGATCAGTCAAGCCAATTAACAGAGACCAAAGGAGGCTCGACTCCATGTCGAAACTCGAGGCTTGATGGCTATGCTGTTTAATGAAATACTACCATGGAGTAAAAAAGCCTTGACAAAGTATGATAACTGAGACTTGGATAGATCGGAGAGCAATATAGGTCTTTTGGGTCTCAGATATGTGTCTAGGTACAAGCCCCTCTCAAGTGCACCGGTTCCAAAAGAAAGGACATCAATCGCAAGACAGCGTTTTGACACGATGGTTGGTGCGCAAAGAACACGCCCTTACGGCTTAGACCGAAGCTATGAGCGTGCTGGGATCGCTTCAATGAAGAGGAACATACACAGAAAGTCAGACGGTAGCCAAATGAGAGATGATTAGAGGAAGTGGAGGGATGTCGTCCTCTCTTAGGGTGATCAAACGAAGAAGAAGCTGCCTGCCATTGAATTGGATCCAGCCCCTCATCCTGCCTATATTGCATGCATTTAGTATTTCGCCGATAGAAGAAAGCAACATATCCAATAAGGTATATGCATAAGCTTGAGTGAGTTTTATGAGAAGTGCCACGTTTCCGCAAGATCGACTCGGACTCTGCCGAGGATGCCAGAGCTTGAACGACGTTGAAGACAACCTGGGAAAGGTGGGGCCGTCAATATTCCCGGCCCTCCGGGCCGCCAAAACACGCTGTACGATGCGCTAAATTACTGACGCGTGACGCCATCAAATCCTTACGGGTTCCCACTCACTTTGTCGCGATCCGTCGTTCAACCCATGTCACTTAAAGTGTCGCCCGCAATTTTACTCACCCCTCCACCCGTTGCTTGTATGTAGGATTGGCACTGGACTTGAACTTTATGTTTTCCAAAGGGCCAGTCCATTTTCCAAAGTCGATTCACCACTTCCTCTCCCTATGAATCTATGTCTTCCTCTAGACTGTTCCCACCCTCAGACGCGTCGCGTCAAAGATCGGGAATTCTCACGCCTAGCTCCGACGGATCTCTGAACTCCAAACATGGACTGCCGCCTGCTGCGACGGTGCAGAGAAAGCGCAGTGTCTCGCATGCTATGGAAGACTTGCTGAAGGCTGCAATTGTTGTCAAAGTAGGCTCCAACTCGACTCACTAGGGCACCGCATTGTCTGTCAATGGCTGACATGTCGTTCAGGCGCATCCTACCAGCATCCTCGCGAAGCCATGCACACTGCAGCCGCTGATGCTGCTCCCCCGGGAAGACCTTCCGCTGTCCTGTCTCGACCTCGGCGCACCCCAGGGCGACCTTCCCTATAGTCGTCTTTACGAGTCCTTCGTCAAGATCCTCGACCTCGAAGACCGAGTCGCGGAGAGGCCGAGCCTGCTCCTTGCGCGCAACGATGCCTCCAAGTCGGTCTACGCGCTCGAACGCGCGGCAGTTTCCGGAAAAAATCTCTATACGGTCTGCAAGCTTGGCCCGTGGGCGGACTTGCTGGCCTTGTCTGTGAAGGCTACAGTGGTCGGGAAGCATGTCGAGCAGATGAGGCTTGCAGAGGAGGCGAGAGAGTCTCAGCAAGAGCAGATTATGCCACTTACGACGCCGGGCTTACACAGAGGCCATAAGGAGAGGAGATTAGCGATCGAGGCGCTGCAGCAGTCGATCGTGAGAAAGAGGGGCCGCTCGCAATCCGTATCGACATTCGACGACACGAGGGCAGAAAAGCGGGCGAGGTCTGACGATGATAATCCACGACCGCAAACGCCGAGCGGGATGGGCCAGATGATCGAGCCGAAGTCTGAGCCGACGGAGTGGATCGAGACACATCTGGACGCAGTTGAACCCACGCCGCAGCCCGTTCCCGAGCCTAGTGCTCAGCAGACTGCTGGTGACATTATGGACAACATCAGGGCACAGTATACAGAGGCACTATACAAGTCAATGGTCAGTTTGATCCCCTATGGAAAAGATAGTTGGCTGACATGGAGTCAAAGGGATCTCTGGCGTACTTTGCAAAGGGACCGCTATCTCGAGCCCGTGCCGCTTTCCACCTTGACTGTGACGGCACGATGAATATGAGTGACCTTATAGACTTTCTCAAGAGTCTTGTCATGACAACGGTCCAGATCGACAAAAAGTACCGCGAAGCGATACCAGATCTGATTTCAAAACTGAAGACGCACGTTGACAGTTCTGATGATGGCAGCAAGTCGAAGCGGAAGAAGGCCAAGAGAACGAAGCTGGGCAAGGATGGCATGTACTCTGGCGAGGACGAGCATGTGCGCGCCTGGTGGAACTCGAACAAGCCGGAATTTAGCGACGAGGACGTGACTGTCACACCGGCACAGATTAAGTCCCATGTTTCTCTCCTTAGGACCCGTGAGACGCAGCTACAGATGATCTTGATTTTGGAGATCCTTGCACTGGAGCCTCTGCGGACAGCTGAGGTAGAGGGAGAGAGTCAGCTGCCTGGCCTCTCGAGCGAGGCGGATGGCGAGAAGGCAGCAGAAACTCAACCCAAGAAACGCAGCAAACACAACTTCCCCGTTTTGGTGGATGTCCACGCCGACCGACTCACCATTTGGCAGTCCACTGCTTCTGATGAGTTGAGACTGCTGGAGGGTTCTCAAATAACTGCGGTTAACGGCGGAGATACAACCCTTAGGGCGTCTGCGGACCCCCTAAAGGACTTCTGCACTGATATCATTATGCCTTTGTAAGTTTATGTACACCCAGGAGATGCTTCCTAACTAACATCATCAGCTTCGCTGCTCGATTGCCTGAGATAGGCGACTCCATAAGCCGTAAACTCGGTGGACCCGTCATCATTGCCCCGCCAAAACCCAAGGCGAGGCTCTCTTCGGGTAAATCCAACACGAAACCGGGAGCTGCTGCGAAGCGTCCTTCCAAGCCCTCATCGAAGAACATAGAGAAGGCCCTTTTCAAGGAACAGTCGCGGCGCAGTATTTCTAGAGGTCCCGGTAACGCTATCGCGTTGTTGAGGTCGGCGACCTCTGCGAATATTCCTGGCTTCAAGCGGGAGAATAGCGATCTCGACCGCAAGTCGCCGAGGGACAGGACAGGTCTACTTTCCAGGAGTCAAAGCATGACGGCCTTGGATGACGTCAAGGTCCAGGACAGCAAGGCGCAGAAGAAGGCGCTGGTGGAAGCCGAGCTGAAGGATGCCATCACGGCCATACGTAAACCCAATCGTGACCTGGCGGGCAAGGCCATTGTTGAGGATGCGGCGAAGCGGGTTTCCGGGGGCCTTTCTTCGATTAAGAGTAAGTTTCATCCTCGCTCCTCAACTATCCAGCCGGTTCGCTCATCCTTCGTACAGAATCCAAGAAACCGCCGACTCGGCATCCACTATTTGACTCGGTACAAGTCAAGGTCACGCCTGCCACACATCGCTTCCGTGATGCCTTGGGCGCAGAGTCACAAGGTGCCAGCAATATATCCATTCCGATGTCGAGTATCCCGCCATCTAGCGCATCAAGGATCCCCTCTACTGGACCACGGAGAGGCCACATTGATGTTATGGGCAGCACTCCTTCATCTGCTATACAGGCCACGCCCATCAGGCGTGGAGGACACGAGCCCGCGATCCTGCCTTCGTCACCCTTGATGGCAAGGAAGCCCGCAAGAACCCAGCATCTAAGCGTGCCAGGGAGCGTGATCAGGACGAGAACCGAGCCAATGCGGTCACCATCGCCAGACGTTGGCTTACCGGCAACGCCATGCAAACAACGGACGGTGGATGTTTTGGGAGACGAGGTAGCGGCCACTCCAGTGCGCAAGTCACTCGCGCTGCCCCCGCCACCAGAGGAGGAGAAACCAAAGTCGATTTATGCACGACTTGGTTGGGATGACGACTTTGACGACTTTTAATGATATTTTGTGCACTGCATTGCTATGGCGTGTATAGACTTTCGAGCATACGGATACCCAAGGATTGAAATGTTTGGGATCATGGATTGGAACGTGTGGAATACACTTGATGAACATGGAATAGCATAGCATCGTTTGGAGCCAAGGGTTTGCATCTAGAGGTTGTATCGTTCTTAAAGGCCTGTTGTTGGGAAACATATGAGGGGTTAGAGGGCACAGGGCTGTCTGCCAGCACCCAAACACTTGTTGCGTTCACTCATCCGTCTTTTCCTCCTCTGCCGCTGCCTCTGGCTCCGGTCGCTTTTCTACAAACACGATGGGAAGTTCCCTGACGTCCACGTGCTCCTGCGAGCTGAGGTCGATTACTCTGACGGCCTCAATATTGACGATGCCCTCCTTCAGTGGTAGGAACTTGAGTTCTACGACGTGACACGCACCAGGCGCAAGCGGTCCGACTCTCGTGTCGGCAGTTAGGCAAACCACCTCGGTAGAGTCGACCACCGAGTTGCGCTGCATGGCATGCAGAATATTCTCGTCCAGCACCGCATCCGCGAGCTCTTTTGCGTCCCCAGCCGTCTTGCCTTTCCCGCTCGTCGAGGGAGGGCGCATGAGTCGAACCTCGTTGCGTCTACGTTTCGAGAGCGCCACGAGGGCGAGCTTGCGCGGCGTCACGGCGGGGTTGGCCTTCTCGACACTGCGGTTCACAACGTAGACTGTCCAGGAGAACACCTCTCCCGCGTAGATGGGTTCCGTGGGACCGCAGAAGGTCATGGTGATGCCCAGTTCTGGCAGGGGCGCCTCGACTGTGCGCGTGGCGGCCTCCAACGCGGGGAGGGAATCCGGGCGCATTATTGCCGGGGCTACGAGCGACTGGGCTGCCTCAATACCGGATATGGAGAGCTGGGAGGGGCGGTGGGAGCGCTGGATGGGTTGCATGGGTTGCATTGCTGCGTTGAAGCCCGGGTTGACGGGGAGAGTGAAGTCGAGAGTGGTGGTCCAGGTCATGCTCAAGCGTGGGCAGCAGATGCCGGGGTTCTTCTGCACTACGGCTTCGATGTGGATGTCGAGATCGCGGTTGGGGTTCTTGGAGGGGAGGTCTAGCTGCTGCGGCGACAGGCGATAAAGAAACGTGACGTGGTCGTGAGAAACGCAGGCCATGGGCAGCGTCAAGCCGGCCGGGGAGCTGAGGTCGTCGACGACGCCGCCGTCGGCAACGGAGAGAGCTATGCTGGTGAGTTCGATGGGGCAATCGAAGTACGGGGTGAAGTCCACCTCCAAGAGGGCGATGAGGGCCGGCGACGTGGGCATGGTGTTTGGGCGGGAGAAGCGGACGCGGGTGTGCACGGCAGGGAAGATGCGGGTCCGAAGCTGGGAGAGGCACCGCAGAGGACGGGACGTGTCTTTGGCTTGGGTTACGGGAGCAACGCGGGAGACGCGGAGGGCGGAGAGACGTGGAACCACGCCGCCCAGGCCCGGGTCGTTGGTGAAGGGTTCGAGGAGGTTCAGGCCCGAGGGCGTGCCGGACTGGAGGTAGCCCGCGCCGCCGCCGTTCGTGCGGAAGTTGGGGGAGAGAGGGGTGCCCGAACCAGAGCCCGCCGCCGAGGCCGGTCTGAGGCCGGCAGAGGCTGTGAAGGTTGCAAAGGGGCCTTGCAGGCGGATGCGTGGCCGAGCGAGGAAGACGGGAAGCTTCCATACGGCGTAGATGTGTGGTTCTTTCTTTCGCTTGTCCATAGGGGCGACGGCGTTGTCGTCCTTGTCCTTTGAATCCGAAGCGGGGTCTTCGTCTTCGGGGTCGTCCACGACGATGAACGGGTCCGATGTATCCTCAACGGTGCCCTGGAAGATGACGTCCGTCGAGGGCTTTTCCCGGTCCGGAGCGTGGCTGTTGACGATTTGGGCCTCTACTGAGACGACCAGCCGACTGAAGTGTGATCGGAGTGCCTTTTCATCCATGAGAGGGGTTCTCAGGATGAGTAGCACATTGACGGTCTCATCTGATGGGTGTTAGATGCTGTGAATATGAAAATGAAAATGAATATAAAGTGCTTGGAGATGTACCAAAGAATAGTGTTTCCCTCCTCTTGATGGAATCGAAGAGTGCTTTTGTGTCGTCGACGCCTTGAAACGCCTTCTCGAGATCGAGATTTGTTGCTTCGGGAATTAAGTATGTGAGAAATGCATTCTCGATGAACTCGGTCACCGCGGCGGGCTCCCGTATTTGATCGTCTATGGCCATATTTGGCTATGTTTGTAGTTTCAAATATGGAAGCTCATCTCAGCCATCCACGCATGGCACCAAGGACAGTTCCACAATGGTGTCCTTCTGTTTGCTAAATCAAGGGATCTTATACCAAACTCTCAGCGAGCTCGCAACGTTCTTCCTGAAGACACGAAGACAGAACTTGGACATGAAGCTCGGATCCGCGAAGAAAGGCAAGTATCGCAAAGAACTGTTCGCAGCCTAGGTAAGAAGATACACCAGGACGAGTGAGGTTCGGTGAAAGGTCCAATGAGCTGAGTTGTGGGTTGGACAGTCCGAGTTTGAGGGTCTCTGGCACGGTACGGAAGCCCCACTCCAGGAGACTTACCTCAGCGGCAATCACCCGGAGATGGACTGAAGAGCGGAACCACCGAGCTACCTCACCCCAGTCCGTGCACCAAGCGCCAAATTGCTCATTCCGACGGTCGCAAATATTCGCAGTATAACTTCGCGTCGTCCCTCTGCGCGACGACCTGCTCCATCCACCACGCTGACTCGCCACACTAACGGTCCTCGCATCGCCGCTGTGCTCACATTTGACTGGCAAAAACCCCGAGTCTACTTCGCCATTCTCGAACTCCCCGATCGAGAGACGCCATCATCATGAACGGATCCGGCAGCTCGTATGGCCAGCCTCCAGCGTGGCAGGAGCACCGCACGCCAGACGGCCGAGCCTACTATTACAATGCGGCCACCAAGGTCACGCAATGGACCAAGCCCGAGGATATGATGACTCCGGCCGAGGTATGAGGAATTTTCCCACATGTGTACGATTCGTTGCTGATTGGTCAAAGAGAGCCCTCGCGAACCAGCCCTGGAAAGAGTACACCGCGGAGGGCGGTCGTAAGTACTGGTATAATACCGAGACGAAGTCGAGCTCCTGGGAGATGCCCGAGGCCTACAAGAAAGCTCTGGGTGCCAACAGTGCCCCGAGTACGCCTGCGTACGTACATCCCTTGACCCAGCGTCGTTCATCTACTAACAGCAACAGGGCTGCGCCATACGACCGAGGAGCGCCTTCTGACAGGTACTCCAATGACCGTTACGATTCTTACCGCGACCATCGCGATACCTTCCACGAGTCGCGCCAGCTGACATTTGGTAACGATTCGACGGCCAAAGCGTTCGTCCCCGCGAGCAACGAGCCCGAATTTGCTACGCAGGAAGAGGCAGAAGCCGCCTTCATCAAGCTTCTCAAGCGCAGCGGCGTTCAGACAGACTGGAACTGGGAGCAGACGCTGCGCACCATCGCAAAGGACCCTCAGTATAGGGCTATCAAGGACCCGAAGGATCGAAAAGCAGCTTTCGAGAAGTACTGCCATGACATGATTGTCCAAGACAAAGAGCGCGCAAAGGAGAGGCTGACTAAGTTGCGTACTGACTTCGAGACTATGCTGAAGCGCCATCCGGAGATCAAGCACTACACGCGATGGAAGACTGCGCGTCCTATGATCGAGGGCGAGACCATCTTTAGGTCCACCGATAACGAGGCCGAACGTCGTCAACTCTTTGAAGAGTACAGAGTCGAGCTCAAGAAGAACCACATGGAGAACCAGGCCACTATGCGCAAGACGGCCATGGATGGCCTCATTGACCTCCTGCCGAAGCTCAATCTGGAGCCCTACACGCGCTGGTCCGATGCGCACAGCCTCATTTCATCTACGACGCCCTTCCAAAATGATGAGAAGTACCAGACCCTGAGCAAATTTGATATTCTGATTGCGTTCCAAAACCACATGAAGGCTTTGGAGCGCGCTTTCAACGACTCCAAGCAGGAGCAGAAGAACAAGAAGTTCCGCAAGGAGCGTAAGGCTCGCGACGGTTTCATCGCCCTCCTCACTGAGCTCAGGAAAGACGGCAAGATAAACGCCAGCACAAAGTGGCGCCAGATCCACCCACTCATCGAAAATGACGACCGATACAAGGCCATTCTTGGGCAAAGTGGCTCAGCTCCCCAGGAACTATTCTGGGATCTCGTCGAAGAAGAGGAGAAATCCATGCGTGGTGCTAGGAACGACGTGTACGATGTCATTGACGTAGGTAATCCTTTGTCTCGTTCTGTTCTGGTTTGCTAATATCGTAAAGGACGAGCGATTTGATATCACCCCCCAGACCACGTTCGAAGAATTCCATACCGTTATGAAGAAAAGTCGACGAACTGCTAACATTGACCGTGATATTTTATTGGTTCTCTTCGAACGCGTAAGTCCTAAGAAACCTTGTCATCATAGTTTCTTGCAAAGCTAACGTGTGCGCAACAGGCCAAGGAAAAGAGATCTCTGAAGAGATCCGACGATGAGAGGCAATCTGAACGCCAACAGCGGAGGGCAGCTGATGATCTCCGGGCGTACATGAAACGTATGGATCCCCCTATTGCCCTGGATGACACGTACGAGAAGGTCAAGGCTCGCCTTGCGGATACGCCCGCGTTCCAGGCTGTCACATCGGAAGATGCTCGCGTTGCTACCTTCGATCGATACGTGAGGAGACTCCGCGAGAAAGAAGAAGAGGCCGACCGCGATCGCCGCCGCAGACGTGGCCGTGATTCTAGCGAACGCGACATGTACCGTGAGAGACCCAGATCTAGAGGTGAGCGATCTCATCGCAGCAGTGGCCGTGCTACCAGGCGAAGTCGCAGCCCGGAGGTAGACGCGTACGAGGCGGACAGGCGCAAAGCCATTGCTGAGCGTGAGCGGAACCACCGCAAATCAACCATGGCGGAGAGTCTGCTCTCGACCGAACGTGAACGCCGTTTGTCTCCTCCCCCGCGTCGCGAGCGGGAACGCGAACGGGACAGAGACCGCGAGCGCGATCGTGACCGTGATTACGACCGCCATCGCTCTCGCCGCGATGACGACAGTCACTATGATCGCGAGAGAAGAGACAGAGAGGAAGAGCGGGAAAGGCTGTACCGGCGGCGCATAGGATCTTATGACGAGCTCCCTTATGGGGATGAGCGCCCGTCTGGATCCCGACGCCGCCGCGAAGAGGATGAGGAGGACCGACGGGATTCAAGGGACTCAAAGGTACGACGGATCAGCTAGTTCACCACTTTTGAACCAGGCGGCTGACAATGTCGCAGAGAGTGAGGAGAGAGAAAACACCCCGTGAGCGCACCCCCCAACGTGATACTGCACGTCACAAGAACAGGACTCCGCCGCCGGCCACCAAGGACGTCAAGGACACCAAGGAAAAGGAGCCTGTCAAGGACGTTGCGATGAAGGACAAGGAGGAAGTGGCGGTCCATTCTGGATCTGAGGAGGGCGAGATCGAGGAGGACTAGAGTTTCGTCGACGAAGCTTCGGAATCCTTTGGCGGACCGCGGAATGTGACTTTCGAGTACGTATCGAAATCACCAGCCGTCACTGAGAGCCTGATGACCGCAGCGCGTACAGAAAACTGTTATCATCCCTCCGCATCGCGGCCCTCTTCCGCACCCATCTGCAGGTTTTTGACCCTCGGGACCAATCGGCCTGTGGACCAATCACGGGGTTCGCTTCCTTCCCAGGCGGGAACTTTTTAGCTAGTATGTATTTTTTCCTCGTTTTATCTTTACCATAGGTGCATATATTGTTGTCGTAGTAGTTGCCATAAGAAATGAAAAGAAAATCAGATTTGTTTTAACAATGGCCTTTTTGTATTTCATCTTTGTGCTCTAGATCTATGCCTTTTGACATGTTCAAGTACATCTGCGGAGTCTCGCCACAATTCATGTGGGAGACTGACGGCAGTCATCCTGCTTAATCCGTTGCCCCTCAATCTATGGAGTTGGCTGTGTCCCAAATGAATGTGTGGCCAACAAGAATTGGTGGCTCTGCAAAGCGTTTATTCATCCAAACCGAGGGGACTCAGCCACCCTTATCTCTCCATAGGACCAGGCAACAGGGGATAGACTGCCGTCGCCGTTGTTATCCGTCATCGCCAGCGTCGTCCTCGGACGCGCCCATCTCCTCTAAGTCGAAACCATGATCCTGACCGCCGGAAGCGCGCCTCCCCGGTCGCCGCTTATGCCCCTTTTGAACGCCCTTAACGCCTGAGTCGAATACATCATGACGAGGGAAAATATCCTTATGGATGCCCCCTTCAACTCGTCTTGTCGCCATCGTCCAGGAAAAACTGTGCAACGTGTTAATCTCGCTGTCAGAGTCAAAGCCGCATAGAGTTAATCTACTTACGTAGTTGCCATTGGCCTTCTGCTCCTGGTCGAGCTGGGAGTTGCCCTTGTTGATACGAGGGCGGTAGTTGGTTGGGTCGCGACGGAAGGAGACGTCAAGGTTCTTCAGGAAGGTGTTGCAGCCAGTCAGGAGAGATTCGGGCTTGTTGGCGTGGGCGTCGATACCGGGCTTGCCGTCGAAGACGATGACACGGTCGGCGAGGTAGGTGGCCATGATGAAATCGTGCTCGACGATGAAGGCGGTCTTCTTGGCGTGCATGATGAAGCGCTTGATGACGCGAGAAGCAATGATACGCTGCTCGGAGTCGAGGTAGGCGGAGGGCTCGTCGATGAGGTAAATGTCGGCGGGCATGCCGAGGGCAAGGACGATGGCGACACGCTGAAGTTCACCACCGGACAAGTTCTTGACCTCCTGATCGATGAAGTCATCGAGCTTCAATGGCTTGACGACATCGGTCTGGAACTGAGGCGACAAGAATGAGGCCCTGATCTTCTTAAAGAAGAGCTGGCGAACAGTACCCTCGAACTTGGGGGTAATGGTCTGGGGCTTCATGCTGATCTTCATCTCGGGGACAGCGGCCTTGCTGTCGGGCTTGAGAGCGCCAGCAAGGAGACGGCAGAAGGTGGTCTTTCCGGTTCCGTTCTCTCCCATCATGACAATGATCTCGGAGTCGGTGAAGTCACCAGAATCGATGCTTAGCTTGAAGTTACCCATGGATTTCTGCATCTTGGGGTACTTGAAGGCACGAGACTTGTCGTTCATGAACTCATCAGCACCCTCGGAAAGCTTGAAGGTCAGAGA